TACTAACGGCAGGTATTGGCTTGGCATGCGGCGTGTCTTGGGCTACCTAGGACCCCGCACCGGACCATATTGGACCGCGCCGGACCTGGGTGGACCACAGGGGGTCGTGCGCAGACCGCGATCGGCCCGCTGTGCCCGGTCAGGAGCGTCGGAGCGCGAGCGGCCAGCTGGGGCGTGCAGGCCGTGCACCTGGCGTGCACGAATGCAGATATTCACACTTGGCCCGGGTAATAGCCACTCGGCCGTTTGACTAATAGCCATGAAGCCAAGGCCAGGCCAGCAACCCGAGCGGTTAATGGCGTCGGCGGCGGCCGGCGGGCGGCCGACACCGGAGAGCCGCTTCTGACTCGGCGGCGGCGCCGCGCCGCGGCCGCGCGCGGTCAGCACGGCTCGGTCAGCCGGTGACCCGGCCGGCCACGGCGCGCCGTTTTTGTCTTGGACGGCGGTCACGACCGCGCCAAAATGGCCGCCGAGATCCTAATGAAGCTGTCCGGGCGGACGGCCGCTCGCGTGCAGTGCCGGGTGTGAGCCGTGATGGGCCCAGTCAGTCGAGCGCGACGCTGCCGGGACGCCGCGACACGGAACGAATCGCCGGCGGCCGGCGGGACGCGAACCCGCCCCGGCGGCACGGAAGCTGCAACACGCACCGACGGCTGACGGCGCCGGCCACCGATGGCAGGTCCAAGGCTGGCCTGACCCGGCCCTGGACGACAGGAAAACACCGTCGGCAGGCCGCCCGCTCGCTGCTCATTAGTGAGCGAGGATTTACTGTTTTGGATGACAGACTCATCAATCGTCTAGCTGGGCGGCATTGCTGAAAGGATTCCGCGCAAAAATCGTGGACTGGCTGTCAGATGGGCCGATTCAGCGGTCGGTGGTCGGTAAAGCGGGGATGCTCGCCGAATTTTGTCGATGGCTGCGATAGGGCTGGCGGGGCGGCGGTGGGCGGTGGGCGGGGACGACTTGGGACAGCCGCGGACGGAAGCTGACGACAAATGGACTCTGTGATGGGCTCTGATGTGAGCTGCTCCACGGTGGCCGCGCGCTGTGCCGAGTCGCTGACGCTGGTTGGCGGTGAACTCCCGTCCCGGGAGAGGGCTGCTGCACAGCCGGCCCCTGCATGTCCCGTCATTCCGTCCGTGTCTGCAGATGATCCCGGGTGGCGCCACCGAGCCGCCGAGTGTCTGCGCGTGCGAGCCCGGCACGTCTGCACTGCGCACGCCGCGTGTGCACAGCATATGTCTGTGTGTCTGTGTGTGTGCACCGCGCCGGGTGCGGGTGGGCGCCGGACGCCCTGACCCGAATAGCCCGTCTTTGTAACAGATTAACTCTGCAACGATCTTGAATCGAGCGCTCGATTAACTGGTGAGCTGCTGCGGCTGCAGCTGCCGCCGGAGAGTTGTGGGCGACGGCCGCGCGGGGACAGCGCATTGTTGACCACCTGCCCGGCTCGATCAGTGCTGACCTGCACGTCCCCTCAGTGGACCCAACTGTCCATCCTCGTGATGCATTCAACTCGTGTGCATAACTGATGGGATTTCAGTGAACAGCCATGCCCGATGATCTGGGGTCCTTGTGCGGCTTGTGGGATAATAAACGGACCGTAATATGTCATCGGATCAGTGGGCTATCATGGATATCTGGATGTTTCTTAATGTCACCGGTGGTTGACTGCAGCCGGTTGGCGGTGTAGTTGCGGTCTCCGTGGCAGGGAATCGAGTAGGTCTCGCTGGTCTTTGAATGTGGCGAGGCGGCGGCCGTCTCAAACCTCACCCGGCTTCCCTTTCCCATCCCTCTTCAGCGCAGCTGCGCGTGTACCGCATTATAGCGCTCGGCACCGGGCGCTGCAGTCGATAGGTGAGTCCGATTAGGCGGCCGCCGGCGCCGGTCGGTGATCCGGGGCGAAGGAGGGGTGGCGGCGCGGGCTGCGGCTCACCGGCGGGTCCGTCACCGCGCCCCAAGCGGCACCAGCCACGCTCTCGGGGAGGTGATCAGACGCGGCCCGCCCGCCGCCGATCGCAGTCAACAGCTGGCATTGTGCGATCAAAGACCGGCCCGTTTCGAAACACGCCGATGTGCATTAGCGCATCGAGGCGCTTCCGCTCGGCGCTGGCGGGTGTCGGGTGCGGGGGGCGCCGCCGCTGCTGTCTGTTGCCACTGCACCCTGCTGCGCCGGTGATACAGCCGGGCCGCGCACTGGTTTTGTCGGCGGCGCGCAGGCCTGGCTCGTGTGCCGGTCGCGCGGGGCGTCTGTTGCTCTCGGCCGTCATTGTCAGCGGTCGGTGATTAGGGCGGCCGACGCCACTGACCTGCGCCGCCGTCCGCCTCTCGGCCCAGGCTCGTAATCCGGGCCACAATACGGCGGCGGCGTCACAATCGCATTCGGAGCCGGGCCGCCGAACGTGTCCAGTCGGCCGGCACTGATGGCCGAGTGGAGCTCTGTGGAGACGGCGCGGCCGAGGGGACTGCAGGCCGCCGGTAATCCGCCCCCACCGCTCCCGCCCCTGACACAGTCCCGGCTGCGACCCAGCCCAGCCTCCGTGACGTCACGGTCTCTGAACCCTGTGTTGCCTGCCTGTTCCAGCCCTACCCTGCCATCGGCACCTGCCCTTGCCATGGGCCCTTGACTCGGCCTCAGCCCTGGCTTTCCTAAAGCCCGACTCGAACTTCTGTCAAAGTTCGGCCCTTGTTACAGCCCCTGCGATGGTCCTCGGCACAGTTTTACGGCCAAGGCCCTACTTCGGTCCCTGCTCGGCCCTGTCCCTCCTCTGTTCCGCCATGGCGTCCCCTGCCCCAGTCCGTCCCCGTCTCCCTCCCAGGTGCCCGAGCCCGGCTGGCGTCTGCCGTATACCTGGAGAGCGTCTCGACGGAGCGGACAAACAGACCGACAGCGGCGGCCCATTCAGAATCGGCCGCTTACGTGCGGCTTAGTGGTCGTAAATAGCCGGAAAATATCGGCCCCTCTCGGCCGATCGAGGACTCATTGAGAGCAGTCGGCGTTCCCACGCACAACCGCCCGGCCGCCCCGCCCCCGCCCCCGCCCGGAGTTTGGCCGGGCAGATCGGGCGTGAGACGCTTCTGTCTTGGCGTCCTCATGTCTTCGGCTGGCTGTTAGCAGCTTTGGCGCATTGTTTCCAGACCGCTTCTGGTTGGCCGGATCGTTTGTTGATGCTGCTCGCCAGCTTTAGCGGCCCGTCTGACAGCGCTGGCAGTGATCTCATTATTGGGCCGGTGTTTGGGAACGGACGGCCAGCAGGCCCGATGGTCGTGGGATGGTCGTTCGAAGCGCGGCACTAGTGCAGACGTGGATGAATGACCTGTGACACGACGTCCGGTCGACTACCAGCCGCCTCCGTGTCGCCGCCCGGCGCATATACAACGGCGCACACGCACACAGGCGCGCACTCGGCGTGACAAAATAAACAGACGCACTGGTCGGCGAAGATGGCGGCGCCGCCGCGGCACGTGCCGACGGACGGATGTGCCCGGGAGGAGCCTTAGTTTACCGGCGGTGCGCACGATGTCGCCAAACATCGCGGCGGCGTGACAGAGCCTGTGTGGGGAGGACAGAGGATAATTTTACACACAGGCCGACTTCAACCCAAACCGCCTCACCTCCGGCCTCCGCGGCTCTACGCGCGCCCACCACAATGCGGGATACGCCCACCTACGTCTGCACCCATTTCCAAAGAACTCGTTTCTAGCCGGCCACTGCACTGCGCCTCGTCTTACGACCTCGTCGGCCGCCGCTGGCCGGGGGGCGTCGCACGCAGCCGGCGCCGTCAGCGTGTTGATGCTGGCGGCGGCGGCGGCGGCGCGGCGGCCCGCCTGACCTGCAGGCCGTGCCCGGCGCTGCCATCAAACACAAACAGCCTGCAGCCGGCCGTTGTCTGCGCCGGCCTTTATGGGTCGCGGACGTGCCAGCAGTGTTCCTGGAGCGCAGCACGGCGCCGCGCTAACGATATACCGCGGCGCCGGCCGGGGCGCGGGGACGGGTCATCATACCTGACCGGTCACGCCGAGGGCTGCTCGAGTGACGCCGCCAGGAGCCGGGAGTGTAAATGTTGTGACTTCTCCCTGGCGGAACAGAACAACACCAGTGATAATACCGCCCCGCGCACCGCCACCGCTACTGAGCAGAAAACGGGACAGACACTTACAGTCAGAATTTGAAATATGTTTGTTATATTTACCTAATGGCCGTTTTGGCAGGCAAAGTGTCCGCCAGTCCGGCGATGAAAGCAAACAGACGCGTTTCAATCAAATTGAGGAATGTGTTTATTTTAATAGTTTAATGGCCTTTTCATCGATCAATTCTAAAGCTCGTTTATTTTATCTAATTCTGCACAAAATCTGCCGCGCTTAAAGCATTACGTCGCCTGAAAGCTGTCATGAATAACTGTCACCGTCGACCTACTTCTGGGCTCATGGTTCACTCTGTAACTTCCGGACCGCGCTGGTCCCTGCTGGTCGCCTGACCGTCCACGCGGCCTGGCACCCCTCCCCACTTGCCGTCCCGGCTACGCGTCGGGCAACGTTCGACCTTTGTCCAATATCGCTCGGTCAACTACTCTCTCGTATCATCTTCATCGCCTCTTCTGTCTTTCTGCGGGCTCACATCTCACTCTGTCTTAAAAATTCTCTGATTCTTCTCGCTTTGATACCCTGTCTTTTTTTATAAAGTCTTCTACTTTCTAGTCTTGATATCTAGAAAGTTTCTTCTTTTGAAACACTTGTTTTACTAGCGCGACGTTATGGGCGCAAAATGACCTTTGCAGTCGACGCGCCCTAAAGCCCCAATAAACAAACAAACTTCTCGCTTTGATGCTTCCCATGTTCCCTTACTAACGTTCTTCTTTGTATTACGTCCTCTGATCCTTCTAGCCGTCGAACGTCTCCTTCCGCCTCACGTTTCCTCCTCCCACCGTCTGATGCCTCCTTCCCCACCGTCTGATGCTTCGTTCCCTTCGTCTGACGTTGCACCCTCTGTCTGTCCACAGCCTCCCCGGCAGCACCGCCAGCGAGCTCTCGCTTCTGCAGCGCTCTGTCGACCTGCACGCCGCGGCGTACCGCGCCCAACAGGCCCAGTACGAGCAGCTCTATCCGTCACCGACCTCGTCACTGCGAGGGCTCTCTCCCGTCGGCTCCGCCAGAGGTGAGTTCGCTGCTGCGAGTTGAGCTGGAAGGAAGATGTGGGTGGATGAAGTTGGACGGGTGGATAGGGATGAAGATGACCAGAAATTACGATGAAGAAGAGGACTCGTGGGGTAGGGGTTTGAGTTGTAGAAGGAGGAGGGTTACAGAGTATGATGTTGATGTAAATTGCAGATGAATGATATGTCTGCCGTTATATGTGTGTGGTATGTGTATACCTGCTATGGCTGGACGTTTATATGTCGTCCCACCGGCCGATCGGCCCAGCAGGGACCGCCACTGCACTGTTAGTGTGTCCGGTTGCGCCGCGCTGCGCCGCGCCACCCTGCCCTGATCCGACTACCAAGGACGGACCGCGCCAATCTGCCGCATATCGGATCGGTCTCATCTGGGTCGCGCGGCTGCAACTGGCGCCGGCGTCGGTAGCGGGTCGCGGATCGCCTTGCGTCGTCTGCGGCGATCCGTCAGCGGTCGGCCGCCGGGCGAGATGGCACCCCATCGGCGGCGCGGCGCAGCTCGTAACCAGTCGTGACAAATCGCCGGCCGGCACGCGCGCCGCGCTCCGCACGCGGATTATTCAGCGCCGTGACGGCCGAGCGGCCAGCGCGGCGTCGGCCGGCCCGATCGGCCGCCATTTGGGAGGCAAATCGGCGCGGCGACTGTCACCGCCGCGCTGCGATCGTCGCCGATGCGTCAGTGGCGTCGCCGATCACGGCGGAGCCACTGAGCCACTGTCAGGTGCTGCCGGGTGGTGACGCGGCCGAGCGCAGGTCTGGTCACCGGCAGCTCGGGCCGCCGCGAGCTGCCGCGTGGTGACGCCCCACGCGCGCAGTGGGATATTCTGAGACCTGCCAAGGCATCTTTGGTCCTATACCGAACCCGCTCAGGGGCCGAGATAGGGTGAGTCAGGCGCCAGCCGTACATCGGGCCGCGAATAAAACACCGCAGTTTAGGCTGCGGCGGCCGGCGGCCCGCTTTACGAGCGAGCACGTCATGAGATCGGCGCGACGTGTTGAACCAGGCCGGACCGGCAGCTCGGGCGCTGCAGCGTCCCGGCTCTGGTCGTGCAGTCACTGGGAGTGGGCGGGGGCGGCAAGACGGGCTCAGGCGCCGTGACGTGTCAGTTTGGCCGCGCGGCGCTGATCGGTCCGAGAGAGCGTCGCCCTCCCCGCCCCCTGCCGCGGTTTGTGCGGCACGCCTCCCGCGCACAATCGTAATTACCCGTATTGCTTGTTTGCAGAGGAGTTTTTGTAGTGGTGCGCTGCGCTGACGCCTGACAAAGGCCGATTGATTTCGGGGAGTCATCGCCGGCCGATGAGTGCCGGCCGCCGCGGTGCGGGCCGGCGTCGGCGCCGTTTTTGCGCGCGGCTCGGATCGCTGCGCGGCGGGCCGCGTCTCGGCGCACCCCGCGGCGGCCGGCCGCCCAGCTCTGATTGGGGCCGATTTTTTCACGGCGCGTCGGCCGGCTCGGGTTGCGGCGGGGTTAATTGGGCCCATTGTCGACGGCCGGTGACGGGACCGCCGGCCGGTCATCTCATCTGGCGCGGCGCGGAGATGGGCGCGATCGGGCGCGCGGCGCCCGCATCTGCGGCCGCCCCGGCGGTGTTCGCGGATCGGCACTCTCCTCCACCCCACTCCTCTCCTCTCCACCCGCCGCGCTCTGCTCCCACTCCGGTGGTGCGCGGCTCGAGCACGCACACTCCGTGCCTGGACCGCCGTCACGGTCCGACCGAGAGCGGCCATGCGGGTCTGGATGATGGTGTGAGAGGGGGCTGGAGGCAGGAGCGGCTGTAACTGGCCGGGATGGAGTATGGAGGAGAGCTGCGTTCCGTCCAGCCTCAGCCTGTGGAGACCTGCGGGAGTTCTAACTCGAGATTGATGAACGTCAAGCCGTCATAATTTGCCGTCACGCGTCCACAGCTCGTGCGGGTGCCTCGCTCGCCTGCAGCCCGCTTGGGTGGCAAAATTATCAGCCTCTTTCAAGGTTTGTTTAGCCGGATAGCCGACGGCCGGCTGTGCGACTGCAAAAACTGGCCCGATTCCGGGCTATAAGTACGCTAGAATAAACGGCCGGCACGCCGGGGTCGTGTCGCCCTGTCGGCCGCCGTCGCCTGCCACCCATCTCCGAGCGCTCCGTGACACCGCGGTGGCGGCCATCCGGGGCCCTCGGGAGCCACAGGATGACGGAGCAGTGTCGCTCCCCAGGGTCTCGCCCGTCGCCGTACAACAGGCACTTCCAGCGGCGCACCGGCTGCGGGTCGTAACACACCGCACAGGCGGTGCTCGTTTGGGTAAAACCAGGCAGTTGTAGCATTGTTAATAACCAATTATCGTCATCACCGACTGACAGCGTTCCGGTAATGAGCGCACGGCGGCTGTCGAGCTCGCGGCTCGCCGCTGCCGGGCGACATCCCACGCCGCCGGCGCGGATCGCTCGGAGGGCTGTAAAACTCGACCGGCGCGCGGCGGCCGCATTCAGCGCCGCTGATGTACTCAAAACACGGCGGCGGTGTCGCCGGCCGGCACCGACCGTGGGAAGGCCGGCGCGGCCACATTCTTCCGCGCGCCGCGCGCGCCGGAACTCCGTGACGTCGAGGCCGCGCGCCAGCCGAGATGTGAGCCGACGCGCTAGTCAGCCGTGCCTCTGACCGCTCGGGGTTAGACCTCGCTTCGCTCTGACCACTCTAACCTCGCGGCTCGTCGGTGGTTTAGCTGGGAGGTCACCAGCGACCGTTCTGCTCTGGTAGCGGTGACCAAGAGGGTTGTCTTTTCGTGTGGTACTGGTATCACCGTTCAACGTTCAGCTGCATCTAACCTGACTATAGCATCAGCTAGCTGCGGGCCGTCATTGCGAGCGCCGACTGCGCGGCAGCGAGTGAGAGTGAATGACTGGCTTGGACTTCCCAGCCGGCCGTATCGGCTGAACGCTCCGGGGAGAATAATGACTCGAGCCGCCGACTGGTGATTGGATGTGCAACGCCAACCGGAGGTGTGCGGGCATTATGCTCTCGGGGAGGACGCGGCGGGCCGGTGCCGCGGCACCCTTTGTCACGCTCCTCTGTTGGCGTTATCGCTGAGGCGGCCCTTTGAACGCCGCCGGGCTGAGGCAGGGACCGTGGCCGGCCACACGGTCGGTCTGACCGGGACGTGCGCCGCGGGCCTGCCGGGTCCGCCGCTGCCGCGCGGCGCTGCCGGTCGTATCCAGAGCCCTGCACGGCCGCATTTCGGTCCGTGTGAGGCCGCACCTGTGTGTCCCGGGCCGCGGAAGTGCGGCCCGCACATCAGAGCTGACCGCTGGCCCGCTGCTGGTCGATGAGAAGCGTCACTTGGCGGCCTGTCGGCGCCGACTCGGGCGGCGCTGACGGCCGACGCGGCCCCCCGCCGACAGCCCATGGAGCGCTGTCAGCCGCTGACGGGCCGCGTCTGCTCGCGCCGGTCAGAGATATTATTCATCGGCGGCCAGCCACGACCGGCGCGCCAGCCAACTATCCCATAATGTTATTGGTCGCGTCTGCATGCACGACGTGCCAGCTGCCGGCTTTGTGTCAGCGAATCTGGTCAGCGTCATGCCACTCGGGCTGGATCAATATTATTACGAGTGGCCGCGGGGCGGATGAACTTCTCAGCGCCAGCTTGTCCCGCTCTCGGCGGTGTTTTAACCTGTTGTCGGCTGGCGGTGGCTGTGAGACCTCCGTGGATCGCTGTTCTGCCGGTGAGGAGCGGTGCCAGTGACGGTGTGTTTGTGTGTCTGTGTGCCGCCAGGTCTGAGCACCCACGACTACCTGGCCATGTCGGCGCTGGGCCAGCGTTCTCTGGCCGACTACCCGGGCGCCGGCAGTCTGGTCGGCTCCGACTACTCCATCAACCTGGACGGTAAGACCGCGCTGCGCTGCACGGGAGGACGTGGGAGGGAGGACAACGAGGGCTGCTTCCGCGAGATGAGTCTCTCATGTCCTGAATGCGTCCGTTAGGTCATATGCTATTCCCAAGAGTTTCCCAATCTCCTTTGTTTGGTTATACTTTTTTTTGGTCACCCTCCAATTGGATGTCCCAATAATGGCTTGTGATTGCCAAGTACACCCTAAACGTTGTACCTATCGCCCAGCTTAGCGATACAGCGCTCTCTCAGCGCCCTAAAGCTGAGTATCGCTTACCCGAGCAGTGAGTGAGACCTGTTTTGGCCACTTTGGCATTTAAATCAACTCACGAATTCAAACCATTATTATTAAATCGATCAGAAATAAAGTAGGAGCTAACGGTTATGTAAGAGGCCAACTCATCCATGCTGTGCTGCATGGGGTGCATGCCTACCATGCGGAACGCTGGTTGAGCTATTCTGGGATTGACAAGTCTACCTGCTGACCTTTGTGGGCAAGGCCTGCTGTTTTTTGTTCATTTATTGCACCAATGCAATGCTGGCCAGCGGCTAAGACATATTTCGTGTGCAATACGGATGAATAGGTAACATTGACAATGGGCTATGAATATCGTTTGTGGAAACCACCATTGATACTGATGCAACGTCTCACATTATCGCAACAAGATAATCTGCCTGTTCGTGAAAACTTATCTTCATTCCATAACACACATCGGTCAGCAAATAACTGACGAAGTGGTTTTGCAGCGCGCTGGAGAATTGATGGAACTGACAAGGCGATTGTGGGAAAACAGTCCGGTGCACCGGTGACCGTTGGCCGGCCGTTTACGGGACGTCATGGGTGCTCAGCTCGGTTCGCTAAGCCAACACCTGCGCTCCATGGCGCCCAAATCCCGGCGGCTGGAGGAAAATGCTGCTGGTGTATTTATTGAATTCATCGATGGATTACAGGGTGCTTATCCTCTGCTACCACCGCTACTGGCGGCGACACTGACGGCTCGGGGAAATAAAGAGGCACACACATCCGCCTGCCAAGGCTGGGCCGTGACGCGCGGCGGGACACTGACACCATGGCACTGCCGGCAAACGGCTGACGCGCAGAGATCAGATCAGCACTTCTTGCTGTCGGACTCGGCGGATTTTTGGCGACACGCCGCTCCGCAACGCATGCTGATCATTGTGTAAGTCGGCTTACAAACGTTGTCTGCCACTGTGCTGCGGATGGACGCCATCAGATCACGGCGCACCGGCGAAAAACGCCGCCCCTAACAGCGTCCACTCTGGAAAGTGGCCGTCCTTTTTACCGGCGGTGCCTTATGGTGCTGGAGGAATGTCCCGCTCGGCGAGAAGCGTCCCGGTTGGACGATATCGGCGCGGCGCGCACGGTCCGCTCACGAGAAGACATATCGTCTTGTTTACGCGTGGTGATCGGCGCCGTCCTCTGGGTTTCGGCTCACGTCTCGGCCGTCGCCGCGTTTGGGCAGAGGCGACCCGAGAGCCGCTGAGAGGACAATCTGAAAATTGCTGTGATTTTACAGGAATTCGGGCGTCGTTTACGAGGCGCCAGTATGCGGGTCCCGCTATATAAGGGGTCATCTGGCGGGTTTGTTTTTTAACAGCGCGTTATCGCCGCCCATCGGATCGACTGGCCAACGAATTCCTCTCCGGCTGATGCATTATTCAGCTGTTTGTCCAGAAAAGGACGCTGCCTGCGCGCGGCAGGATAGCTGGCCGGACGGCGCGCGCGCCACTTGCTTTTATCTCTCGGCCGCAGAGCAGTCACCCGCTCTCCAAATTGTCAGTTTATGTCCGAAACGACGGCCAGCCGATACATCTCTGCGCCGGATTGGGACCACTTCGGCCTATCAGATGTGTGGCTGGCAAATTTGCACACACTGTTAACAAGCGCCGGCTGTGTCGCCTCCATGTTATACTGAGGAAGGAGGCTTCCAGAATTGAACTCGTCCGCGCTGCTGTCTGGTGTCGTCCTCAGCTGCGGTAGGACTCCGAGGGCCGCCCTCTGCTCCGCGCTCGTTCCGGGTCGCGCGCGCAGCTCCTCGCGCCAGGTCTCGCCGCGGGGCTCTGTCGCGCGACGCCTCGTGTCGCGCCTCTCTCCTGACTTTGCGCCGCAAAAAGGCCGCGCGCGACCAGCCTGTATGATTGAAGAAGACGTATGCGGTTTTTGCTACGGGCGCGACAATGGCGGCGCCGGCGGATTAGCTGACCCCTCTCGGCGGCCTGATATGATTTTCTCCGTCCCAGTGCCGCCTGCGGGGTGAACGGCGCGTAATCCGGCGCGCCGCGCTCGCCGCCGTGCGTCAGATTAGCCGCGCGGCGCTGCTGGAGAGGAGAGCGGTCCGCGGGGCGGTGACCGCCGCTGGAGAGACGAGTGGTGGCAAAACACGGTGCCGGCCGGACAGCGCCACCCGGCGCCGAATTGGCGCTCCTCTGGGCGACTCTGCGCCGCTCTCGTGGCCGCCAAGTGGAGCCAATCGGCCGGCTGACGGCGCCGAACCGAGCCGCCACCGGCGCACCGAGTGGCGCGCACAATTTATGGCGCGACGTCGGCAGCAGCGACCTTCGTGATCGGTTAACGTGACGCCACCGTGCCGGCTGCACAGACAGGCTCGGCGGCCGAGAACGACCGCTGAATATTTTCGACATTGACAAGTGACATGACCATCATTGGGCTTGGAGGCGCCCGCCATTTGCGGGACAATATTTCGTCGAAAGGCATTTCCTGGCGATAAAAATTGAGGTGGCGCGGGTGATGTCACCTCTTGGCCACTACATTTGTCATTGTCGAAGCTATACTTACCTAATGCTCACATGGGTAGCTGAAGCTGAATTGCAAGAAAGCAGCTGTTCTGCGGTCGAAGGTCTTGGCTTTTCCTCTGTGTTCCTACCGCCCGCTCGAACGGGAAGAAAGAGAATGGTGTAAAGAGGACAGTGCCGTTCATTTTATGATCTAAACGAGCTGTATATTAACCGTTTCCATCCACAGTGTGGGAACGGTGCGCGGTGCTGTCTTTGTAGCTGGTGCGCCCTTACAATCGCTCCGTGCAGTGTGGGAAAGAGGCGAGGCCCAACTGCACTCACCGACCACCATTCTGTCCGGCCTGCAGACGTCATGTATCATTCAGAAGAAAACATTTGTGAATGGCATGGTATACTAGCGATAAGTATAGGGTGCAGTCAGACAGCCGGCACCGTATGTGCTTGTTGTGTGTGAAGTTACCTGACGTGTTCCCTCTCGCCGGCAGGCGGCTCGCGGCTGTCACTGAGCCCGCGCCACGGCCGGAAGCGGCCGCTGTCGTCGGCCTTTTCGGACTCGTTCGACCTGGGCTCGATGATCCGCTTCTCGCCCAACTCGCTGGTGCCGCTGCCCGTGATGAACGGATCGCGGTGCTCCTCAGCCAGCGGCAGCTACGGCCACCTCTCGGCAGGTGAGACGGCGGGACACCAGTCGGGCCGGGACTGGGGACGGACGGGACACACATCGGGCCTTCAAGGGATTACAGGTGGGGCCCGAGGGGCCTGCTATTGGGACATAGATGGTGCCTTCTGTCTAAGGGTAGGGTTGGGACGGACTGTGCACCGGGATGGGTCCCTCTGTCGAGTCAGGAGAGGACCTCTTGGCTCGACCACGTAACTTATTCGACGTGACCTGACCACAGGTCTGCCTCCCCCTCCCCAAAGACACTCTTTATGACTTTTCTGTAGAGGTTGCCTCTTCCCAGTGTCCAAGTGCCCCGTCCTGTGCCTGATATATGATGTTCGTGTCTCAGTTATGTTCCTCGAGACAAAGCTCCGTGGTTTCTCAGACGCAAGCACCCTTCGACCTCAAAGTTCCAACAGGATCAACTAATCCTTTTATAGGATGAGACCGATCAGAATAAAAAATTGAAGGAGGCACGGGTGAAAACTGTTGAACGTGAGGTAAGGGTTCCAGGGAAGAATTTGCTCGCTCCCGCAGTCAAAGATGCCGAAAGCGCTTCTAAATAAGCATGAGATGCGAAGGCTGAAATAAGCTGGCATCAAATATATGCAATACCGTAAGATATTTTCTAGATTCATTTATAATATGCCAGAATACCACGACATCGTCTTCTCACGTTGTCAGAACACTGAAGTGGATGATACCAGCTTATGAAGTCACGGCAGGCGTAGCCGTTTTTTGACTGTTGGTAGCTCGCTGAACACTGGACACTCTTGCTCTTTCTTCCTCAAACCTGAGTATTCTTTCCCTCTCCTCGAGATCTAGTTGCCGAGGCACTCATTTGTCACAGTGACGCCTCCTGGAAACTAAGGGGAGATATCCCTGAAAACAGTAGTTGACGCACCTCCCAGTCCCAGCCACCTCTTTCCGCACGGCCGACATAAAAGATACACGAGATACCGTCTGTCGATGATGCTCGAAGATTTGCCCAACCGGACGAATTCCGAGCCCCGTGGACTGAGCGGGGTCACATATCTGTCTCAATGTCGACTACAAACAGGATTGAGGCGGGCTGAGTCGGACTGATGGGCGGCGAGCTGAGCTGAGTGATGCAGAGCTGGTCTGAGCCGCCACGAAGGCCACCCTGCCAGCACAGAGCCGAAAGGCGAGAGTCGTGCTGCGCGGTGGTGTGAAGTATGGTGCCTTGGCGTGGTTGGTTGAACTGACTACTGACTGACCGGTGGCTGTCACGTGTTCATCGGTGAGACCGATGCCGGTCGGTTAATCGGGCGCGGTCGGTGCGGCTGACGAGGGCCGCCGCTGACGGCTGCCCAACGCAGACAGACGCCTTATTAAACGGTCGGCGGCGGCTGGTCTAATTGGTGCCGCGGCGTCGGCTGTTGTGACAGCAGCTGTACGCTGACTGTATCGGGCCGCATCGTCACCGCACCGCGCATACCGCCGGCCGCGCGGCGCTCGTCGCCCGAACACCCACCTCCCGGCTGGCCGCGTCCCGTCGCGTCGCGTCGCACCGTGCTGTGCGCGGCCGCGTGTTGGCAGAGGGCGCCTCTGTCCGGGTGACTGGTCAGTTCCGCCGGCCGCCGACCACCTGAGCCGGTACTTACAGCAGCAGGTGTGTGGCCCTCAGTGAGGTGGTTTGGCGGGGAGACATCTTACTCGGGTGAGTGGAGGTCAGGTGACCCAGGTCATACCTAGGATAGGTGGTGTGCGGGACTGGGGGAGTGTGACCACTGCGGATGTAGGAGTGTCCACCTCTCCAGCTACGCAAAGTTGCGAACCACCGAGGTGCGGGCGGGTCAATCGACGGCCGCAGCGACGGCAGCGCCACGGAGTGGCTGCGGCCAACGGCCGAACTGTGGCACGGCCATAACTCAATTAGGCGGCTCATTGTCAGTACCTGACGGCGGCTGTGGGCGCGGCGCCGCTGTCTGCGGCAGCTGCGTGCCCGGACTGAGGCTGCGGCGTCCCCGGGTCGGGCGGAGCGCCTGCCGTTCGCCTGCCGTTCGCCTGCCATTCGTAGAGAAAGTGGCGACTCTGCGCCCATGCTGCCCGGCCCTTCGGACCTGTCCAACGCTGCCCGTTCAAAGGGGGCGCCGACGCGCGTGCCATTTATCTCTTGGCTACCGCGTGCCGGCCCGCTAACGACGCCATCGGGCCGCCGACGTCAAATTGGAGCTCGACTCACAATTAATCGGCATTTATAGTTTCGTTCCGGCCATGCCATAAATTATGGTCGGCTGCCTTTCTCTAAATATGCCATATGCATTCGGTTCGCGGCCGTCAGACGTGCCTATGGCCGCGAGACATCATCATCGAGCGCCGAATTAAGCCGTTAGGGGCGAGCGGGGCCTTGTGGCCCAGAACTGGACTGTCTGACCTTGGCCTGGAGCCACGTGGACGTAACTGACACGTGACGTGTGAGAGACGCGGCAGTCAGAGGTCAGGTCAGGGGGGGTCGAGGTCACGATGGGTCAGAATCTCACCGGGATTTCCCATTGAGTTGGATTCGTTACGCGGTTGATAGATAACGGTGAAGGCTCACGTCATACAGCTGGTGTCCACGCTGAGCTCAACCAAACAACCTGACTCAGCCGGCGGGGTCGAAAGTCGAGTTTCTAGAGCGGTGTGGAGGGCGTCTTGTGATACCCGCGACGGTGGGACAGCGGTAGCGGATTGTCCGCGACTCTCGGCGTAAGCTGTAAACGGTAGCCTCTCCTCTGTTGACCGATGCACCTCCCCGCCTCCTCACACCTCGGCATTAGCAGCAGCCGCGGCAGCAGGGGCGGTGGCGGTGGGCGTTTCTGTTTACCGATGTAGCGGCGGCGGCGGATCGCAGCAGCAGCGGCGGGCTGCCTCTGCAGGGCGCCCGCCGGTCCCACAGACCGGCGGCATGTGTCCCGTGACCCCTCCCCAGTGTCCCATTCCGGGTGTCACGTGTTGCAGCTCTCCCCGTCACCTCCCGCCGGGCCGGGCTGTGACGCCGCGGGCCGCGTCACGCTCCTTTAGTGACGACACCCCTGTGTGCCTCTTCTGATCGTGTGTGACGCCATGTGTTGAACATATGGCGATGTGACCCGCGCTGCTGCCGCTGGTGTCGTGTTGAACTCGGTAACCCAAAGTGACCCCACTGACCTGTGTTCGTGACCCCGCAGGGCTGAGGCCCTAACCTATATCCGTAACCTGTCTAGCCAATATGCGGCGTAAATTTTCCAACTATATATACTCCGTCTGCCTACCACGGCCTTCCGGCGCACCCCTGTTCGACATGAAGACTCAGACTGTTCCTTGTTTGACCTCTGGTTTCCGAACGGATCTAGTCTAGCCCATGGTGCCTCCACTACACACCCTGGCCCCTGTTCCGCACTCTCTCCCCGTCTGAGCAGCGTCTGACCTGTACGCCTCCCCTCCCTCAGGGACGGCGGGCGCCATCAGCCCGGCGCTGGGCATGCACCCGGGCATGCCGCCGAGCCACCTGCAGCAGCTGCAGGCGCACCTGATGTCGCGCGGCTCGCCCTACCTGGCGGCACAGGCGCACTCTGCGCTACTGCCGGCGGCGGCGGCTGCTGCGGCGGCGGCGGCCGCACACGGCCAGCACCCGCTCTTCGGCATCCCGCCGTACACGGGCCTCAACCTGGACAGGAAGGAGGTGAGCTGCCCGCGCCCCCGCCCCCGCCCCCGCCCGGGCCGGCCGGGCTATTTTAACCTCAGAGCGTGCTGTTTGGATATTGCTCATCATCTGGTATGTGGCGTGATAAATCTGGGGCGAGTTTTGTTCAGCATAGTACATGAACGCGGATGTTCAGGATGACTGGTCGATTGTGTTCTGCGCTTAATGCTTTGTCTTGCTGCCACGCAGAGTGTCGGCGTACACTGGGTTTCCTGCTCACGGACGGACCTGTTCATGTTCTGCGCCGGCCGCGCCGCCTCGTTTACGTCTGTTTGGTCTGGCGGCGGCCGGCCGCGTTCGCAGCCGTTGACACCCGCTCGGTGAGCGACAGCGGCTAGTTAACACCCCGGCCTGGCTATCGGCCAGTGGAAAACATGCCGGCAATACCGTTAACTTTGGCGTAAGTCGGATTTCTGCAAACATCGTCGGCCGGTCAGTTCCAGTAGCCGAGGTCTCGGTGGCTGCGCGCTGACTGCAGAGCACTGCTTCTGTCCGACAGCTCCCGATAGCGGGGGCGGTCGAGCGTGGCCGGCTGCTCACGGGCGCGGCCGTCACCGTCTCGTGCGCTGGCCGGTCGCGCAGATTTGGTTGTCAGCACGGCGGGCGGCCCGGCCGGCCGACCGACCGAGTCGCTCGTCATTCCCTGAATCGAGGCGTCTCGCCGATTTGGCCGCGGCGAACGGCCCGCTGCGGACCATTCTTCAGCGGCGCGCTGATACGGGCGCAGCACCATGAAATGAGCTGGCTAACGCGCCGTCCCAGCCAGCTCATTAGTGGAGCTAAACTTGGCCGGCGGCGGCACCAGCGGCGGCCCCAGCCCGGCGGCCGGCGGCGGCGGCAGGGGCGGCGGCAGGGGCGGCGCCAGGCCGGTGGCGGCGGCGGCGGCAGGGGCGGCGCCAGGCCGGTGGTGGCGGCGCACCGAGCGCCTCTGCCGCCGCCGGGGACGGCGAGAGAGTGACACATGTGTCCGCTGGGCGCCGCTCATTGACTATTCATGCACTGTTTACGCGATTTGCCCCACCATCCATCACCATCACTCGGGGATTTCGTAAATATTTCTGCCTAATTAATCTGTAACCCAGGTGTCCGGGGCCCAGCGTCGGGCTCCATACCGGTTACATGCCATGGATCGGTTCTCCTCCGCGTGATACCGGCCGTCGTGCTCTACCCCGGCCGCTCCTCGCCATCCGTTTCACCTCCCGCCCCCTGCCGGCGGCCGTGAGTGTCCGATTGGGCCGGATTAATTATACGGGGGCGGGGTGACGTCTCCTTCGAGCCCCGCCCGGCCCGGACGTGAGGAGCGTTACGTCACACTGTGAGAGCGCCGTGGACCCGGCGGTACGGTGACCGGCCGCCGCAGCTGCCGTTCGGGGCGGCTCGCGGAGATCCGAGACGCACCCGGCGCCGGGAGGAATGTGCGGGCCGCGCGTCCGGCTGCCTCCGTCACCCTGTGGGGCGGACGGGCCGCTGACGGCCCACACCGACCGGTGACGGCCCGGGGCGGCCCCGGTCCGTCTCCCCGGTCCAGTTTCGACGTGTCGCGGCGCTCGCTACACGCCAATTACCGCCGTCGGCGCCGACGCGGCCCAATTGGCGCGGCGGCGGCGTGTCCGGCGCGGCCTGACGACGCCGACGCGTCGTGCCCGTCGGCCGCCGAGGTGATACATCGCCTGGGTGGCAGTCGCCCGGTCAGACTCCGGCTCAGGCTTCTCGACGGAATTTCGCGCAGTATCTTTGTCTTCCCTCGCAGTCACAAACGTCAGAGCGGCGTAGCTGTCACCAGCAGGCTACGCCCAAATGATAAGTGAAAAGAGGGGTCAGGTTCTCCCCAGTTCTCGCGCATCAGATGTCCTCGAGCTTGTCGTCGATGCTCCAGGTGGCTAGCTGGAGTGTGGACAGCTGCCCTTCTGAGCTGTCCTCTGTCTCGACAACTGTCAGCGCCGCGTTCCAGCCGGTCTGAACCGCGGCGCAGCGACCGGGGCACGCTCCACGAGCCGGTGGTCATCTGGCGTGGTTCGCCGTATAATCCTCGGAAGGGCGGAGGAGGAATGGCGAAACACGACCCAGTGGATAGATCTGCGTTGCTGACTGCTCCTTTGCTGATGCTTGTCACCGTCTGGCCCGTGAATTACAAGCCTCTGCGCGTTGCATTCCTGTTTCGTGACTGGCTCGTGATCCATTCAGTGCCCTGCACTAGGGTTGTTCAAAAAAACCGAATTTTGGAAAAGTATACGGGCTCATGACTCGTGTGGTGAGGTATTCTTTTCTGAGTCCAACGATGTCCTTTTTTCCGAAAAATATTAACTGCTTCATGCTCCCCAAACGGCTTGAAGAGGAGGATGTTACGCCCGGCGACCGGCCGGTGTCAATAAGGGCGAGAATTCGGTGCCGCGCGCCGGCGGAGGCGCCTTATCGGCACCGCGCGCCACGACATCTACCGGGCGGCCGGCCGACCGGTGTAAGGGAATGAATGAGTGGTCTTCTTTCACATGATAGGGGTGCGCTAGCCCATATTGTCGGAGTGGAAAGTTTCAGTGCAGCATCGGTACCTCTGCCGCAGTGTTCTGTGTCGATGCCCGATGGTTCAGAAAAAAGCCAAGCAGAACTAAGAAAAGACTCAATGCTTCTGGCTAGTTCACTATAAACATCTCGTTTCGAGAATACAGCGCGGCGTTTCACGGCCGCTGCTACCAAGATTGCTGCTACCACGCTGCCGGCAGGCTGACTGACTACATCGTCCGAGTTTGCTGATATCTCCATGGACACCCAATTTGACACGTAGGCTGCTAGCGAGCAGTAATCGCCACGCACTTTGAGAATGTGGATCGATCATGGTTGTTCAATACAAAAGCGCCCGTGAAACAGGACCCAGCTGCCACTCAACATACCATATCGCTTTGTTCATGAGTCAAGACGCGAACTCTGAGCAATAACACAGCTCTTTGCACTGCTGTCGACAACTTACATTGCTTTTAGACGGTGGTTTGCAGCCCACATATGCTGTTGCCAACGGTATGCGAAAATTTGAAGTTTACTAAGAACAGCAGGAGCTGGCAATGTGCAAGGACAGAATATGGAGACCCCGGCATCGACGTTAGGTTTAACCTACATTAGCACTTAGCAGTTAAAAAAAGGATGACATGCCCGGGAATGACGCGGTGGCCGCCCTGACACCGTGACGAAGTTGGGTGTGAGTAGAGACAATAGCTGGAGTACACATAATGTCAAGCGCCCATCAATCCAACCCTTCGGGCAGCAGCAGCATCAGCAGCCCGGCCATGTCCACCGATGCCGCTCAAGATCCGATCCAGAGCCGGCAGAGAGCACGGCTCTGCCCTGACCTGACACATATCCCCGGCGTGTCATGACGGACAGACCATTACCTCGCCTGTATAAATACAATGTATACAGTATACCTAACTTACCTATTTCTAAGTTTCATGTTGAGGCAAGAAGTGATCAGCGTCCAGTTCTACTTCGACGAAGACTCGTATTCAGACCTGGCAAAGAGAGCACGGCTCTGCCCTGTTTCCGCGGCTTCTAATGGCCACATCGATACGAGACATCTCCAATCGTCTGTTTTACCTAACTACAAAACCAGGTTGTTGTGTTGCGATTAGCACGATACAATTGTTGCGTACAGCGTAGATATTTGTTAAATGCGTAATTAATTAGAAATAGGAAAAGTAAACATTGCCATCGTCATTCGCCAAACAGGCGATGTCGAGCATAAGTCTGTCCGTCATGACACGCCGGGGATGTGTGTCAGGTCAGGGCGGCTCTGCCCTGGGGGATGTGTGACGCGCTCTATGCCGGCTCTGGATTCGGGTCTTGAACGACACCGGCGCGGTGGGCACGGCCGGCTGCCGGTGCCGCTGCTGGATTGAGCGACACAATTGATTTATATGTGTACTCCCGCTATTGTCTCTACTCAATTCGTCACACTGTAAGGGTGGCCAAACTGTCATTCCCAGACATGTTATCTTTTCTTTCGAACTGCTAATCTAAGTAAAACAAACGTCAATCCTTGCAGCTTGATGAATAAACAAAGCGATATGTTACGCTAAGGAGGCAGCTGTATTCTGTAAACGGAATGTTTCGAGTGAATTACCCAGAAGCGTTGAGTCTTTTCTTAGTTCTGTTCATGGGCGGCGCCACCGGGGGGGACGGGGGGGACAGGTCCCCCGCTATCGAAAGTTAGGGGGGTACAGTACCCCCCTATCGGCGAGGCCCGCTCAGTAGTTGATAACAATGCATTATAGAGCTATCCGTCGCATTTAATGCATCGTTGGTTTATCAAGGCAGGTTCTGAATAAAGATTGCTGTTGGGATGCATCGCAGGGGGTCCTGGCCATCTGCAAAAGGTGTGGAGCTGTGATGCCTGTAGTTATAAGGTGATCGGCAGGGCCTCGGGGATCGTGCCCCCTTTTTGGGGCGCCAGGCAGGGTTATTACTTATCATCTCCCCACCCCACTGCCAGACCCCATTGCCGATAAAACCAAGTTCACTGAAATTCCATAGATTTCCGTTACTATATGAAAAATTTCCATTCCTAATTAGTCAAATTCAAGCATGGCAGTTCTACCACAGGAACCATTTGAAATCTATGCCATTTAACCCCAGCACTTGTGGGGAGAAGTGTTCGGATAGATCACAGGCAGGACCAAAAAAGCACGCAGTAGCCCAAGACTAATTGGATATAGCATCGGCTCCCTCTCGTCAAGGGGTTCGATAGCACTCGTTTTTTTTTCTGCAAAACTAAGTTCGGTCGGCGGCCGAACGGCTGGGGGTCTAATCGAGCCCCCCATCCCTCCCCTTCTTACGTCAGCGGCTGTGAAAATGCTATTACCAGCTGTTGAAACATGACAGTTGCTTTTGCATGAGTGCACGAAAGGGTTTTAGGTCCGTGATACGTGAAAGGTTCTACATGAAAATTGAGATACACCAGCTTATCAAATTGTGCTCACTGTGGTGCGCTCGGTTTTACCTTGACTAGTCTTTGAATTCTGGGGTGAAACAGACCAGTCAAGAAACCTGTTCCATAAGAAGAGCCACTAATGCTAAAGAGATGTGGGATGAGGTTTCCAGAGACCTTCATTACCTCCCAAAGGGGGTGCCCCGCCATTTGCCAATCCCTGCTGTAGTTGTTACGATTGGAGAATGAATATGAGAACGATGCAGGTCGTGCCAGCTCGATCATGACGAACACAATGGTGCCGACATCACAGCTCTACTGCCATTTTTGACGAAGTTAATCAACAAGGACCGGAATCCTACCCTGGGGCATTTCACCTGCAGAGGTCGCCGGACCTGAGACCCTTTCACTCAATTTTTTCAACGGTGCATGCGCTCGTTTTTCCCGCGAAGTTCTTGGCAAGTAAAATCCATCAGAAAGTGTGATCAAATAACGGCTGGTGACCTTCCATGACCTAGCATGGCCTTTTGAGTGACCACCGATGACATGACCACTGACGGCTAGCCATTAGCTGCACCCTGCCCGTTGCATATGGATCAGGTGGTGATGTCATGATTCTGAAATTATATTGCAGTTTTGGCGCACTTGTCAGAGCAGAAGACATTCCCACTTTTCCTCCATGACTATATGATGGTGAAGCCCTGAAGCTGACCAGACGTAAGATCGAAAATTTGAAAGTACGAAACGTAAGAATAGCTGGCACTGCTACTCATACCTAAGCAATTCGCAGCTTGTAGGAAACCAGCTTTGAGTTGGCAAGACTGCAAATTTTGATTTAGAGGCAAGGATGCTTGAAAAGGTGATCGATCTTAGGTGTCCTAGGATAAGTTTGGAAGCGGGATGCACCATTCGATGTGTTTTGGGCCTTGCCAAGTTTCGCGGCGTTACGTGCCTCGTTTTTTTTTCATACACGATCAGTATCTACTTTTGGGATTTTCGATTTTCGGTCCCCGTCCCCCCCTATCGAAAACCCGTGGCGCCGCCCCTGGTTCTGTTTGGCTTATTTTCTGAACAATCGACACAGAACAACGCGGCAGAGGTACCGATGCTGCACTGAAACTTTCCGCTCCGACAATATGGGTAGCGCACCCCTATCATGTGAAAGAAGACCACGCATTTTATTCCCTCCCACCACTGGCCGGCCGGCCGCCCGGTAGATGTCGTGGCGCGCGGTGCCGATAAGGCGCCTCCGCCGGCGCGCGGCGGCGAATTCTCGCCCTTACTGACACCGGCCGGCCGCCGGGCGTGACATGGTCCTCTTCAAGCCGTTTGGGGAGCATGAAGCAGTTAATATTTTTCGGAAAAAAGGGCATCGTTGGACTCAGAAAAGAATACCTCACCACACGAGCCATGAGCCCGTATACTTTTCCAAAATTCGGTTTTTTTGAACAACCCTACCCTGCACGGTCTGCGATACGTCGCCACCAGTTTCGGACGGTGAATGGTGATCCATCTTGGCGGCTGTCAGCTGGCAGGCCGACGGGCTCGCGATCCCCGGATTACACAAGCTCGGGCGCATCGCTGAAGGCTGTGGTTTTGTGAGCGGCGGTCTGTTCCGTGACAGAGACGGCGGTGAAGTCCATACCAGAGGGTATATGGGTTACACACGAGAGGAGGCTAGAGCGAATGTGGCATTCCTCTGCGGCATTACAACCTCACGGCATGGTGTGCTGAACATTGCAGCCGCATTCCGCTGCAGGCCTGCAGTGATTAATTGAATTAGAAAACCACTCAGACGTGACAGGCGGTCGATGCGGCCGGCCGGCTGTGCCATGGCTCCCCGCGGCCGGTCGCCCGTCACGGACCGTGCAGACGCCTCTGGGCCACTCACAGAGCGGCCGATGGTGTCACGGTTGGTGATGTTCAGTGCGTTCTGTTTACACGGTGGCAGTCGAGTCATGCACCAATGGCCGGGCGGTTATAAACACGCCAGCGCCGTGTCTTTCTGCCGGCCGCCGGCCGCCGTGTCAGAGACCATGCTGACGGGGAAATAACTGGAACCGGTGTCGGCAGGGCGGCGAGCAGGGATGCCGGTGTTGACGAATTCATTTCGCCTTATGGCGAATTCAGGTCGCTTTAGTTCAGGCGTGTAGGGATTAAACAACCACATGATTTCTTCAAAAATTGATGTTTCGTCTTTGTTAGTACAATCGATCGAAGTTATCCTTTCATACATATTGCAGGTTGTATGATCTTTTCTGTGTGGATCACATTCTTGTCGGCGATTCAAAGCCAAGGCACTGCAAACTTCCGGAGCTGTGACCGGTTCACTGATCAGTAACCCGCTCCGTGTATCTTCCAGCGCGCCCCTCCCCCCTCCCCCTGCACGGAAGTTGTGACGTGACCGGTGCGTCGGCACGGCGTCCGTATACAGCGCGATAGCGCGGTCACCGCTGATGTCACTCCCATCTCCGGCCCGTGTCGCCGACACCGCTGACCGTGTCATGTAGATGACACACGATGGACTCGCGGCTCGCGGCGGAGCATAGCGAGAGTGGACGGAGTGGCTGAGAAACGGTGGAGTTTGAGGAACTCTATGCCGAGTCGGCCAGAGTATCGTGTCGCGCGCTCGAAGTTCTCACTGCCAAGCACAGATCGACTGCCCAGCTGTCTGCCCCTCTCTCACGGGGTGACGGAGCATCCATCGCTCCACTCCGTGAGGCGCCGGCCGTCGGACTGTTGGCACGTTAGGTGTGTCACCTCTGCCGCCGAACTCACCCGGCTAATGACGGTGACGACGGCGCGGTCGACGGGGCGGCGCCTGACACTGACCAGGGCGGGCCGCCTGGCCGGCCAGCACATTCGCTAATGGTGCTCGGGCGATAGAGACAGGCTCATAGAGAGATAGGCACTGGGCACATGTGGTGACATCCGGCTCGGTGTAACGAAACTCGGGATGACATCTGGCTGGGAAGCTAAAATTACATAGGCCTTCATGACTTCAGGCAACGTGTGTGTCTGTGAGGAGTTGAAAAACTGTATGTAGAGTTTTTGTATTTGTTTGTGATTGTGTCTATTTATTTTAGTGCGTTTTGTGTAGAACTCGTTTAGTCACCGACTCGTATGTCGGAATGTCTTTGTGCCCTCCCCTTTCCGTCCCCCTGGCACCTCTTTGACCGCCCGCCGCTGCCGGCAGGAGCAGCCCAAAGTATCTCCGGACACCTCCACTCTGGAGAACGCCGCGCGCGGCGGGGCCACCGTCAAACGCGAGGTCAGCTCGACCAGCGCGGCCACGCCCGAGCGAGCCGACGACGAGCCTCCCGAGGACTTCATTGTCACCCACTGCGACTGGGAAGACTGCGGCAGGGACTACGACCTGCAGGCCGACCTCGTCAAGGTGAGGGTGGCGACCGATCCGCGCTCCTGGAGTTGTGGGAAGCTCTGGGGATACAGCGAGGAGGGTTGTGTTGTCCGATTGTCAAAGAGCTGGTGAATGGAGCGAGTGAGTCATTTACAGTAGGTGAGCGCCTGCATTGCCGGCTCTGATCATGTTCTGATGCTATCAAAGGGATTAACGGGCTGTCGCTTGTTAACCGGGTAATCGCGGTGCACCGGGACATTATGGCCGTGTGTGGTCCTAGGACAGACACCTACCTCACGGCAGCCGATCACAGACCGATAACATACCTACATCGCCAATACTGGAGCATTTCTCCGTACGGCGCACGTAAAAATCCGCTCGATTGTGAGAACTAACCGCCTGATTGTCCAATCAACTGATGGCCGTCCACTGTGGTGGTGTGATCCCGACGTTCGTCCGTGCGATCGCCGGTCGCGGAGGCCGCAGAGGGACAAGAACATGGACGATAACGCTACTCAGCGATCGCAGAGCTGTGCGCCGCGGCCCAAGGCAGATCACTATCGGCCAAATCCTTTAAGTGCTGTCCGGCCGGCGGCTGCCTTCCGTCCGCTTCCCTCGCGATCACGTCCGTGGTCAATTTGCCCCCTCTCCGGTCGGTGTGGGGTGGTGGTAGTTCCAGTCATGTGGCGCAGAGTGTCACCAGACCGCCGCTATTACCTCTCAGCGACATAAATAACGTGCAGTGAAGCGCAGTTCATGCAGGAAGCTCGGCTGGCTGGCTGTGATTAAGTATTGGAGAGGCGCGCGACGGCCATGTTTTTGCCTGCCGTCGAGATCTGTATCGGGTGTCTCCGGTAACACGCCGCGTCTGCCGCGTCGTCCGTCCGTCTGCGGCGCGACTGTCGCACCGTCTGCGGCGTGATCATCGAACAGTCGCGCCGTGGTGGCTGCTGGTGTCAGCGTCTGAGTAGAGACGGCTAGCATCGGAAGGACGGACAGACGGACGGACGGACGGATGGTAGGCGGCTGAGGCGGACAGTGGGTGGGTGACGGACAGACGCCCGCTCCGGTGTGATCTGCCGCGGCGTCTGACTCCGAACCGCGGCACGCCGGCGGCTGACCATCACTCAGCTGTCTTCCTGCGCCGGCGCCGACCCTGACGGCCGTCCGGCCGCCGCCGCCAGGGCTGCCACGTTTTGTCATTTTGAAAGTTTTGATCACAACAGTGAGACCGCCGTCGATAAAAAGTCGCCGACCGGCTCGTGACTGTGATCGCATCACGGCGCTGGCCTGGCGCGGAGCCGCGCCGAGGCGCTCCGACTCTCGCCAACTATCAAAAACCGCACCGCGCCGCGCCACCAAAAACGACCGTAAAAACAATCACGCCCCAGGAATAATTATTTGCGTTTGTAAATGAGGTCGCGGCGGGGTTTCCGCCTGGCGGGGCGCCGGCCCCCGATACAGCTCAATTATTGGCCAGTCGGCGAACGCGGCGGGACTAATCGAGATTTCCACAGGTGGTTAGGGCGCGGGCGGCGCGAGGAGGTGCCGGGAGAGTTCGACAAGACACAACCTCTCGTCGAAAACGGATGTATGGGAGCGGTACCTATCGTGATCTCAGGGGCAGGTTAGGTGATGCTGCTCACTCGCCGTCTGTCAAAGACAGCGAAACCCTGGCAGTGTCGTTTATCACGGCATGGTTTAGCTGAGCTGCCGTCTGTTTTTGGAGGAATTATGCGGCCCTATGAAGTCGGGGCTGATTGGAGAATTATGCGGTCTGTCGGCGTGCGTTAGTCGGGCGTATGGATCACAGAGCCGGTCAGGATTGGAAAGGAGTCCATTGGTAGTCGGCTCGTGGCCGGTGGCGTGCTTCGTATGCGTCAGCGCCACCACAACAGGAAGCACCTTGGCCGGCCGGCAGGAGGGTACGTCCCGGGCCGGTGCCAGCAGCCAGCTGCAGATTGGCTCCGATAGGCGGGGTCGGTGCAACACCGCGTGACTGCCGAGCGGCCCATCACGTATCCACTGATCCCCGGGAAAATCGGATGTCTGGCATGATTTGTGGAAGCCAACAGTTGGTAGTTATTAAAGCCATAGGCTCGTTTGCTCAATGCAGGTGGCAGGATCGAATGGAATATGACCTGGCCTGACTTCTTCAGCACATCACCCGAGCTGACCTGACCTGCGCCGGTCGCTAGTGACCGTGGTAGACACACGTTAGCGGGTGTGGCGGGTGCGTCAGTGGCGGAGAGAGCGAACCCGTGTCTGACAGGCTCTCTGCTGGCCGGACACTGCGCGCCACCGGACTGTCGGCTGTCTTACACCGGTCCGGATGGCACTACACGGCTCTGCGGGGCGCCCCGTCCGTCCAGCGGACCAGTGCCGCCGTCCGCTGGTCGCCCAGCGCTGTTCGGTGGACGGTCGCCGCCGTTATTGTCTCGTCTTTCGATGTATTGTTCTCACTGTTCACACAAAAGCCCTGTGAATTTCATCTCGGTCCTTACTCCTAAGAAAGCCTTACGAACACGCATGCAGATGCTGGAAGGTCACTAAACTTTGTGCTTTAGGGTTATTTTGCTAAGGTTGAACTTCACCGTTGTTTCTGTGTTGTACTCTTATAACATATCCTTTTTGCCCGCAGCATGTCAACAACGACCACATCTCTGCCAACAAGAAGTCTTTCAGTTGCCGCTGGAAGGACTGCCCCCGCGAGCAGAAGCCGTTCAAGGCCCAGTACATGCTGGTTGTGCACGTGCGCACGCATACTGGCGACAAACCCAACAAGTGCTCGGTGAGTCTCCCTCTGTTCTCCGTTCGGTTCTGTCTATAACTCTGGCTCCGTCCAGCCTTGGCACCATGTTTCGTTGCGGCTCGGTTTTAGAGTTAGCTCAGAATTAGGGTGAAGTCGTATAAGAGTACGCACTTAGTGGATTTCTTGCTCTCATTTGTTTAATATTTGAAGGAAAGAAATCGCAAATAGGGAATATTAAAGTTCATTGAATTAGCCATCAACCCATGGGGCAACGATCCTTCAGCGTAAATGGAAGTGGTCTAAAACTGACATTTTCTGAACCGTTGCACTTGCGTACTCTTGCCATATGGGGTGTGTAAGAGTACGCACGCCAGGCGGGTGGAGTACGCAAGCATATGAACACACACACCTATGCAGCTTGCACTGTCCAAATGCTTAACTTCAAACTCAGAAGGCATTTAAGTTAATTCTGAATCTAGTATCCAAAAAGAAAAACATAAAATAAATCTTTCAAGTCTATAAATCAGGAAATAATCATGTCGTGGGTTTCTTAAAAAAAAAAATGCACAATCAAAAAGGAGAATAACTCGTATTTGGAAGAATTTCGGGTACGCATCTGCATCACAGTGCTCCATTGATGATATACCTACAAAACAAACGTCATTGAGCGATAGATTAATAATTCTATATTTCTGTATATTCGATTTAATGTATAATTCTGCGTACTCTTACCGTCCTGAACAGTGCGTCCTCTTACCGTACATGCAATTCGCGCACAAAACAACCCCGAAACGTTGTGCAAAACTTCGCAAACAGAATATTGCACTGTACAGTATTTCCCCAGATAACCTCACAAGTTTCCCACAACAATCACGAAAATGTACCTTATCTCAACTGCCAAGTATCAAAATTATTGTACCATGTCATAATAATATCATAACGCTCGAAAATAATATTCATCGCCTTAAACTCAACAGCGTCGCCGCTCAACGCCCACGTTCCGTTGGTGACATTCACGCACTGGCGGCTTCATGTCACTTCATGAACTCGACAAACCCGCGTTGCTAAGCAACCGAAACAGCTGATGCGTACTCTTATCGCCCGCGTACTCTTACCCGCCCTTACCCTACCCGGACCACCAGCCTTTGGTGCACACTGGAAGTCCCGCCCAGACAATGACCCTGCGTGCGTGACCGCGCCGCGACACACTGTGACAGGAGGAACACAGGACAGGGTCAGTTGCCGCCCACTCATGTATAACCAGACAGCCGGCGGGGCACTCATGGCCCGCGGCGGTAGCCTCAGTTAATCACCTCAGACAAAGACAACACAAGTTAAAAGCCCGCCTTTGTGGTGTGTCCATTTTTCTGCCGGAACGTCAGATAGTATCTGCTCAGTGGAAGCCAAGTGCCGCGCTCGGGACCGTGCGCGCAGTGAAGTCGCCGGCCAGAGATGAGGAGTGGCTGCCGACGCTGCCAAGAATGCCCGTCCTCCGGGCGGTCGGTGCTCCCGGGAGGCCGCTAATTTCTCTGTTTAATTATTGCGCGCCGCCCATCTAGATAATGCCGAGCGGTAGCGAGTGCAGACCGTTTTAGATGTGGGTCGTCTCCCAATGGCAGTGACTTGTCTGCAACGCAGCAGTTAGTGTTACTGTCTGCAGCGTGGCAGTTACTGTTACAGTTACTGTTACTGTTGGGGCCACTGCAGCAAGACAGAGCGACAGTGCGGCGGATTTTAGCGGCGTCAGGTCATGTGTGGGTTGTGTATGGTCCGGCGTGGGTGCGCGGAGGGGTTCGCCATGTAGGGTACAACGGTGGCTGCGGGTGCAGACGTGTCCCCTCCCGGCCGCCGCAGCAGATGGCGTCACGCGGTGGTGTCGCTATATATAGCCGTCCTCTGCCGGCGTCATCGCGATGACAAATCGCCGCCGGATGACGGACGGCGCGGACACACACCCCGCCATCAGCCCGTCATCAGCTGATGGCGCCGCGACGCTGATGACGGCCGTCCTTGTGCAACGGCACACAGAGTTGATGGCGGTCCTCTCCCGAAGTACCGGGCCGACGGCAGTGAGCGAGTCTGTTCTTATCAGCCGGGAACGCGCCGAGCTGAGATCTGGGCCCTGTTTCACCGGTGATAGCAGCAAGCTACTATCAAATTGCGCGAGCTGACGTAATGTGATGACGTCATACTGCTGACGTAAGGGGCAATTCTGGCGCACGATTGCCGCAATATTGTTTTACGTCATCAGCTAAATCTTCGAAGTTAATGTCAAAATTTTTCCTAAACCCAACTTCTTTTAAATACATCATATTGAAAAAATATATATCAAAAATATATATACTATCATGACTGCGTAAACTCTTACTTTTAGGCTCATACGTCACTTAATGCCGCCGCCAAGGTCGCGGCAATCGTGCGCCGGAACTACCCATTACGACAACAGTATGGCGTCACGACATGACGTCAGCTCGCGAAACGTGATAGCAGCTTGCTGCTATCACCGGTGAAACAGGGCCCTGGCCACTGGGCAGACTGACGTACGGACCTTTTGTCGCCTGCAGACCCGACCCACAGCTCGGTCCATCACTACTGACCCCACAGCGGGAGCGGCCAGGGCCTCGGCTAAGGAATTTTGACTGGTGGGCCACTTGGGCAGCGACATGGACTGACCTTCGTAGCCATAGCCCCCCCCCCCCCAATTTTCGATTTCTCCCCAGATTTCGGCCACTTTATTCTGCAAAAAACGTCAGGATGGCATTAAATTATGTAAAAAACGGGGCTAGCCCCCCCCCCCCGACTCTTCAGAGAGAGGAGAGAGTAGGGACCCACAACCCTTTTATGTGCAACCCTCGATATGCACATAAAATCGCACAAGTATATGCACAAAATATGGACGCAGATTATAAAACTTTGGACCATAACTTACGGCCGATCGGATGTTAAAAATCAGCCAGCCCTGAGTGGATCGCTCGCCGACTAGTCGAAGAGTCGGAGAGTCGGAGAATCGAAAGCGGTCGGACGGGATCGGGCGTTGTCGGGTGGATCGGGGGAATTGTGAACAGCACGAGTGCAACTTTATATATAAAGTGAGTTGTAGCAGGAAACCCAAAAGGGGGTTGTAGCAGCAACCCCAACATCTCTGAAAATGATCATTATTAAGCCTATTGGTGTCGCATGGAAAAGAATTGACTCAAAAGCCCAAGCGCACTGCGCAACCCTAATATTTTCTAAAAAAAGTTATGTAGACTTCTGGTGAACAGTGTCCCAAACTTCAGATTTCTCTTGGGTGTCTGAGTGGAAAGTTCTAGCCACCCAAAATGTGAGAGTGTAAAATTATCCATTCTTATTCTTGAGTGTCATCTTCAGCCCAAATGAGAAATTTTTGGAACGCTGACTGTGAACGGTTCGAAATTCGTCCGACTGGTCAGATGTCTGACTGCAAGCATCATACTGGTCTTGAAGACGCATATTATCGCTTGTAGACTTCAATCGGCTGCAAGTCGCCGACACTACCTCTAGTTTGACTCTGGCTTGTATCGTGTCTATCGGCGAGCCGTCTGAGATCGCTCGCAAGCTTATCCCCGACCGTCCGAACTGGTCTGTTCTTTATTCGTAGTTTTTCTGGTAACCGACTGGTCTGCGGCAGATGCTTATGTGACTGCAACCACTCGATCGATCGGAAAGCTTGCAAGAACTCTCGCAGACCTCGATCGGATGGAAGCCGCCGACACTATCTGTAATTGATAGAGGCAGACGTCTTTCACGATTATTGCATACAATTTAAAGCCTCGGTCACACTTCACCGGATTGGACCAACGGACGAGAAACGGACAAGAACTGTCAGCGTCCGGTGATGTCCGTTTGTTTCCGTTCGACGTCCGTTTGTCATCCGTTAACCCGCGCCCCGGTGGGGTCTGTTTATAACGCGACCTGTGGTGGGGCTATTTTTTGCCCCCCCCCCTCGTATCTCCGAAACTACTGGACGGATCCGCAAAATTCAAACGGTGTTCGAAAGGCCTGTCAAATTTGTTGAGGGAAACCAAATTTCATTGACCTCGGGGTCACCGACGACGTCTCAGGTCAGGTCAAAGATGAAATGTTTCACCGTTCACGGGTCTCCTAGGGAATGCGCTATAACACCGAAGAAAACGCATTTTGTCGAGAATCAGCGATAGGGCGTCAGTTGCCTAGTACATATGTTGCTAAAAGAGGCCACTGACAATACCAGGTCAGGACACAGGTCAGGTCACCAAGGCTCACAGGTCAGGTCACATGAACCTAACTTTAGGTACTAAGGTTGTGCGATGCATGTTTTATGGCCAATTTTGCATTTTCAACTCAATGGTGTTGGTTATAAGACTATCAGGTACGGCTTAGGTCATTTTCTGGTGAAAGTCAGGTCAAGGTCAGGTCAAAAAGGGTCAAATTTTAAAGTTGATAGTTTTGCATAAAATGGGTATTGATTCGATGCAGCTCGTCACGGGGAGCTCAATGGTGGTCTCCGTTTTGCGCTACGTGGTCTAGAATTGCAAAAAATTGAGTTCAAAAATTTGACGTCATCAATTTTTAACAGTTTTTTCGCTATAACTTCGCCAAAAAAAGAGGTATCAATCTAAAATTTGGTATGTGGATAGAAGGCGGTAAGGACTATCACATATGTTCCGGTTTTTGCGAAATTCTAAAAACTTTTTGGATTTTTCGGCTATTATATTAAAAAAAAACATATTTTTTTATTTTTGCAGGTCTAAATCCAAAAATTCCAAAAATCCGAGATAGCAGTTTTGTAGCTCTATCAATTCTACAGCTTTTATGTCTATATCGCTTTTCTGTATTTGCAAAGCTATAGGCCTGACAGCTGTTCCCGCGAACCTTTTTTTTTGTCGAAAACGGCAGAACATGACGTCACTCTGACGTCATTTCCGGCCAACCTATCATAGCCTTTGGAAACATTTTTGGTCTCAATGTGTAAAATTGATGTCCGGAAGGGTACTGAAAGTTTAGTGACGATCGGCGCAGCGGTTCTGGAGATATATCGAAAAGTCTGGAGGGGGGGGGGAAATAGCCCCCCCCCCCAACCAGGGCGCGGGTTAATCCGTTCCATGTCCGGTGGTGTCCGGTTGAGCACATTGGACACCACTGGGCATGGAACGGATATTAACGGATAAGAAACGGACGTTTAACGGAAACGAACGGACATCCCCCGGACATCACTGGACGCCGTCCGTTTCTCGTCCATTGGTCCAATCCGGTGAAGTGTGACCGAGGCTTAACCTACGGCTGTCTCAAGAAACCGGAAATGGTGATGGTATTAGGCGGACAACGACGATCGTTTTTTTAAGTTGCGGGTAGGTACTATAGTCCACTTTTTACCCCAAGAGGATATTGCAAACAATAGGTTGAGGTTTTTTTTTCACAAGAATATGTTTCACCGATGTGTATTTTACAGCCTGAAAATGTACGATAAGATCGGCTAATTCAATTTGAAATGTAAAAAATGTGAAAACTTAGATTTTTCGGAAAATTACTGGTGGGCCAAATCTTTGAGGCTGGTGGGCCATTTCGGGTCACTGGTGGGCCATTTGGCCCACCAGTTAACATGTTAGCCGAGGCCCTGGGAGCGGCCGTGATGGCGGGGAACACTCCCGAGTCCTTGTCGTTCCGCGCGGGGCCGGACGGTCGGCGCGGCCCGCAGAGATGTTTATTTTGGTAAGCGCGACCGGCGACAGCGGCGCGGCGATGCTGGGATTGTCCTCTGTGGTGTCGGCCCTGACTGCGGGAACGGCAGCCGTCACTGGAGGGCTGGAGTACTGGTACTCGTATAGGTCACAGGTCACGAAGCGCAAGTCGCATAGATGGGAGGAGGGTCGCAGGTCTAGATCCAGTAGCCTGTCTCGTTGATTCCATAATTGTGCTATCCAATGCCGACTACCGATGACCAACACCGGGTTTCGAATGCCATTGTCTGCCCGCCTCTCCCTGTCAAGAGGCACCGCATGGACCCATCCCATCGTGCGCCTTGCCGTGCCGCCCCGCCGCGTCTCAGCCGCGGCTCAGACACAGGGATGGAATGCCGTCTGCAGCAGCGTCGGCCGAACGGCTGCCAGCCGAGCCTGCAGCCGCCCCGGTCGGCCGATTGCGAGACGAGAGATTGTGATCGCGGGAGGTGGCTGTGCGGCGGGCGGCGGTCCCCTATCGCGGCATATCACGCCGTGCAGTGACCGGGAACGGCGCCGCGAGCCGGGCGAATATCCGATCGGTCGGAGCAGATGAGGTGATCCTTACTTCGTGCTGCATCGATTCACCGCAGTGGCATTGTCGATTCACCTCTGTTGACTGTTAAAGAGCGGAAGCCGCTTTCGATATCCGGTCGTTTCTGACGAATCGGTCTGGTCACGGTTGACAACCAAGGCGCTCGACCGACCCTCGCCGTGCGATGTGTCGTCTGCGCGCCGATTTCACGCGCGCCGCGCCGCGTTCGCCCCGCGCCGTTATCGCCGCCGCCGCGCCGTCCGGCTCCGTTCCGAGCGGGTGACGGCGCGACAAAAACGACGCAGCTCGCGGTAACCGGAGCCGTCGATCGGCACTCGCGCGATCGGCCCGTCAGGTGCGGCCGCACGTGCTGCCTATAGGACGCTCACACGGGACGCTGGCGGCAGTGGGGAGCTACTGGGGCTCCGTAGGGACCCGGTCCCGCGCGGCGCGGGTGCCGCGGGGCGTCTCGGTCGTCCCCGGCGGCCGTGTCGTCGGCCGATGTGTGTTTGTGTTGTGTTTGTGCTCGCTGTCGGCGTCGGCGCCAACCGCCGTCTGTCATCTGGGCCCGCCCCGCGGCGAGGCGAGGCAGTCAGAAATGGCCCCTCTCTCATACACGGCCGGTGTCTGAGGCGCGACCCTCCTAAATCGAGCCGGGCTGGGTCTCGCCGTAATGGGCGCGGAGGCTGGCGGACGGCCCTCCGAGCGGGGGCGTGCCCGCTCACACTGCCCCCAGTGTCAGCGGTGCTTTTTGCCGGCCAGTTCGCACGGTGGCGGCGCTGGCCGGCGCATTAATCTGTCTCGAGCGCGGGCGGGGGCGGGGGCGGGGGCGGCGGCTGCACGGGGAGCCGGCCGGCCGCCGACGGCCGAGCAGCGTCCGACTGTCGGCCGGCCGCGTCACCGATTAATCTCGGCCGCTGCAGCCGGCCCTCGCCACCGCTGCTGGTGGTGTATGTATCGCCTCACCCGTCCCCCGCGGATGCTGCCGTGCCGGCCACCGACACCGGCATCAACAGCCGCCTCCGCCGCCGCCTCCGTCTCTGCTTCTCCCTCCGCCTCTGCCAGGGCCGTTTTATGCACAGGTTGTGCCAGAGCGGTGTAACGGGCGACGGTGGCCCTGCAGCAGCTGCCTACACTTTTGTCGGACACGGGCGCGGGTGGAAATGATATGCACCAGTGGCGATCGCCCCATCTTCTGACCGCGGCCGGGTTACGCCGAGCTCGGGTTGCGTTATGATGTGCGAGAGTCGGTGTCTGTGACGTCCACCGCTGCCGTCAGAGCCACAAGCTACAGGTTCCATCTGACTGCCGCGGGGATCAGTTGGTCTGGCAGCCGGCAGCCAGCTGCCAGACCGCCGGAAACGACGACCGACCGCCGCCAGACAAAAACGGCGCAGCGACACGGCGCAGTGTCGCAATTCGGCGCGCCGCCGTATTCGCGGAATGCGCGCGATGCACCGGCGGGCCGGCCTCCCGGCCTGGAAGCGTTGGGGAGGCGCTGGCTGACAGGGCGCCTCCTGTAGGCACCTCTGAGCCGCCGTCGGCTGGGGAGAGCGCCGCTCGCCGACGCCGCGTCCGGGCATGAGTGGCCGCTTTGAGCTCCTGCGGCGGCCGTGAGTCGGCGGTGACGTCTTCATCCGCTTCCCGCGGCGCTCAATGGCCGGGTCGTGAGCGGCCGGCCGGCGGGGCGCGCCGCGCGCCGCGCCCGCCGACCTCACCGCGGTAACTCACCACCTGCTCGTTAAAGTTTAATGAATAATAAACTGGCCGATAGTGGCAACGGTGGACATGTAACGAGACGGGCCGCGAGTGTAATGGCATGTCGGGCTATGGGAGACGTTTGCCGGCCGGACGCCGCGGGCGAATCAAGTTGTCATCGGCGCGGCGCGCTGCCCGACGCCGCGCCGGCCGGTTCCACCCGGCTGGTCCCGGGGCATGTGATCTGATTTGGCGAGCACGGTCGGGCGCGGCTGGAAACGACACGCCTCTGCGGGCGCGGCGCTAGCGGCGCGGCGAGCAATCTGGGGCGCTCTCGAACCGCCCGAGGAGCTCCATCGGTCACCGTGGTGGCGGAGCGGCCGCCGGCGGCGCGACATTAGGAGGTATGGGGTGCCGCGCCGGCGCCCCGCTGATGATGATCACCACTGCGCAGCTCTCCTGAGCTCGGCAATGACCCGGTCATGGCGGGCCGCCCCGGCAGCTCCCCGCGGCGGACACCACCCCGTCAGACGCCCAATGATAACGCTCATTTGCATCTGAGCATAAAACATTCGGCCGCTAAATTATAAGGGAATCGAACGGGTCGGTCGGAATGAAGACGCCGGGTGGCGGATATTGATGGTGTGTGATTACATCATTCTTCCTTTGGTGGGTGCCGACGAGCCGGCGTGACTCGACAAACGCGCCGAGCTGGCCGCTCAACAGTCGTGAATCATCTTTTGTTGCGGCCCCATGGCGGCTGCTGGCTGCGAGCCGGGAATTCTCTAGCTCGCCGCGCGGCCGCCCGCTGCCCACCGGCCCGCCGAGTGCGCGATTGAATCGCGGCCCAAACGTCTCTGCTGGAGGGCAGCTCGTTAGAATTGCCGTGCAGGCCGGCCGGAGCAGATTGAACAGATCAGAGAAGTGACAGACCGCATATGACGGGTTATTGGCGACACAGCACGTGTCAGCGCAGAAAGGAACATGGTCGCTGACACAATGCAGCCTGTGCAGATGCATTCGGAAGTCCGCTAGCTGCATGCACTCTGCAAACGCCGTGCACTTCATGCTGCTTTGAATGAGCTGAATCAACCACATCATGTACATTATGCATTGCTCCCGAGGACATCGCGGCTCAGACGTGCCGTCTGTAATCTCAGGTTATTCTTGTGTTTGCAAACTTTGCACAGCTCTAGTAAAGTGGACGTTTCCACCGGCGCGCCGGTTCGGCTGGGACCTGGGCTTCTTGCTGTATGTGGGGTGTGTGTGGGGTGTCCGGAGATGGACTCGCACCCTCAGTGTGGGACCACAGGCGCCGGCGCTGGTGTCGAGTCGGGCCGTTAGCTCTGATAAAGTGCCAATTGGCTGCGGCCTGCTAATTGTCGCCCTGAGATGAAAGTCGGCTCAGCCGGTCCGCCGGCCGCCAGAGGACCGAATAAATCCGGCTCGCTAATTCCCCGGCGCCGTCCGGCGGGACGGCGGTGCAGGGGAGAGGGAAGGTGCTGGTGGCAGGGGCTGATGAACGGCCCAGGGCGCCGCCGCTGACACGCCGACACCCAGTGCCGCCAGTACCGATGGCGGTGCCGTTCCAATTTGGCGTCGCGCTATGGCGGTGACATGGGCGGCAGCGGTCCGTCCGCGGGCGATACCATCTGCCGGGCGGCCGCCGCTGCTGGCAGAGCCGGCTGGCCGACGGCTCAATCCATACACCCAGTCGATTACTCCGGCTGGAGGTGTGAAGTTGATCGCTCTTTACGGCGGTGCTAGATCCGGCTGCGGCGCGGCCCGCTGCGGCCGCTCCGTCTGACGGGACAGCCGCCGCCGACAGGCATATCCGCCTGCGCCGCGGCGGCCGGCGCACGGCGGATTAGGGACCCGTCAACTCCGCCGAGCGGCTGTGGTCTGCAGCGGGAGGGGCTCCACGGCAGACCGGCGCGGGCCGTCGACCGGTCGGGGCGGGCCGTAATCTGTGATTGGCGACCCGGGACCCAGTGTCGGGGTGTGGTAGTGATGGTGATTTACCGTGTGCCGCGCCCCGCGAACCCCATCGGCCCTGACCCGAGTGTGCTGGTCCGTGTTTCAGTTCGAGGGCTGCAACAAGCGCTACAGCCGGCTGGAGAACCTGAAAACTCACCTGCGCAGCCACACGGGTGAGAAGCCGTACGCCTGCGAGTTCCCCGGCTGCAACAAGGCCTTCAGCAACGCCTCCGACCGCGCCAAGCACCAGAACCGCACCCACTCCAACGAGGTACGTACGGCTGGTACGCCTTCCGGCCCTGGTCAACGCCGACCTCGGTCACCAGTTGATACCGGCACCCGCCCAGGGTTCACCTTGTCCATTTTACGCTCCGGTACCAGTTAAAGGGACCATCCCACCTTAACATTAGTTTTGAGTTGAGATAGCCAAGTTTGCGGCCAGGCTCAGAAACCACCATTTATCCTGGTCGCAACCCCCGCAGCTTTATGGTGTTCAAGAAATTTCTTCCCTTTACTTGCAGGGTGGGACCAGCTTAGTCCCTATCTCTTAACCATTAGCGGTTTTTTGATGACGTCAGCAGTCATTTCAACGCCCGCCATTCCTTGAACCCGAGTTTTGCTGACCTTGAGCTCCCTTGTTTATCAACGTGAAATCCGTCGTCGGCGCTGAGAAAGCATGTTGCTTTTCATTTTAATTTGAATATTAGAAGATACCCACCACTGGAACTTGGACTGATATTATACCAAGGCCGAAGATGATCAAGCTGCCTGCTATATCTGGAGCTTGGTGTTCAACTTCAACATGGAATAAAAAACAAAATATCAAAGCAAACTGGATATGGTACTGCAAGTTAAAGTCCAAAGAAATTTGAAGAGCTGACAATTGACATTAATTCTTTTCCTGCAAGGTTTCCATATGGAGATCAAAGTCACACCATGAAGAAATATTTTTGATGTTAACAGTTGAAAGGGGATTTATCTTCCAGTTTTGACGAAAGACGCTGCTGACTGTCTTTGGAAAAGGATGTCGGCATGAGGTGCAATTGTGCTTGTGAAGTGGTTATAACTGGTCTTTTCACAGTATTAAATTAAATGTGCCATTGCAGCCAAGTGTGTTATCATGTAAGGTAAAATCAAAACTACAATGTTGGTTTTACGAGCATTGAGAAGGCTGGTAGGTAACACCTGCCTGTGCTCGTAAATCATGCTGCCAGAGTATTCTAAATTAATTTTATCATACACTTTTGTTGTCCAGAATGGTTGCACTATTGTTTGGTATCATATTATTCCATGTAAATATGGTAGTGTAAAGTCCGACCAACATGTTACCAGATTTGAAGCTGTTACGTTACCTAAGTACCTGTTTTTTACTGGCGTGGTGAATGTCACCTGGATTTTGTTTTGAGGTGCAGACCTAGTAACTCTGACTACATGGGTTTGAAGCTATTATCTATTCTGTTTTTACTGGCCTGGTGAATGGCGACTGATGTTGTCCGTGGATGGCACTGAAACAAATTTTGAGTGTTTTGTACAGTGTTTTAATACAATGCTGAGGGCTGAAAGTTGTCTTGTTTAGAGTGGTGAAAGTTCTGGATATGCCAGCCACCATGGTGGGTCAGAGTTAAATGTGTTGCAGTCAGTTCGGCTTCGGCAAGCACACGGATGGGCATACGCATCAAGACCTGCTCTGCCATACTTTCAGCCAATTTAACCTCGGTAAGTCTTTTCTTTTTTCTGCCAAAAGCTATGACATTGTGAATTTCAGCACTGTGGCCTGTGTGTAGCTTTCAGGAAAGCAATTCTAAATAAAGCTCTGATAAAGTGCAAAATCAGCAATGCAGCCCTCTATTACATTTTCTACAACATCTTACTTGTTCCTTGCATGGAGAGAAAAATGCAATGTTATGAATTCGTTTATTCACATAATTTGACAAGCATGCAGTTACCTGCTACTATCACTGCACAAAACAGAGCAGAAAACATCAGTTGATCAAACACAAGACATAACAGAAGTTTACAACATAGGGCTGCCGAACCTGCTTCCTCCCACCACAGTTGATGCCATTTCCTAGCCTGGCTTGATGTGAGCACTGAATAGCTGCTTTGTCTAATTACAGCTCACTACCATTCAACTTAAACTACTCTCTTTAAAGTAAGAGTGAGGGCAGCTCACTCTTTCAGTGTTCATAGCAGCTCGACAGACGACAGACAACAAACATCTTGACAAACCAACCAGTATTTGATTTGGCTAATGATTTATGTGCTTGTTGTATCATGGCCAAAATACTTTAACAGCAATAATCCCTGTTTCATCTTGATCTTGCTTTTATTTCCATTTGAACTCAGATCTTGAAACAATCATCTGAAGTGATATCAGATACTGGCTTCTGTTTCTCTTGAAAGCAAGTTAAAACAACAATGATAAACTAAGGCAGGAGATGTGAGTTGTGACAGTAGATTTTTGATTCAACATATGTCAACCTTATATTGCTTGAGACCTCTGTGACAGACAAATATTTATAGTTTTTTGATAGTTTGGATTCTTGGCTTGATTTAGCAGATCAGCTGTGAACCTTGACTTTGAAATCACATAAATGTCATGGTACCCGAACGAATCCTCGCATGACATTTCTTCGTAGCACAATTTTTCGTCCGCATTTCTTCGTCTACAAATCTTCGTCGGTGCATTTATTTGTCCCTCAATGCTTACTCTTGCATATATTTGCGTTGAAGAAGAAATGCGAGCCGATTTTCATATACCCTGGTGCGAGACAAAGTAATGCGATAGGTACGAATAAATGCCCTGACGAAGATTTGCAGACGAAGAATTGCGATACGAAGAAATGCCATAAGAATTGTCCTGGAATCCTTTATTGGCCATCATATATTGACCTTGATAAGATAAACGCATCATTCGCGCAATATTTGTCGCACTTTGATACCAAACTATTGCTTCCAAATGCCGACGTAAAGAAAACCTTTATGTGACGTCATAGAAACAGCGGATTTCCCAAAAAGTAAACAAAAATAAAAGTCTTATATCTCGAAAACGGGTGAATATTTTCCGGTAAAATTTGGTAGATGTTCATTTTCGCTCTTTGTGATTCACGCTACATCACTTTTATGCCAATTCATTAACTTTTTTGAAGGTGGGAGGGTCCCTTTAACCCGGCAGTTGCTGGGGTATTTCGCCACCCACCGTTTGCTGGGGGGGGGGGGGGGCGTTAAACGCCCCCAGCCGATAACTCGCGAACCAATAGGCGCAGCGAAACGCACGAGGCGGCAAACGAAAGAACGCGGCGAGACGCTTCAGATGAGTACTTTAAAGTTGAATTTTGAGGTCACAGGTCGGGTCAAGGTCAGGTCAAACACCTGAAATCGGGCTTTCAGTAGCATGGACTTCAGGACTTCGCAATGGGCGCCTCTCGTCATAAACTCTGTCAAAACGGTGCACAATCCATCATATGAGGCCTACAAGAGTGTCAGCTCCATGTAGGGGTCAGTCAAGCATAGGTCAGGGTCAAGGTCAGGTCAACCGGGTAGGCACATATCCCCGAAAATCATAACTGATATTCGCAACCCGTGACACATGTTTTATGGGTAATTTTTTGGGGCGTCGAACACGATGGTGACATTCATTTTATCATATGTGTACGTGTTTGGCTCAAAAAGTTCAATTTAAGAAATACATGTATCATGGTCGTGAAGTAGTCACGAGAAATTGCCAAGATTCAGTTCAAGATTTTGGAAAATGCGGAACGATAATCAATAATCGAAGATAGCCATGTGATTGTTCATGGTATTGGCAGTCTAATGGCGTTTACTGCATGTCTGTATGTCTGTTCTGTGATTTTATATGATTTTTTGAACATATGCCGTTTTTGGTCGAAAACTCAGAAATCATGACGTCACTAAAACCTCGATATCTCAAAATTTTTCGGACCGATTTTTTTGAAACTTTGTCACAATAAACTTCAATCAATTCCCTACAGGTACCCAAAATTTGGCGCGCCTGCGGCGCGCCGTTTTTATGCTATGGCCCGGCGAAAAAAGTGGGGGCGTTTAACGCCCCCCCCCAGCAACTCGCGGGTTAAAGCCGCAAAAGGACGACAAAATCCGTCGCCGTCTGCTGCCGCTTGCGGTTTCCGAATTTTTCCGATCGTCGCCCTTTCCTATCCATGTTTGTGCCATGTCCAGACTGCACTAACTGGCCGCGGCTGGCCGCCGTCTGTAGACGTATTTGGCGCGGCGGCTGCCGTGGGCGTTCCTGTGCAACACGACACCGAGCGGTGACGACGCTCGCGTGTCGGCGCTGTCGCCAGACCGACCTGTTATCGGCCGGCCGTCGCTGCCACCGTGTGCAGTTTGTACAGTGGCCGTCGGTTCCACTGTCCGGCTCCCTACTCACCCTCTTCTCTTCCGAGGTCTCTTCCTGTCATCTCTCCCCCTTCGTCTTCTCACTCATCCTGCGCACCAATCTCGTTTTCTGTGTCTACTTTCTTATCCGCATATCTCAGCGGTTTTCTTTGTTGTTTTTTTTTTCGCGGTATCGTCCATAACCCTCCTAGTCCTCCCGTACCATCCCTCTTCTCCCTGTGCCTCTCTTAGCTCCCGAATCTGTGCTGAACTCTGCCATGTCTGCCGGCAGCCAGCCGGAGTGGCTCGGTGAGTGGTGGGACGCGCCGACGTCCCCCGAATGTTCGGTCGTCTGTCTGTTTGTCTAGTGAATGTCTGCTCGTCTGCGAGTCGGTGTATGCATGCTGTGTTGCAAAAGGCTTAGGAACCCGTTCCATCCTTAGAGCTCGACGCTTGTAGCTGCTGGGTGCTAATGTGGAGCATCAATATAATCCACCGGCGGAGAGCTTGCAGCAGAGCCAATCAATGTGCCCACCGGGGGTGTTCGGTGGGTACCAGCCACTGACCGTCCTCCATCACCTTACAGAAGCCGTACGTCTGTAAGATCCCGGGCTGCACCAAGCGCTACACGGACCCCAGCTCACTCCGCAAACACGTCAAAACCGTACACGGCCCAGAGTTCTACAAGAACAAGCGGCACAAGGGTCTGCCCGACGACGGCGGCGCCACCGGCTACGGCAGTCCGGGCGACGACACCAAGCTGACCAGCGTCAGCAGCCCCAGCGTCAAGTCGGAGGACGCTGGCTCGCCCGGTATGCCGGCCCGCTCGCCCGGGGACGCCGGCGGGGGTGGAGCCGGGGGCAGCGGCGGTGGCGCCGGCGCCGGCGGCGGCCAGGGCTCGGCGCCCGAGCAACCCATCAGCGACAACAACGTCAGCACGACGAACGGCGTGTCGGCGGTCGAGGCGCCCTGGGAGATACCGGAGGATGAGGAGGTGGAGGTGAGGCGCTGGGCGTGCCGAGGGCTCATATGGGTCTTCAAAAGACGCGCCGACCCCGGGGGCGGAGGGTGGAGGGTGCGAGGGAGTGGGGAGAGACAGCCTCTGTTCCCCAAAGTGGCCGGCGCTGCTCTCTAAACGCCGCCGCCTCACTCTGACCGTGAGATCACAATCGGTCGATTTGCTGCCGCCTTTGTCGCGCCGAACGACGGCAAATAGCTCGCAGAAGAGGGCCGTAAAACTCGCCGGCCGCTGCTTCCGGCCGCTGCTGCAGCTGGCGCCCTGTGCAGGCCTCCGGTCAGCCCTGCCCGGCGGCGGCGGCGGCGGCCTCTGATGCCACGCCGCCGCCGGTAGCGAGAGGCAGATGGGACTGTAGTGTTTACCCTCGCGGCTGGCCGACCGCTCACCGTTGCTCCGTTACTCCGTCTATGTGACCCGGTCCCAACGCCTGTCCCACTGTCTGACAGTGACCGTCCGTCCCGGAGTCCCAGTCCCGGCCAGGTTACGGCCGCGGCGGTTTATGACGGGCTCACAGCGGACTTTCGTCCGGCCCGGTTTATGGGGGCTTATTGTGTCGACTGTGCTGGTCCGGCGGCCAGGTATTGGACCACAGCTCACCTGCTCGCTCCTTTTGTGTCCGCCCGGCCCGGCGGCGCTGCTAACTACAGGGAGATACATGAGCCTTTAAACAGCCCCGGCCGGACGAAAGGGCAGCGGAGGGAGCGGCACTGACGTCAGAGGCCGTACGACTCGCGCCGACCTGTGTGTAACTGTGTGTGTGACACCGTGCGGCTCTCACTGACCAGCTGTCTCTGGTGACCGCCAGGTACCCATGGGCCCCATGGCCGTGCAGGCCGGGGTCGGCGGCGTCGGCGGCGGTCCGGCCAACCGACTCCAACCACCCGGCCGCATGTACCGGCCGAGACTGCAAGCCAAGAACGCCATGTCGCACGCGGCACTTCTGCACAACGGTGAGACTGCTGACCGGGCGGAGCGGGGGCGGGGAGGGAGGGGGCGCCGCCCGCCGTCCGCTCCGTGTCGCCGGACGGGGAGTCGCGCTGCTCCGGCCACCGGTGTACCGTGGCCGGCCTCCCGCGGTCCGTCAGTGATGGATCGCTGCCGCCGCCGGACAGCGGCGCGCGGCCGGCTCGGCTCCCCGTATGGGCGCTGCAATAGCTGTGATTGTATCTGTCGGCCGGCTGACCAGACGCGCCGGACCCGCGCGCTGCCGGCGGCCGGCCAGATGGCGACGGTGATGCGCCAGTGACCGCCTGTGTAATTGGTGGGTGTTATTGGCGGTGATCAGCCGGCGCGGCGGCCGCGCGTCTGGCGGCGTGTTGAATTTCGTGCACTATCAGCCCCGGCCGTGTCACGGCATGTCTGGTGCTTTGTGTGTTCCGCCACCGCCTAGCAGCAAACCGGCCCTGGTGCTAATTCCCTGCGTGCTGCGCATTTGTTTTAGGTGTAGGTGGGGATTCAACAGAGTTATGTCGGGGTGCTTGAGTCTCGAGCTAAGAGTGATGCAGTGAAACAGAAAGTGTGCAATATGTAGGGTTTGTGGGGGACGCGGCGTGTTCAGGGAGATTTTGTTATGCACTCGTTATCAGAGCCCAACGTTGACTGACCAACACGTCGCTTCGTTGTCAGGCGGCCGCGGCCCGACGCTCATGGACATCAACTACCGGCTGCAGCACATGCGCGTCTCGCCGTCCGGAGTACCCGCCGGCTGCGTACCCCGGCGGCACAGCTACGACTCGGCGCCGCGGCCCGACCTGGGCTGCGGCGCGCCGGCCGACGGTGGCGCCACCACGCTGCTGGAGCCGCGCCGAGACAGCGGCGCCACCGTCAGCACCTACTACGGCAGCTGGAGCAGCCAGCAGCCGAGCCGGCGCGAGTCCCAGATGTCGCAGATGTCGGCGGCCTGCGGACCGGCCGGCGGCAGCCTGTACGACCCGATCTCGACCGACGTCAGCAGGCGGTGCTCGGATATGTCTGCGGCGTCGGCGGCGCCGGCCGGCCGCCTCAGCGCCGGCATGGCCGCGCAGCTGCAGCGCCTGCAGCGGCGCAACCTCGTCAGCCAGCAGATGGGCAGCATGGGCAACCTGGTGGTCCAGGTGAGTGTGTGGTACCCTCGGCGGGAGCCGGGCGGGGTGGGATCAGCGGGGGAGATCGCACCGCTCGTGACTAGGACGTGTCGTGTCGATCAGCAGGTGTTCGCCCGTCGCTTTGTGTTAGGCTGTAGGACTGAATATGTGCTATGCATTATTCCGTGATCACTACCCAGTCACCTGAGCCGTTGCATTGCTGATGATTTGTCGAGCTTTGTCTCAGGCTCTCAACGACACTGAATGTCAATCACCACCGCTGGTGACCCTGTCGACCGCTGAGTATCTCGCCGGTGCACCGGCGAGATACTCAGGACACCGCGGTGTCCTGACTGTCCGCCTCTCCCCGCCAGTCGCAGACGCAGTGTCAGGCGATGGAGCAGCGCGGTCTGCCCGGCCGGCCTCCCTCCTCGTCTGTGGGCGGTGAGCAGCAGCGGCGCGCCTCGGACCCTGTCCGTCCGATGGGCCGGCCGCCGCGGCCCCTCGGCCCGCCGGCCGGGCCGCCGCGGCGCCGCGCCAGCGCGCGGCGACACCCCAACCAGGAGGTGGTGCTCGACGAGCTCTCTGAGGACCAGTACATCGAGGAGCGGCTCGTACTGCCCGACGAGATGGTCAACTACCTGCAGCAGGTGAGCCGCGCCGCATACTTCACGAGCGCGTTTGTAACCGGTGTTTGTTCGTCGTTGTGTTTCCATTCATGGCTGCAGCATTTACATTCGATTTACTTAGCTGTCGTGGCGCAGAGTATCTTAAATTTTCGTTTCAAGTGTCCCATTGTCCTTCACCTCGCTAACGGTCGTGTTTCTGTTTTCAGACGAACGCGGCTGGCTCGGGAGCGGCGCAATCTGCGACGATGAACGCAAGTCAGATGAGTCCGCACCCCCAGCACGCCCAGCCGAGCCCGGCCTACAGCAATCAGCCAGTCCAGAGTCCGGCTTATAGCAACCAACCAGTCAACAGCCCGGCATACAGCAATCAGCCAGTCAACAGCCCTGCTTACAGCAACCAGCCGGTGACCAGTCCGGCCTATAGCAACCAGCCTGTCAACAGCCCGGCGTACAGCAACCAGCCTGTCAACAGTCCGTTTGCCGGACCGATGGGATCGCCTGCCTACCAGCAGCAGTCCCAGCAGCCGCAGCCGCAGCAGCAGGTGGCGTACGGTCCCCAGCAGCAGCCGCAGCAGCAGCAGCAGCAGCCGGTGCCGAGCCCTGCCTACAGCCAGCAGCCGGTGGCCAGCCCGGCGGTGGCTGCCACGGCACCTGTCTGTCAGCAGGTGCAACAGCAGGCGCAGATGAGCTGCCAGATGGCTGCCATGCCCGGCTGCCAGAACATGCACCCGCACCAGCAGCAGGCGGCGCAGCAGGCGGCAGCACACCAGCAGCAGGTGCAGCAGGCCCAGCAGGCGCAGCAGCAGCGGCAACAGCAGCAGATGCAGCAAATGCAGCAGCAGCAGCACCAGATGCAGCAGCAGCAGCAGCAGATGGCGGCTGGTGGCATGTCACAGGGTGTGATGCAATGGCACCACCAGGGCGCCGCCGGAGCGCACAACTGCGCCGCCGGCAGCTACCACTGCCAGCCGGCGTTCCCCCAGCAGCAGCAGCAGCAGCAGCAGCAGCAGGGCTACCCGGCGCAGCAGCCGGTGCCACCCTCCATGGGCCACCCGTGCGCCGGCGGCGCTGGTACCGGCGCAATGTTCGCCTGCGGCCACCCAGCGCCGCCCGGCCAGCCGCCCATGGCGTACCAGCAGCCGTGCCCCGGCTGCCAGCAGCAGCAGCAGCAGGCGCGCCAGCAGTGGGCCGCCGGGTACCCCGGGTACGGCGCCTGCCAGCAGCCCCAGCAGCAGCAGCAGCAGCAGTCGCCGCAGCGATCTCAGGCGCGGCCCCGGCCCGAGCCGGGACGCACCTTTATGAACGCCGACAGCTTTCACCGGACGCTCGAGTACGTGCAGCGGTGTAAGCGCTGGAGCGGCGAGTCGCCGGCGCCGGCGGCCGCCGCGGCCGCGCCGCCCACGCCCGTGCCCTACAGCGGCGCAGCCAGCGACGTGTCCGTCATGGACAGCGCCAGCAACGTGATGCCGCGCAACAACATGGTCATCAACGACATGAGCTCTGCCATGACGGCGCTGGCCAGAGAGAACCGGTACCTGCACATGTGAGCGGCCGCCGCCCGCTCGCCGGCCACTGTTGATATTGTAGAGCGGTGCGCCCCGCGGCGCCCGCTCGATCTCCGACCCTATGTGTGTGCGTGTGTGTGCGTGGGTGTGTGCGCTCGTGTTCGGACACGGGTGACAGTGTATGTGTATGAGGGCAGGAGTGTGACGGCGCGTGTGCGCCACCTATAGATCGGACTGGACTGGGCGCACCGGCGCCGTCGCCATATTCCAGTCCTGAATTGTACGTGCCAAACGGCGTGTCGGCGCCGGCGAGAGGTCGCCCACCTAGCGCCGAAGGTTAGCTGGTGCGACCGGCCTGTCAGCACCGCCGATGGTACTTAACGCTCGGGTCCCGGGGCACGGGCGAGGGGACAGGGTCGCGGGACGGCGCGATCGTACCTACCCGACACTGTGCCTGTTACTGGCCTTCCATGTGAGTGCGGGCTAACGTGAATTATTGATGTCATGTGCATGCTAAATGGTTTTATTGCGAAAAATGAATTTGTTATGGATTTGAACTTGTTTCGGTCGGCTGTTGTGTGGTGTGGTGTGTAAGGAGATTGAAATATCATGGGTTGATCAAACGATGGAACAAACAGCGTTTGGATGGTATTCGTTAATTTTAGCCAGTAGGTATGTAGATTCTGTTTATGTAAGGTATTTACAAGAGTTTAGCTGCGTCTCTAAAATAGACACACTCCCGAGGCAAACTCCACTCTGATATAAAATATGCGAACTAAATAAGCCGTACAAAGGGGCTGGTCGACAGTATGAGGGACAAGAAGTGCAGGCCAATTGCGATAAAAACGTGTGATAGATGGCAGGAATAAAGCACCAGACCGATCGTTTCCTGGAAACTCTCACCGTTTTGCACCGCTAATTGAGCCAGAGCTTCGCAAAAAAGACTAGCGTATTTGCCTTTTCGATTTCCGAGACGTAGCGACGTACTCAAAGTTTAAAATCAACCAACCGGTGACCTATGTAGGTCAGGCACCAAGGTCGACAGTTTTTGGTGAAGAGCTTCGCCAAACATGGTCGAAGTATCGCGATTTTAACACTTATCATTTTTATTGTCGGTCGCGTCGAATGGTTCAATTTTTTATCGCAAAAAGGTCAACATAGGGTGTTGAACTCCGGTCAAAGTCAGGTCACGGAGCTGGTCGAATCAGGTGATAATTGTCATTAATAATCGTTCGATCGATTCAGCAAGTCTTTTCGAGTCCGTAGGTGGTTTTCCCTACTTTAACTTAGCTCACTGATCGGGAGTTATTGATGAACGAAGAGCTGATAACGTCGATGACGTGATCGTGAAGCCTCATATTTGGCTTCACGCAAGATCGATGATGATCGATGAAATGTTATCCTAGATTGCAAAAAGTGTATGAAATCACGATTTCATGGGTTGGAAATAGTCTTGCCTCATTTATTGGCGCTAAAATAACAGTTTGCATTAAGTGACACTAGCGGCCGTTTTCGACCGTTTTTCCCGACGGGATACCACTGCTGTATAGTTTTCATCATGTGGCTCAAGGAAAATCCAAGACATAGGTGAAAATTGTGAGGATTCGGGATCCGAAGTTAACCTTCTGTTGATCAGTAAGTTAAAAGTTTCTTTCCTTTAAGTAACCTCCGTCACTCCGTTGAGTGTTGACCGTTTCGGTTACCATCTCCAAGATTCCTAGAGAGTCCCTCGACAGCTGTCACGTAATCCCAGCATTGCACTCTGCAGCCCAGAGTAGGCATAAGAGACAGCTCAGCTCAAAAGGCACTGACGGACAGCCTTCAGACCATTGTTTGCAATATTTTGCTCAATTTGTTGATGTAATGCCCGACTTGATGAAAAGATAAAAGGACGTTAACGTCATTTGCCTGGGTATTTAAATTGGTAGTTGGTTCTTTTGTACTTGAATTGTCTTTATTTCTATGGATAAAATTTCTCATTGCATCATCATAAGAATTCCTAAAAAAAAATTATCTGATATTTTGTCTTCAATCAAAGTAAGATTTACATCAATCTTCCCTGATAATCACTGATATCGCCGATACCATTAAAAAGTATTGATAAATGGCGGTGCTGGATAGCGTCCCACCCTCTTCCTTTTGTGCATCTGAAGTTGCCAAGGTGATAAACATTGTATATGTTTGAACCCTTTCGAAGGTTTTCGCTGTGTTATTGTAAGCATGAGGAGAAACATAATATACGAAGAAATTCTGTTTTGTGCAAGTGCTGTAATTGGAGGCCTGTAACTTAGTGTGCTATTAGCGGTGCTTACTTATGCCTTTTTTTACTTTTTTGTTGAATTCATTTTGTGAAGTTTATGATACATTGACTATATTTTTCACTATGTAAATGTGCAGCAAATTGGGTCTGTTCCCGTCACTCCCAAAAAAATCTGATGCGGTTGGATTAGCTTGGAGGAGAGCTGTTTCAGGCAGGGCATATTTTAACAAATTTTTACTGCGTCCCAAAGTTGAGCAGAGGGCACGTGCTACGACTAAGGGCACAGGGCAAGGAACAGAGTAGGGCACTGAGGAGGGCAGAAAGTAGGGCACGACAGGTTACAGGGCATGGCACAGGACATTTTAGAGGGAAGGGTACAGGTCAGGGCACACAGCAGGGCACAGTTTAGGGAACCGGACAGGGCACAGGGCAGGGACGCAGTGGGTCAAATCAGCAGGGGCTACGTCCCAAGGCAAGTGGGCTGCGTCCCAGAATGGGACGCAGTTAGTGCCGTAAAATATGCCCTGGTTTCAGGAGAACCCTGGAACCATTTTTGCGAGGAAATCAGCTGTTTTCTGGCTGTAATGGTTGGTGATATGTGGCGTTCAAACATAAACCAAGAGATAATGACTTTCTAATAAGATAAACAAACATTAATGTCAAACATTACTATTAAAAGGTATCCTATCCTCATCAAACAGTAAAATCATTTCTACTTCCCTCACATATCATTTATAAACAATTCACATTTTATCATGTGCGGCAAACATTTCTATGCAGAACCTTCTCCAAAAATCATCGATCACCGGTGAAACAGGCCCAGATGGCAGAATATTTTGTGGAACCATTTGGCCAGCATACTTTTCCTTGCAGCAAAATGAGGTGATTGCTTGCCATCAAAGTAAAATGATTTTGAAAACTACTTGATTGCAACACTTATCTGTGTTACAATCAAATTTCAATCAAATGTGTTGTTTCAATTAACCTGGGGGGTGGCTACTCACTTATTCACATTAATGCACCTCTCATTCACATCTCATCCCCACAAGGAGAAACATTTCACTATCACTTGGTGTGCCACACTTAGTAGCAAAAGAATTGGAATCATGCATATTTGTCATGCCAGTATGTGGCAGAATATTCTGCTGTGACTTGGTGCCTTGGAAATTCAGCCTCTTGCTCCACCCACTGATGTCTACTGCACATGTGCCATGCCATAATATTTTGTGGTGAAATGCTGACAAACAAACAAACAGACAAACTGCTATGGTGAAATGCTCCATGCTGACAAACATCCATGGCATTGCCATCACACATTTTGACATTTGACCTTTTTTTGCAGCTCAAGGCAATAGGTGTTACCTAGCAGTTTTGACTATTTTTCAATGGGTGTATTAAATGGTTTATGGATGTTATTTGTGTTTCTCTTACCAGTGCTTTCAGCAGCTCATTCAGGAGACATTTTCTTGCCGGCAGATGGCGTCCGCTGCATCTCCTGAGCTGGTCTGGCAGATGATCAGGAACAACCATGGCTCTCTGATGAAGGCCCGCAACATCCGCCGACCTTTCAGCAAGGTGTGTGCCTGTCTTGCACACAGCATAGGTCATCTCACATGCCCAGGTGTCAGAATTAAAATGCCCAAACTTAACCCTCGCATGTGTAGGGGTCGGATGGACCCCTCCCCATGGTTTTTCGCGAATAACTCGCGCCTAAAGCGGCCGATCGCGACGAAACTTTCAGTACCCTCGAGTTGATAAATTTTCACACCTACACTCAACACTGAAAATTTCATGACCCTGACCCAAGTGGCCTTTGACGTGTGACCTATTTCTCGAGGCCATGTTTGGCCGGAATCGCGATTCGGCGTATGTCGGCTCGCATTAGCCGCGCGTTTGCAAGCTTTTCGTGGTTTCAAACGTTCAAACATGTGATTCGATGTTGCTCCCATGCATTAGGGGGATGTCGAGGTCACCTGAAGGTCAGGTCATTGACCTTTGGTGATCTCGGTTCACTTTTTCGAGTTTTACATGTAACTAGGCTAGTTTTTGGAGCTGAATTCGAATTTAGAAACCATTAGAACATTGGTGCCTTCGTAACATGTTACGTACGAAGCTGTCAGAGGCGTTTGACACCTACTACGAATACCCGTCACGGCCCCTACTGGTTGACCTGACCTGACCCGACCTGGTGCTTAAAAACGATGCTTAAACGATGCTTAAAAACATCATCTGTGATCAAAACTAACACGATATTCGTGATCAGCACCCCAAAAAAAACCATAGCAGCCACACTTTGCGTTTTTCTAACAGGTCCCGAATTTCCCGACTTTTGGGTCATTGACCTGACCTGGAAGGTCAAGCACAGCTATTGAGCTAGGTTAGGGAATTTTAAACTCATCCAAACACTGTTGTGTTTGCAGGAGGCCAACAACCTGAAGAACGTTAACTCGTACCGGTTCAACGGCTTCGTCCAGAAGAACGTGGTCGGCGTGGAGCCGATGGCCAGCGGAAAGGGCGCCGTCCTCATCACCAAGAAGAAGCGCAGCTCGGTATGTGTCGACGACCTATTCCAGCTTCAGTTGTGTGGACTGATTCTGCTGAGCCTTAGTAGCCGATAATTAAGCCGATAATTAGCAGACTTCGCTTGATAGGACAAGAACGAATTCAAAATTGAAAATCCATTCTAGTAAATACTGTGTCAAATCAAGCAAATACCGTGACAAGTTTCGGCTGTCTAAAATTGTTCCGTCTACTCTGTAATGACTGACCGGACTAACCTATCGGTAGGCACTAGGCATTGCCACTCACATCTCACTTGTCACGGCAACACATTGTCACGTACCACGATCGGGGTACTTCTGCACTGGCGTCCAGGGCCCGTTTCCACATCTGGGGAACGGAGTGGTCGCTCAAAGTTGCCGGTACAGCGCTTGGGACAGGCTAGAATACCTAGTGGCTATCACAAGTTGGGATCTAATTTCACACGCGTATACGTGCAGGGACTGTTTCGACACCTTAAAAATCGCTGGGTCGATTGCGTTGAAAATAGTTCAAATTTGGAAATCGACAGGTAATATTGGTACACAGCTCAAGATAGTTTTGGTTTTGGGTCTTACTTTGCACGCTCAGGCGTGGATGTCTCACTGTTCCGCTCGCATGTGCGTTGCCCACAATGCATCTTACTGATATCAGATTCCCGAAAAGACATTGTTTTTAATAAATTTACTGTTTCGCAAAAAAAAAAAATGCTGTCGCAAATGTATGCTGCTTGCTGCGGCTATGCTGGACAGAAACATCAATATCCGGTGCACAGCGCTCGTAATGAGCAACGAGCCAAGCAGTTAATCCTTACGCCCGTTCGTGCTGAATCTAACCGCCAAGCGATTTTTACTTCCTTTAGAGTATTTTTTCGAGTGATAATTATCACCAAGTGCAAAATCGTCTGACTTGTGCTGGGTTGTGTGCCTCAAACCCGTACATCCACCACCCAGCCGATTTATCCTTTTTCTGTTTTTTTTTTTCGTGTGAATGTACCTATCTCCTCCGTGGAGATGATCAACCAACATTTAGTCCTATAAGTGCCGTGCCACTCACAGTCACTCGCATTCTTTTACGTTGCCTGCCAGTGCTGGAAATGAGGCCGCTTTCTGGTCCCGGCGTTTTATTCTCCGGGCGGGTTAATCCCATCCAGCGTTTAGCCTTTCGGGACCCACTCAGGGTCGCGGTTGTTTTCGCCGCTCGCCGCAGTCGAGATGCAAAGTTAATAGTCATACGAAGCTTATTTAGGGCCAGCTAAACCAGCCTGGTCTGGAGTTACTGTTAATGTATACATATAGCTGAAAGAAAAAGGTTTTGTAGAATCGATTAATTTCGAAGTCGTATATTCAGAGGCCCCAAATAAACTTCGTGTGACTATCTACTTTGTATCTCGAATGGGCCGAGCGGCAAAAACAACCGCGACCCTGAGTGGGTCCCGAAAGGCTAAGCGCTAGACGGGGCTAACCCACCCGGAGAATAAAACGCCGGGACCAGAAAGCGGCCTCATTTCCAGCACTGTTGCCTGCACCTCGACCCAAACCGGACACGCCAGCTACCTCGGCTGCATTGCTCCAGGCACCACCATCCGCCACCTGCTGGGTGACGAGTCACCCTTGGTTTTATCTGGCAGCATCTTTTCTTTCATTCAGTCCATCAGTTTTCCTGTGATATATTCGTTTTACTATAATGTGGTATGGTATAACGCATCTCATCTGGTTCTAGTCCTTTTTAGTTCGTCAGTTCTCTGTTGGCATACCCGCTTTACCAGTACAACGTTATGGGCGCAAAATGACCACCGCAGTCGACGCGCCCTAAAGCCGTATTAAACAAACAACGGCAAGAATGTTGCTCGCTGTTTCATTTTATGGCGTTGCAGCTGCCAAATTGCCATGCTCAGATGCACGAGAGCATTGAGGGGCGGGGCATCTGTTTTGCCCTATTGAATAACGACTCGATGGCCGTCAGTGAATAGTTGCACACATTTGATATTGCTGGCTATTCAGATGGTTTCTCGTGCTGCATTGTGTTCGTGGTCTGGTGATCCGTGCTGCTGTTGGTCGGGCTTGTCTCTACCCCTGCCGTCAGCGTCCTGTTTGCAGTGACTCCATCCACAGGTCTGACAATTGTGACCCCTCCCACCCCTGTGTTCCGCAGCACAAGCCGGGTCAGAGCGTGCTGCGCCAGCCGCTGGTCAAGGGCAAGCGCGTCTCGATCCAGAAGGTGCGCCGCGCCCTGAAGGGCGCCAGCTACCGGAAGGACCTGCGCAGCCTGGCGGCGCGCCGGGCGGCCGCCATCATCCGCTCCCAGGAGCCGCCGCGGCCCGCCAAGGCCAAGAAGAACTGATCAGCTCATACACATACACAAATGATGACAAATATATGGCCAGGGACAGCCGTCTGTCTGTGTCTGTGTGATCGAAGTGGCTGTCACGAGCCGAGTGGACGGGATGGGGGGAGAACATGGAAATGGTCGGCCGAAAATGATGGGCTTGGCAGTGGCAAACGCCGCGTGGGGCTCTCGGTGCAATCACCGTTCGTCGTGCCCGTGTAGAGTTGGCAGCATCACGCAGTGTGTGATACAGGGGGGGGGGGGGGGGGGGCGTCGAAAGTTCACACTGGTTGAGGTGCACATTCAATACGATATGCATCAGCGGAAACAAAATGTTTCTTTTTGGCTGTGGGCACTATGTCATTTAGGAGGCGCGATGGAAAGTTACCGGCCATAAGGCAACAATTTACTGTACAAACTAGAATATCCTGCCATCGTTTTGCCCGATCGCATATATCACCGTAGGACCACATTGCAGACTCGCATCTGTGTTTTGTTACAACGCACTTGCGCCTCATTTGGGTTTTGAGACATGGCGATGGAGGGGACTGCTTGCTGGTGCCTCCGCCTGTTGGCCCGCCAGCCACTCTACGTCACTCAGCCACTCACTCGTTCTGACCAGGTGGTTTCTCGGGTTCCTCGTCCCAGTCCGCCGCTTCCGGGGCACGTCACTTGTACACTCGGGGACAGATTGATGTTCCACCACTCCCTACCCATCGGGCTCCCATGGCTCAGCACTGGCTGCTGCCAGTGGCAGCACTGGTACTGGCAGGCAGTGCTGAGCAGTGCTAAGGGCAGGCAACGCTGGCAGCAGCCAGTGCTGAGCCATGGGAGCCCGATGGGTGGGGAGTGGTGGAACACCAATCTGCCCCCGAGTGTACCAGCTGACGGGCGGTTGACGAATCACCCAAGATCCAATAAAATTCCCAAAAAAGGCTGTTTCCATGGGTTAGCGCCTAGCGGCTTGCTGTCTTCGTGTCAGTCAGTCTCAGAAATGCGTGAGATAATCATTTTATTGCACACAATAGTTGTTCCTGACTCAACCTCCGCGCCTCAGGCCGTGTTGGAGCTTGATTTGTGATTGCGTATCGGTTAGAAGTCTCTACAGTAGCGCGATGAGGACCGTGTTAGGTTAGGATGCGTATGGGTCCCAGGCACAAGCCCAGGCAGGTCCCAGGGCCGGCTCGTCCCGACTCCTAACGTCTTGTCAGGTCAGCTAAAAGGCAGCCTCCGGCCGTCCCAGCAATTTCAATCACTTGTTGAAGCTGCCTTCTGTGGCACTCTTGAGACTGCCGAAAGTTAACCCTCAAGGAAATTTGTATGGAGGGAATACGGAGGCCCACACACCCCCATACGTCCCTGATTTCGTGCGCACATGGTGCGCACTTTCGGTAAACTCCAGTCAAGTATTTGAAGTGAAATTGAAGTTTTTTTTTTCTACTCCTTAAATTTTCTATGAAATGGCAGCGCTACAGCGCACAAAGCGCGCGGCTGGTGCGATTCTGGCGCACGGCGCAGTTTCACGAACGGACACGCATAGATCAATACGGTGCAAAATCCCCTGTACATTCGATAACATTCGCCCTTATCGGTAGCCGGGTGCCGCGAGGTGCAAGGCTTGCGCGCGTACACTTGTTTACCTATTTGACGGGTGATTACATACCTAATATTTTGTGTTAGTTCATATTTGGTAGGGTGCATGCTGGATTCCGCCCTTTGAAACTGTCCTGGGGTTTTGGGGTTTTGAAAAGCTCGTTTTGATATAAAGAACAACAAATGATTTTTCATTGTTTTGAGTTTGCCTTTCTCGAATTTGGTATACATTGTTATTTTTAGATATATATCAATAAATACTTATGCTTGTACATAAGTAGACATGTACCTATCTACCCACAAACACCTACCACCTACCCCTTTTATTACAGGTGTGATCTGCTCGGCTCGAGTCTCTTTTTGGCCACCAAGAGTCCATCAGTCCAAGAGGACAGCTCGCAATGTCAAAACCACTGCTCTCTGACCTAAAGAAGTTTCGCTATCAGAAGGCCTCTGCTAGGTCTGCTGTGGCTAGTACCAATGCTGCATCATCACAGGAAAGCCAAGAGACAACAGGTAGGATCAAGTCGCAACGTAGCTCAGTTGGTTAGAGCGTTGGACTCCGCGTGGTGAGAGCACGCGTTCCCGGTTATGACAGTCCGGGTTCGAAGCGCGACGGGCGCTCGATATTTATGGGCCTCCTGACAGGTATGGTTGCGGTTGGTGGCAGGCCGTAGCCAGGCGAAGTCAGCGAGGGGACCGGCCGTGCGCGGCTTTGTGCGCACGTTAAACTTTGGACTCTAAATTCTGCCATAGAACTGGAATTGCGCGATCGGAGGGTAGAGGGCAGGGTCATCGCAACAAGCTTTGCTTAGCGGTGGCCCTGTCCTTGTGAATCCTTCCCATCAAAAGGTTCGGACTAAATTTATAAAAAAAAGTCTGCAATTGTAATGTGTGCTTTTTAACCGCTGAACTTTTCACTGATTTAATGTTAGTGTTTCTGTCTTGATATGGTCACAAGTATTAAGCATTTAAACATTTAAATTTGTTATCGACAAAAGTAATGAATATTATTATCATTTCATAGAGCAACATATGAATTAGTGACAAGGTTTTTTAAAGGCAGTCAGCTGACCATTATTTCACAGATGTGTTGTGACTCTGCAGTCTGTCTTTTACCAGCTGACCTGTCTGGAAACATGTTGTTTCCCCACACTGTCCTTTTTACAGCTGACCAAAATGTGCTTTGTTTCCACAGTGCCTTATACCAGCTGACCGTTGCTGCAATGTGTTGTGTGACATGTCTCCGCAACGTGTCATGTACCAGCTGACCAGTACAGAAATGTCTCCACAGTGTCCTGTAATAAGTAATAACTACCGAAATGGGCTTGACCTCCACGGTGCACTATACCAGCCGACCCTGCTGACCACTCTGGAAATGTGCTTTGTTTCCACAGTGTCCTATACCACCTGACCACTCCTGTAAATGTGTTCTGTCTCCGCAGTGTCCTGTACGAGCGGTAGTCAGCTGACCAGTCCGGAGATCGGACGTCGTCGGATCAGCTCCGGACACAGTCCGGACAGGGTCCCATCGTCACCCTGTCCATACTCACCCATCGTCAGAGGGGTGAGTATGGGGAGCAGACAGGAGCAGGATTGTCGTCAGGGGATGGGTACCTGTCCGGCGCTCGTACCCTTTAGCCCTCCATGTCAGGTGCACCATACTTTCTACTTAAATAGGTAGCACAGATATTAGGACTGTTCCTTGTGTGTGTTATTTTGCAACGTGTAGTTTGGATGGTGAGGTTACGTGAGCATGGCACCGATGACTGATGCTAATTGGGTCAGATATCAGCCATATTTTCTGGGATTGACCGTTTCTTTCGAGCGTGAGCGGTCTGTTGCCCATGTAAGGTACCCTGTGTCAGTTCCTCTACCGCAGACCATAAGGGCAATGTCTCCGCAGAGTCCGACCGGGCCTCATAAGTTGGGTGCAAATCATGTCGAGTCTGTGCGGCTACTAGCGGTCAAACTCTTGTCACCGTAGCTGTTCTTCTTGTTAAACTCACAGTCGTTGTTTGATAGTTGTATTGTGGTCCCTTGAGCATTTGGTCAGCATGCGTCCAAAGTGAGTTTTTGTAAAAAATTAATTGATATCAGTCGGACTTTGACGCGACTTTCGTAGTCATCACGATTACTTTTTAAGGCTCCGTCGATAGATCTTCGTTTCCACGTTCGATAGTGGCAAGGGATAGCACATGCTAATAGAAGTCAGAAGATGAAATGAAAACTAGAACTAGAGAAACTTTGATTTAATTATGTTTTGCTCCTTTTTTAAGCGGCTTAGTCTCAGCGAGTGTAACTTGTCACTTCTCTATCATGCTCGTTATCCATGCGAAATCAGCACTGCCACCACCGTTAAAGTGGGATGTGACTGGCACCCAGCCCTTGAAATCTCATTGTGGTGCTGAATTTGGCGATCTTTCCTTTGTTTGGGTGAGGCTTTTGTGGTCTAGACAGGCCATTTCATGACCCCAGAATATCACGATATGATTATGGGGAGACATTGGCCTGGGCGGCCACCCTGGTGCGCTGTCGAGGCTAAGCCCGTCTCGAAGGACAGGTCACCCAGCCCCGCAGCCGCTAACGGTCACCCACCGGCAGTATGCACGTAATTGCGCCCTTGCAGAGCAGTTTTTGTATGATGATGGTGACCGACCAGCTCGTTACAGGACTTTGATTTTGAGATGGATGTGTGTGTCTTAAGGATGGATTGCTGTTCCAAATTATTCTGCTAAGCACCAATCCTCAGGATCCCATGTTGCACTTACACTTACGCTCCGTAGCAATCATGACATGCTCTGTTTGTTGCGACATTATCTTTTTCAACTGTGCGATCACCATGACGCCACAGAAAATATTTGTTGTAGATATTATCGTATAGAGTTCCGCGTTTATAGTTTTCGGGTGGCCCGTGAAGTCGGTGGTGGGTTCCACGGTGGAGTCGAGCGATGCTCGCGACATCTATAACGAAAAGTGTGTGGTGTTTTGGTGGCGCCTGTGGCGGTGGGTCAACAGTGGTAGTTCTACCATCGCTCGCTAGATGGCGCTAGCGACTATGAGCTTTCGAGGCTTGAGGAATTTTGAGGACAGCTTTGCCTGAGGGCATGGATGCGTGCATCCGATTGGTCGGCCGGCTGGCGGGCGCCCGCGCAGTGACTGCAACGCCGAGTGTTGGTGTTTCTGGTAAGTCGCTGCTGCGTGAGGGCGGGAAAGTTTGCGAAACTAAATTTTAATTCACGCTTAGGAAATTACATAGGTTCTGAAGGTCCTGCCAGACGTTTATCTTTGCGCAGTGGCGATACAGTAACCAATGAGGTTTATCCGAGGTGCTGTTATTGCTAGTTGAAAACTTTACCCAATACCCCGCCTGGACGACGTGCAATACCGTCGGCCAAGGCAATGTTTGAACGGCCTCACGGGCCTACGAAGTATTATTGAAGTTGGACGTTGGTTAAAGGGGAGTTCCCGTAAGGTGAGGTTGTAAAGTGAGGTTCGAAAATTTACCCGTTATGGGCTGTTTTCATAGGCGTAGGAACGTTTTCAAAAGTGGGGGGGCCAGGGTCCCAGAGGTCCAAAACCTAACCTACCCCCAAAATCCGATTTCTCCTCGGATTTCGGCCACTTTGTTTTCGCAAACATGCTCAGAGGTAAAAAAAATCGAGACAAAAAAAGAAAAAAATTGGTTGAAATTTCAGGGAGTCTCCCGTCCATAAACTCAAACTGATGGACGCGTTCCCCTGTCCTCCGCAGCCGTTGGCACCCATGCAAATTCCAGAGGCATCCAGCAACTTTTTTCATTACGAGCAAGCGTGAAACGTGCAAAGCGAGTCTTTTCAATATACCTATAAAAATCAGCATGAACGGCCCAGCTAGGCTCAGCCAGGCCTATAACGTTTTTAAGAGGTTTTATATCAGCGACCACTGCAACTGGGCTGATTGACTATCACTTATCAGAGGCCGGTGTGGGACTTTTAGACGGTCTGGGCCTTCAGAGGCCAGTTTAACCCTCCACGGCCCGGTCCTATAGGTTTTCTACATACGCGCTGGCCGAGGGGGCGGGGGGCGGGTACGACCCCCCTCGCCGTTTCGCCCCAGGTGGAGCTAGCGCGTCGCGGTAAAACGAGCGTGTGCGCCGTTACGAGACGCAGAGATCGATACCCGATTTTATGGTCCTAGGTCAACCGGTGACCTCTGACACCGTTCCGTGCTTCTATCCTCAGGATACTGAAATCCTTCTCCTCCACACCGCAACCCCCTCCGGGCTGGACAGGCAACTTTATCTCATGCGGGCTGCTCCCTTGGAGCGGCACCGCTGCTCCCGAGGGAGCGCACCCCGTAGCCGGGTGGAGTGAGTGCCTTGGGGCTGGGTGGCCTGTCCTCTGGACGGGCTCAGCCCCGGCGACTCACTAGGGTGCCTGCCCAGACCAATGTCTCCCCCTATATCCTATCATCCTTCCGGCTCTGAAATGGTCTCATTGGACCGAAAGGGCCTAACCCAACAAAACAAACAAAAACCGGTGACCTCTGAGGTCAGGTCAAGTGCCTCAAGGCACGGTTCCGTTTTTGGTGAATAACTTCGCAAAAAAATGGTCGTAGAGCCGCGATTTTGCCAGCATCGTGCTCGCCTCTCTCAGGCGCGTCGAATGATATACTTTTTGTTTGGGTGAGGTAAACTTAGGGTGTTGACCTCGGGTCACGGTCAGGTCGGCGTCCCCAGGTCACGAAATTGGTCGAAGGAGGTCATGTCGCATATCATTCGATTCGGCAGGTCTTCTTGAGTCCATAGGTGGCTTTCCCGACTCGCTAGCTCAATTTGATCGGTACCTAGTTATTGACGAAAAACTAATAAGACCCTTATAAGTTATAACTTCATAAATGACGTCGCGCAAGGTCAACATTGCAAAAGTGACGCATCGAGCCTTGCAAGGAGTGCATGAAATCACGATTCGGTGTGCTTGAGATAGTTGGAGATCGATCGTTCCCGGCGCCAGAAAAAGTTTTCAGTTTATCCCCATTGACTTATACCTAATGGTGAGGTCACGAAAATGACCTGACCTCATATGAACTTTAGAATCCGAGATATACATTATACAAGTTGAGAGACTCCTATTGGATACTAGGTCCTCCAAGGTTCATTTCCCTGTGAAATCTCCTCTGGCAGTGAGGGCGTTGCGAAGTTGCGACATCTGAAGACCGTGCAGAGGTTCACTTATGACCACATGGGTCAGTGACCTGATCTGACCCGAAAATGCGGTTGGTGTCAAAAGATCCCGTTTGATTCAAAGGTCAGGTATGCCAAGCTTCAGCTCTCTATCGCCGGCGTGTTCGGAGCTATCGCGAAAAAAAACCTATGGAGGGGCGGCACCCGCCCCCCCCCCCCCCGGCCGGCGAGGGTTAAGGCCCTCAGAGACCAGTACAGGGCCTGCAAAGGGCAGGATGAGACCTTAAGATGCCGACTTGGGCCATCAGAGGCTAATGTGGGTCCTTACAGGCCAGTATGGGCCCTCAGAGGTCAGTGTGGGACCCTAAAATGCCGGCATGGGCCGGTGTTGGACCCCAGAGGCCAGCAGAAGACCCTCAAAAACCAAGATGGGCCTCAGAGGCCAGCATCGGGTCTTCAGAATCCAGTGCAAGGCCCTCAGAGACTAATGCGTGTCCTTACAGGCTAGCATGGGCCCTTAGAGGTCAGTGTGGGGCCGTAACAGACCGGCATGGGCGGGACTTGGAACCTAGAGACCAGCGGAGGGCCCTCATAGGCCAAGGTGGGCCCTCAGAGGCCGATGCGGACCCTTGGAGACCGGCATCGGATCTCCGGAATCCAGTGCGGGGCCCTTAGAGGTCATGTGGGACCCTTAAATACCGGCATGGGCCGGTGTTGGAACCCAGAGACCAGCAGAAGGCCCTCAAAAACCAAGATGGGCCTCAGAGGCCGGCATCAGGTCTTCAGAATCCCGTGCAAGGCCTCATAGGCTAATGTGGGTCCTTACAGGTCAGCATGGGCCCTTAGAGGTCAGTGTGGGGCCCTAAAAGACCGGCATGGGCCGGCGTTGGACCCCTCAGGTCAAGGTGGACCCTCAGAGGCCGATGCGGACCCCTAGAGGCCGGCATCGGGTCTTCAGAATTCAGTGCGGGGCCCTCAAAGGCACCTAAAGGCTAGTCTTGGGACCCCAGAGACAGAAATGAGGCCACCAGAGGCTGGTGTGAGGCCCTCAGACGCCGGCTGGGCCCTTGAGGCCGGTTTAGGGGCCCTCAAATGAGGTCAATGTGGGTTCTCAGCGGTCAATGTGGGCGCTTGACCGCCACTGAAGGGCCCTCCGAGATCAGTGTAGGACCCTCAAAGACTGGTTTGGGAGCTGTTAATGGCTAGCGTGGGATCCTTGAGTCTCGTGACAATCGAATAAGGGCCAGAGCCCCATACGCCCATGGGGGCCCATTGATTGTTTGGGGGGGGGGGGCCAAATGATATGATGGCCCCCTGATTAGCCTTTGGAGGGGGGAAGGGCATGGCCCTGATCCCCCTCTGCGACCGCCACTGCACTGAAAGTGGAAGGGGGAGGGGCAGAAACAGACATTGCTGGCCCCCAGCCTGTTTGCACCGAGGCTGAGGCACGGTCACCCTGGCCCCCAGCTAGTACGCCTTTGACGAACTATGCCGACCCCAAGCAGATAAGGTCAAGCGTTGGTCGTTTGTATACGCATTCTCCTGCACCGTGCTAGTATTGTCTTAGTATTGCCTATACCTTTTTAGTGCTCGCTGTCCCGCGCCTCGTATTCAACAAAATGCTGTCACCAGGACTCACAGTCTTGTCTCTGATATGGTTTCCTTCCTTGAGTGAAGGAAATTGCGGTCAATAACGCTGTAGAAACAAAAAGGAATCCTCATTAAAGGGCAAGCTGAATAGTTGTCAAGTTACCGGGTGGTAGGTTAGGTACAGACAGACACTTAAGTCAGCAAAAAGTGGGGGGGCCAGTTAACATTGCTGGCCCCCCCACCTCCGAAAGTGGGGGGGCCATGGCCCCCCCGGCCCCCCCTGTTCCTACGCCTATGGCTGTTTTACTCGCGTGGGACGTGGCGACTGAAAGGGTGGGTGACGTAACATGTCCCTTGAGACCAAGACATCCGCAAGACATTTTCAGTCGCAGCGGTGCGCCAGGGCAATGGGCGACCGCCGATTTTCAACCCCTCATTCGTATATTCATCCTGCTATAGAATAGTCACCGAGACCGAAATGTTAACAAAACAATCAATAAAGTTTTTTAGGTATAAGAAAGCAACATTTAAGGAAGCAATATCATGAGCTTCATGTGAAACGGTTCACAATATCATGTGAACCGTTTCGGAGAGTACCCCGGTGGCGTCCAATACCACCTTTTGGGAGCCGCCAGGGTAGTGGTTTAGTTGACCCTCACTTCACATGATGCATTTTTGGGTTAATTATTTAAATTTCTGGTGGGATCTGTAGTGAATTTGGGTAATACAACCCCCGTTTAACCCTCGCCCGCACATGCCATTTTCCCATCCTAGAACGCACATGGGGGGGGGGGGGGTGCCACCCCCGCGCCATTTCGTTCCTGTTGGAGATAGAGCTTCGCGGTAAGACCAAAAAGATTCTTTGAGAAGAGACGAATCCAATGATACCCAGTTTTACCTTATCAGGTCAGTCATTGACCTTCCAGGTCAGGTCAAACTAAAAATGTTGCCGTTTTGGGTCACCGTTGGATATCAAGTGCGTTGCTTATCATATACCGATGACGATGCCGTTTTCTGGTGCCAAGCCAGCTAGAACCTCTTTTCACACTATCCGACCAGGTTTTTGCTGCTGAGGTCATTTCAGGTCAAGTTAGGTCAAGGTCAGTGATATGTGTTTGTATATCTGTGTGTGTCTGTGTATATATATACACAGACATACATAAATCATGTACAGTAATAAATCATGTACAGACATCACCAGGGGTGTCGATTTTTCAAAATGGTTGGGGGTGCTCAACCCCTGCACCGGGTGAAAGATTGTAGCTTTGCCATGGGGTACAACCGTACCTACAAGGCATGGTTGTGTATCCCCATAAGGTACTGATAATCCCGGGATTTCCACTAATATTTCCCAAAGGTTGAACGTTCTTCAAAATCATTCTGCTCGTCCTAGTACTTGGCTACCTCATTACATAAACATCTTTCCGAAAAAAACGCGTACATTTGCCGGCAGCTCGGCAGCAGCCCCGACACCTCTGTAATAAGGTGACAGAAACCGATGACCGCGATTAGCACCGGTGCAGCAGCCCCTGCGGTCCGCAGGGGCGGACATTGCGCGGGAGGCAACGGTATAGCTACGAGGCTCTGGCGTTTATCAGACGATCACAATAATCGCTGAAAAAATAACAGGTGATTGCAATTCGATATTTATGGGTTTACGATTTTCCTCAGTGGCGTAGCCAGGTGGGCCCGTGAGCCCCCCCCCCACCCCATCAGGTTCAGGGGCCCATCGGATTATTCGGGCCTGAGGGGCACTGCGGCGCCAATTGGCCACTGAGGGTCCACGTTGGCTATATTTGGACTCAGAAGGGCCCCACAGGGCTCGTAAGAACACCTCATGGGCCCAAAAGTACTAACATTAAGATCTCCATAAGGGCCCCAAGCCAGCCTCTGAGGGCCACTTGCCGGCCTCTGGGAGTCTTAACCGGCCTCTAGGGGGCCAGCTCTAGGAGCTGCACACCCGCCTGTAATGGCCCCACACCCATTTCTCTGAGGGCCCCTATAACGGCGACTGTGAGGGCCCTCACCGGCGCCCCTGAGCGCCACACCGGCGTCTCTGAGGGCCCCACACCCCTAACTCTGAGGCCCTATACCAATGCCTTTAAAAACCCTACATGGGCGGTTCTGAGGGCCCTTGACAGTTACCAGCGACCCTGACGGCCCCACACAGGTGACACGGAGGGTCCCAGCGGCGTCTGAGCGCACCATGCCAGTCTCTGAGAACCCCACAAGGCTCCTGAAGGCACCGGTGACCTCTTGATATCTTCTTGTCGGCCTATGAAGGATCCGTTCCGTAACAGCAGTTCTGAGGGCCCAACGCGCGCCTGTGATGGCCCTAAACCAGTGTCTCTGAGAGCCCCCACACCGGCGCCTCCAGTCCGAGGGCCCCACATTGCCATATCTGAGGGCCCCACACTAGTGCCTCTTAAGGCCCTATATCGGCGGCTCTGAGGGCCCAACATCGTAGCTTCTGAAGGCCCCACAAGTGCGCATGTGACGGCCACCCTGCCACCGGTGACATTTGAAGGCCCCACACCGGCGACTCTGAGGGCCCCATCAGCGCCTGAGCCCGTTCCGGTCTCTAAAGATGACCCCACAGGATTTCTGAAGGTACATACCACCGGCCTCCGATGACCCTTTGCCGGCCTCTGAGGGCCCGTCGCCGGTCTCTGGAGCCCCCTGCCGGCTTGTAAAGGGTACGCGCCAGCAGCTCTAAGGGTCCGACACCCGTGTACGACGGACCCACACCATCTTTGCAACTTAACGTTTTTTTCGCCCTTCTTCTTAAATCTAAATTTTCTTTTCTTTACATCTTTATTTCATGCCTTGTAAATTGCGTAATTGTTTTATTTTTAGTAGTGAACTACTGCAGAACAATTATTTTCCTCAAGCAGAGTTATTGAGGGACAAAACCATTGGGGGGTGCCCGGAAAACCATTGGGGGTGCTCATTTGAGCATTGGGGGTGCTGCAGCACCCCCAAAGGTATACAAATCGACACCCATGGACATCACATACATAATACATACATCAGTATATACTGATGTGTGCACCGATTGTTTATGTGTCCATATTACATGAAATCATGAAATGAGAAGTTTTTACCAAAAATACAGTCAAAGAAACTTCACGAAAAGTAAATTCAACTTGCCTAAAACGCAATTATCTTAGATGACCAAGGTTGACCTTGACCCTGACCTTGACATCTGTACATCGTCGAACAACATGTTCCATGATAGTTGGGAGGTAAGACTGGCAAAAAAGGCCGAAATCAAGGTGTCAAAAGCTCACAAGACCCATAGCCGACGCAAGATGTTGAGAATTGGTCATTTGAGTCATGACATGACCTGAAAAACAAGGCCATATCTCCGAAACCAAAAACCACAGAAACTTGAATTTTTCAGTGGACATCAAGAAAGGATAGAGGAGCAGGTATACGAAAAATCAGGCTTCTAGCTTTAAAAATGTTGAGTGCAGATCATAAAAACTACCTGGGGGGGGGGGGGGGTGGCAACCCCCCATGTGCGGGCGAGGGTTAAACACCTGTCTCGTCGGAATACCTCCGATCGTCATTTGTCTCTTAATTGGCACTTATTACCTTTATTATTAAATACATATGTATGTATTGTGCTGGGCCTGGAGCTGTACAATGGAGTCTTAAAGCATGCTGAATATGTCCAAGGTTTACACGCAGGGAAGATCCCTCACTAGCAGAGCAGGCCGTCCATCTAGCCAGGCCTTACGAGCGTACCAGCTTTGAGCGTAGCCGATCTGCAGCATTCCTGGGCTGTGGAAATTTTTGGCTTCAGTCGTAACTGATAACCACCGCAACGCAACATATGAGGGACCGGAACACGACACCCGACATTGATCAAATGTTAGCGACTCGTATTCTGCTTTCGTAAAACGGTTTCCTCTATCCCTGTATTTTGTTGACCTTTTGTCATTTCTTTCATGGCCGTAAGCAAAAATCTTCAAGAAAAGAACGACATTTGCTATTTTGCTGGCAAACATAAGATTGAAACAAAATGCATTCGTATTCGTAAAAAAAAATATTGCAACTTTGAATATGCACCTGAAGCTATGCTATTTCTGTAAATCAGAATTACTGCCCATCAGTCTACTCTTTCAGGCTGATGCGGTAACCTTGTGCTTCGAACAGCACTGAGGCTCGAGAACTGCTAACAGTTTTACCTGAACCACTGAATGCGTCCCGAGTGGGCTGGCAGCGCTGACGAAGGACGTGCGTGGAACATGTCACACGAGAGTCGGGGTATAGGGCAGGGCATTGGCGGAGGAGGGAGGTGCGATCGGTCGGTGTCGTCTCGCCCGGTTCCTATTTCCCCGCCCGCTTCCCTCCCACTCACTGGAGACGGGCGGGGGGGGGGGGGGATGTCAGAAATATGAGCTCCGATAGTAGAGCCTACGTGCTGGTTTATGATCCGTGGTCTGTTTGCCATCGGTCGGCGTTTGTGGTGTGACTGACTGACAAGCTGATACTGATTTGATCAATCCCATCTGTGGCAATGCTTTAATCTTCATCTTGAACGCAGTGTAGAATTCATCTGGATCTGATTCTGGACGCTTGTTAATGCCTTTTGATAATATTCAATGCTCTTGCATTTGAGCAGTCCAAGTCGTTATGCATGAAGCTTATTGATTCGATATGAAGCCTTGCTCTTACAGTCATTTAGCTGAGCACCGTCAGAATCCGTCAATGCTGGACATCATCCTGACCATCCCTCTCCTGTGCGTTCTCAGCGGACCTCGAAGCGTCGCCTGCTCAGTGACAGCAGTGATGGGGATGACGCGCCGCGCCAGGAGCAGCAGGCCGACGGCGCCGGGGACGCCCCCTGCTCACCAGCTCCGGCAGCGGACGACCCGGCCGCCAACACGGACAAAATCGAGTCCGACCTGGCCTTCCTGCGAGATGCCTTCCCCGACCAGGATGAGATGGTGAGAGGGAGGAGGGAGAGGAAGCCGGAGGAGGGGGAGTATGTGCCTCAATTCCGTACAGGGCAGTGGAATTGTTTACCTGTAAATTGTGTTGTTTACTGTGTCCAGCAACGAGATACAAAGCTGCCTGTATGTGTCTGCAATGCAGGACTGTCTCGGTTTGCCTGTACGGGAGGTGCAGGACTGTCATGTACAGTAGTCGCAGCACTGTCTGACAGTCGGTGTCTCTGTGTACAGGAGCTGCAGGACTGTCTGTCTGTGTGTCTCTGTGTACAGGAGCTGCAGGACTGTCTGTCTGTGTGTCTCTGTGTACAGGAGCTGCAGGACTGTCTGTCTGTGTCTGTGTGTACAGGAGCTGCAGGACTGTCTGTCTCTGTTTACAGGAGCTGCAGGACTGTCTGGCGCAGCACGGCTGGCGGCTGGATGACGCCATGGCCGCGCTGGCCGACCGGGCCGAGAAGGCCGCCCGGCGCGCGCAGCTCGCCGCCCTGGCCACCGCCAAGGCAGCGCCCAAGCGGCGTCGTCTGGTGGTGATGGAGTCGGACAGCAGTGACGAGGAGGATGGCCGGCCGCGGCCCGCCGCCAACGGACACCGCCAGAACGGCGCCGCCAAACGTGAGACGGCGGGGGTGGGGAGGGTGGTGGGAAGATGCTGGCAAAATGAGGTAGCAGGGGTGAAAAGGTCATTACCTTTTATGCGAAATGTAAACTTGCAGGGTAGTGCATTTTATGCAGTGTAGTTGGTCATGATAACGCACAGTTAAAAATTGGTGCAATTTGGTCTATGCGAATTTGATATTCCATCGTATTCTAATTGCTTTATTTGAGTCAGGAACATTTATGAATTTTACTAGCGTGGTAATCTTAACTACTACTCTTGTACGTCAGCTGCCAGTGCGCAGCCCATTCAATAACCTTCAAATTGCGTTCGGAGCCAGCAGCCTTGCTTTCTGACTGCGGCATCTCGTCCGTCCCGTTTCACAGCCGCGACGAATGGCGTATCGAGGAAGCCGGCGGCGCCCAAGCCTCCCAAGCCGACCGTGTTTGCCGGCGGCGGCGACAGCGACGACGAGGACATGGACTTTGAGGCCAAGTGTATCGTCTACATGAGGTGAGCCAGGAGACCGTGTCAGTGGGGTGGTCACAAAGTTCACCGGTAACCGTCAGGCCGTCAATGAGCTGAAAACGGAGACAGAGTTGTCAGAAAATTGGTCTCAGTCCGTATGCGTATCAGAGCTATATGTCCCACATTTTATGTCAAACGCCCATCTCATCAGATAGTTCCAACTGCTAGCGATATTTATTACATTCATCTCCTGCCACTCAGGCCTTGCTCTCTGCTTCAGTCACGTTTTTTCATTCCCCGCCGATCTTCTCAGCCTGTTGTAAATTAGACCCAACGGACATTAATTAGATTGCTACGATGACCATATCGGCTGGTCAGGTGGCAATGGCAATATTGAAATTGATGGTCAGTTCCCCCTGCATCATCCTCCGCTACGACGACCATGTGGATTGGTTAGGTGGCTTTGCTGGATGGATGGCTGACTCCCACTGTATGTACGCTCCACCGTCCCCAGTGATGTGACAACACTCCCCCTGTACCCTCCGCCGTCCCCAGTGACAGTGACGACACTCCCCCTGTGCCCTCCGCCGTCCCCAGTGATGTGACGACACTCCCCCTGTGCCCTCCGCCGTCCCCAGTGATGTGACGACACTCCCCCTGTGCCCTCCGCCGTCCCCAGTGACAGTGACGACTTTCCCCCTGTGCCCTCCACCGTCCCCAGTGATGTGACGACGCTCCCCCTGTGCCCTCCGCCGTCCCCAGTGACAGTGACGACACTCCCCCTGTGCCCTCCGCCGTCCCCAGTGATGTGACGGCACTCCCCCTGTGCCCTCCGCCGTCCCCAGTGACAGTGACGACGAGGACGACGACGAGCCGAGGGGTCCGCGGCGCACCGACACCCAGCAGCTGGCCTCGGACCGCCTGCTGGTCGTCGAGTACCTCTCCACCGCCACGGTCGACGAGCTGGCCTGCATGGACGGCTGCAGCAAGAAAAAGGCCGAGCTCATCGTCGGCCAGCGGCCCTACGCCAACTGGACAGACGCGGTGGGTGCAGGCACGGGAACAGACGGGACGTGGTAGGATATTTAGGTCATGTGTGTGACCTCCCGAGCCGGACATGAGGTGAAACTAAGAGGTTCTTGTGCACCTTCTGCTGCCGTTGAGTGTTCAATTATGTTTTCTCCGTCGAATATCTTGGGTGAGGTGTGTGCAACCGTCTCTTTCCAGTTGCTCCTGTTTTAAGTAAACGCATCGTATTTTTGTCATGTAGCTATGTTGTTTATATAACTTACAACCGCCCACTGTTCCGCACCCACAGCTGGCCAAGTTCTCCTGCGCCAAGGGCTTCACTCCGCATATGCTCAACTCGGCGCTGCGCGTTCTGCGCATGCGCAACATGCTGCGCCGCCTGCTGCAGCGCTGCGAGGAGATCTCGCTAAAGCTGAAGGCCAGGGTAGCTGAGCTGATCGAGGGCAGGGAGGACAGGGACAAGATCACGGAGCAGCCCTCCAACCTCAACTCCGAGTGAGTCGTAGTAGGACTCTGGACTAAATGGCGGAGTGCGAGTGTCACGGGATGACAATATGCACATTGCACAGTTGCACACCAGTCGCCGAAAGGCTGTGACCGAGTTGGGACTGGGAGGACGAGCATATTTCTCATGCGGTGTTTGAGAATGCAATGCTAAAGCTATCTTTCCAGCTGTGGATACAATGGCAATGGTTGTTAAGATAAGATTGCTGCTACTTAGAAAAAATAGATGCCCGATTTATTCGCATACAATGTGAGTGGGTAATAAAGACGTTATGGCAGAGTATGATGAAAGTTCTGTAAAATCAGGGGTAACCTACCAGCTGTGTTAGTATTGCTCTTGTTCATGTTTGTCCCACCCGACTTGCTTTTCCCTTACACCTGCGCCCTACTGGTTCCCTGGTTCCGTTCCATATTGTAACACTGCGGCGGTGCCTTACTTTCAGGATGCGTCTGTCGCCGTACCAGATGATCGGCCTCAGCTGGCTGATCCTCATGTACAAGGAGAGGCTGAACGCCGTACTGGCAGGTCTGTCGTCCACACGGGCTCGCGGCCGATTTCATAAAACTTGGTAGCAATTTACATCAAAGTGAAATTTGCACCCCTAGAAATTATGGACTCTTGGAGTATGCGATGCTGTAAATCTTGAATGGCGCGTTATCTGGCAGTTTTGTGTTTTCGTTCGGTTTGGTTGTATTGTGACTACTACCTCCAGCTATTAAAATCGTGGTTAATAGCATCGAATGATAACGCCCTTATCATCCTGCCATCATATTATCATTTATAATGCCAGCCACGTTTTGCCATGCCCATTGCACATCGACCTCCCGGACCCAACTGTTCCGTGCTTTTGCTACAGTATAGTCCCGCCGTATGACGCAACTGATCACTCGTGTCTTTAGCACAACTCGTTCTGTGAGCTCACCTCCGTCCTTATTTCAGACGAGATGGGTCTGGGTAAGACGGTGCAGGCCATCTCGTTCCTGGCCTACCTGCAGCAGCAGAGTCCCAGTTGGAAGTACCTGGTGGTGGTGCCCTCCTCCACGCTCGGTACGTGACTGCGGGGGATGACGCTCACCGTCAGACGATGCTTACACGGACGGTAGAGATGGGCGCGGATGGTGGTTTATCGCGAGATTTGTGACGTGTTGGTGCTCAGGGAAGGTGATAAGTATATATTTATAGCGTCAAGGATCGGTCATGGGCGAATGGATATCTTGTAGGCTGATTTATAACTGTTGAATCAGGTCAGTTGGCCTGACGCGACTAAGGATGTTCAAGTCTCCCTATATTTTTCTCCTGACTTATGCCTCATGGCATCTTGTCCGCAGACAACTGGCTGCGCGAGCTGTCTGTGTGATGTCTGACCTGTCGGTATTGTCTGTATTGTGCACAGCCAACTGGCTGTGCGAGTTGTCTTGTGTCCGTCACTGACATGCCTGATGTCTGTACTGTCTGTACCGTCCGCAGACAACTGGCTGGGCGAACAGTCTGTATTGTGTCTATAATGTGTCTGTACTGTCTGCAGACAACTGGCTGCGCGAGCTGTCTGTGTGGTGTCCGTCTCTGATTGCGGTCGAGTACCGCGGCTCGATGGAGAACCGGCGTCAGACGCGTCAGGAGGCGCTGCAGGACGACGGATGGCACGTCATGGTCACCACGTGAGTCGCCACGGGACGGGGCGGGGCGGCGACGGAATGTGGAGCGAGTGGAGGGGAATTATAGATGGGCAATCGATGATAATAATGATGAGATGTCAGGACTCCCTGTGTTGCTGAGGGTAAAGGTAGTCTTGGGCCCGGACAGCTTATTTCTCAAAACGATGCCACACTTGAAACAAAATGATGCATCATCCGTGTGCGTTGGTTTTTCTCTGTTTGCGTAGTTAATGCGTCTGGCACCTTCGTGATGTCTTTAACCTTGGTGTCTCACTTGCGACGTTGATTCGTCAACCAACCTGCTGTAACTTTGCTATAGGTACAACATTGTGGCAAGTGCGCCGGAAGACCGGGTTTTCTTCAAGAACCTCCACTTCAAGTACATCGTGTTTGACGAGGCTCACATGCTGAAGAATATGGCCTCGAAACGCTATTCCAACCTTATGAAGCTCAAGGTAAGATGGCTGTTCAGATCTGACACAAATCGATCATGCGAATATATCGCCACGATGAAATATGGTAATATAATTTTCCTAATGTTCGCATTGTTGCTGCTCTATGACTCATCTGGCGTATTCGGCCCCCACTTGTAAAACATTCGTTAGTTTTGGAGAGAAATCTCCATATTTTCACAGATTACGAAAGATCCTTATATCGGTGAACTCTGCCCCAGATAACGATCAATTTACTCGACGATCCATGGTAGCAAGACTAACCTCAAACCAACTATAAAAGTAAGCGTCTCTCTGACTGACCATGCCACATCACGCGGCCTGTTCCCGCCGCCAGGGCGACCACCGGCTGCTGCTGACGGGCACGCCGCTGCAGAACAACCTGGTGGAGCTCATGTCGCTGCTGGTGTTCGTCATGCCGCACATGTTCGGCAAGGTCCGCAAGTCGCTCCAGACCATGTTCGAGATCATCCCGGTAAGTTGGGGAGGGGGGGAGGAGGGTAGAGGCCGGACGGCATTGGCAAGGCAGCTGCACAGGGGTGTTACGTGGGCGGGACAGGTGATGGCAACAGCAGGGACCGTGTATTTGTGTGTGGAGAGGGACGGAGGGGGGGGGGGGGGTTGTTGAAAAACTTTATCGATTTGTTTCGTGTTCATTGTTGTTTCACTTCTACTTACCTACACCTTTTTCCTTTTTCACGCATGCTACCTTTTAAACGTTTTGTCCTTAATGAATAAATGCAAATTCGCTTACGGAATGTTTGTCGCCGTTGATGCCTATTATTTTTAAACTGCACTGCATAACACTTATCTTTTTTTCGCGTACGTCCGCGGCTTTCATATACCCGTGCAGCATTACTATAACCGCCGCCGTGCCCGAGCAGAAAGTGGGCCAGGAGAGCCGCTCATCGTACGAGGCGGAGCGCATCGAGGAGGCCAAGCAGATCATGTCGCCGTTCTTCCTGCGCCGCCTGAAGCGGGACGTGCTGCGCGACCTGCCCACCAAGCGGGAGGAGGTGCTGCGCGTCGCCATGACGACCGCCCAGGCCGCCAAGTACCGCCAGCTCCGCGAAAACTACGTCAAAGAGGCCGCCGAAAAGGTGTGTGTGTGTGTGGGGGGGGGGGGGTGATGACGTGTGTGGTTGTGACTCGTGGGGAAGGGTATCGTGGGGTGTTTGGCTGATGGAAATGCGACGTTGTTGATAGCCGTGCGGGACCGGCGCTGCATACATGCTTAATAATTTTAGCTTAGTAATGTAACTTAATACTGTTGAGAACTAAAGCCTTTACACTGTCATTGGCAGATCGAGTTTCATTTGCATAACCGCTAATTGCATGGCTGTCACTTGTAGCTCGGTGGCTAGTTGATTTCTCACATCACACATTAATGCCAGATCGAGCTTTAAATCGTGACACGCGCAGTGATGCTATTTACACATCAATCACATTATCGCCTTTGATAACTAGCGCCCCTACCGGCCTCCGGTTAGCGGGCCGTTTCCCACCGACGTGTCTCCTGACGACATATTGTCATGCAGCATACCCTGACAGCTGTATGTCCTCCTCCCATCAGCTGCGTGGCGACACCAAGGAGGCCTCCCAGAGCGGCGTCGGCATGATGATGTGCATGAGGAAGCTGGCCAACCACCCGGTGCTGATGCGCTACTACTACGACGAGGATAAGGTGTGTGAAATGAGGGGGCGACTGGTGCAGATGGCAGAAGATGATACTTATGTTCGTCGTCCGTGTGTGTCATTGGTCAGCCTCAGCTGCTGTTGTGGTTGCAAGACCGATTTTACCCCAGCAGCGTGTGAATGGTATGGTGGGACGTTGTGTCATTAATATTTAATAGATTGCTGTGAGATTTGAAGCACTCCGTCAGGAGTAGGTAACTATTAAGTGATGGTTTTAGGTCTTAAGTTACATTTCAGTTCATTTGTTAATTTCAGTGAAACATTCCAGGTGTCGATTTTCTAATTTTTGAGTTCTCTAACAGTATTTTTTTTTTTGCGTTTCAGCTGCGGGAGATAGCCAAGAAGTTTGCCGCCCTGCCCGACCACGAGCACAAGGAGGAGGCGCTGGTCTTCGAGGACCTCACCTACCTGAGCGACTTCGAGGTCCACAAGACATGCAAACTGTACCCGGTAATGCAACACTCCGCAGCCCGACGGTCACCACTGTTTGTTACAGCAGCCGATTTATCATTACTCAAGGCATCAGAGTTGTAATAAGGGAGTGTGGCATTCAGTCATTTCAACACTTGACATAGTTCAGTAAATGCACTTTGATCCGTTGTCAGTCATGCCTTACCCCCCCCCCCCCCCCCGCCCAGTCTTCCTTACTGTTCACTATCATCATTTCACTAAGCCTCTCTCGGCGTTCACGGCGGCTGAGCCGTGTTCTATCGGCGTTTACAGTGCGACTGAGCTGAGTTCCCTCTCCGTTCACAGCGACTACGGTGCTACCAGCTGCCGGACGAGCTGATTCTCGAGTCGGGAAAGCTGGCCGAGCTGGACCGACTGCTGCCGCGGCTCCGCGCCGAGGGCAGCCGGGTGCTGCTCTTCAGCCAGTTCGTCATCATGCTGGATGTGCTGGAGGCCTACCTGAGGATCCGCGGCTACCGCTACTGCCGGCTGGACGGACAGACGGCCGTCACCGACCGGTGAGCAGCGAGGGGTCTCCCTGCACCAGCCGCAGCGGCCGCGGTACTCGACTGTAGTTGGGCGCTTCTTCTCAGACAGATAGTGTGCCGCGAGTAATTTCGCTGTTGACTGACAATATCTGACATCTTAATTGTTGGCCAATGTCCTGTCTTTTTTTTTCAAAATAGAGGGAAAACTCTTCATGCTCGCTCGTTTACCACCTTCGGAAACCCTTGTATTTCTTTTGAGCGAGTCCTAAAATTAATCCCGGAACTGTCCTCACTTCGTTACAACTTGTCCCGTCTCGTAGCTCACCCAATGTGACCCTAACTACCGCCCTCAGTACCAGCCCGTCCACCACAGACTGTGCCACTAGCCCGTACACGGGCCGCAGTCCCCTCACTGCCACCCCGGTACCTTAGCTAACACCTCCCTCCGTTCCACACAGGCTGCAGCTGATCGACAAGTACAACAACGACCGGGACATCTTCGTGTTCCTGTTGTCGACCCGCGCCGGCGGCCTGGGCATCAACCTGACCTCTGCCAACGTGGTGATCTTGCACGACGTCGACTTCAACCCGCACAACGACCGACAGGCGGAGGACCGGTGCCACCGCATCGGGCAGACCAAGTGAGCGACTCGCCGGGCGAACCCCGCATGATCGTATCCAGGAGGGGCGCATGCTTGTGACAGCGTTCTTACTTGTTGGGTTATATCACTGGAGTTTGATATGATACACGTTTGATTGTAACCGCTCGACTGTGATCCTCTGGTCGATTTCTGTATTTAAAAACGGTTACACTTATTAGCTGCCTTTGTGTTTACAGAACGTGACTGTGCTAATATGACCGATATATTTCAGTATTGAAATATCTAATTTAATATTGCGAAGTGGTATCCCGCACCAGCCGTCCCTCGCTCTACTTACCGGCTCACTGTGCTTTCCGCTGTTCGCAGGGAGGTGCAGGTGATAAAGCTGATCTGCGCCAACACCATAGACGAGTGCATGCTGCGCGTGGGCCAGGAGAAGCTCAGCCTGGACCGGGACATCAGCGGCGCGCCCGGTACGTGACCCCCAACTGACCTCTCTCATATACCATAAACCACCGGAGAGTGCCGACTTATCGGAGCTATCAGCAGTGTAACTCTCGAACCCCGGCCAAAACACAATGTCTGGCATGGATGGTTTATTATGACATGTGAGCAATGCAATATGGCTGACTTCTAAACGACACAAGACTGAAAAAAGCTTACCGGTGGGGCACCAGGAATTGTTATAATGGAGGGTACAAATCTAAATTCTGTCGACCTGTAAACATTAACCCGCGCCCCGCTGGGGGGGGGCAGAATCTGCCCCCCCCTCCCGTTTTTCGCCAATAACTTCTCAACGCGTTACGCCAGCGACGTCAAACTTTCAGTACCTTATCATACATCAATTTGACACGTTCCCTAAAAATTTGAGCGAAATCCGTCAGATTTTTTTTTGAAAAAATGACGTTTTAGTGACGTCATGTTCGCCATTTTCGCCTCAAAAATCGCAGAATTTCAAACGCCGCTAACATCTTCATTTTTAAAGGAATCAAGACGTTACAAAAAAGGTTATACGTGATTCTACTTTGTCTATCAAATGGCTATCTCGGTTTTTTGAAAATTTTAGATTTTGGCCCAATTTTTTTTTCAAAAAACCGACTTTTTTGGGAAAATAATTATAAAATCCAAAATTTTGAGTGTATCGAAAAAAACGGAATATAAGTCAGAGAAGTGGTCTATGTATTGTGCACCTACATACCAACTTTGAGAAGAATCGGTTCAAAAATGTGGGGGTTATTCAAAATTTTATGACGTCACGACACACAATTTTTTTGAAAAATGGATTTTTTTGGAAGTTCTAGACCTCGTACGGAAACAAAAATAGCACCATTCGACTCGCCGTGAAAAACTGCATCAGATAGACACCTTTTAGGCCTTAACAACCAACTTCAAAATTTGACCTCACTTGACCTGACCTTGACCTGACCTCGACCTGAAATTCACCCAGAGGTGGTCCATATCTTTAATTGAGTGTGCCTATTGAATTTTATGAATAAAATGACCCATAAAACAAGTGTTGCACATGCCCTTTTCTATATTTTGTTTTTGGTGACCTGACCTGACCTGACCTTGACCTTGACCTTTGAATGATATTGTATGCAACGAATATTGTCTTGGTAGCTTAAGAACATGTTTTGGGCAATCAGTCTCAGTCCATTCTTCGGCAATTACGGTGCAAGGCCGATACTGTAGAAACTTGCATTTTGTACCCTTCACCTGACCTTGACCTGACCTCTGACCTACTTAAGCAAAAAAAATTTGAGCTCTTAAGATTCGCCTCGTTGAGAGCTTTCGATTGCCGTTTTCCCCGTCTTTCTACGATCACCGGTTCGGAAGTTAGACAGGGGGGGGGGCAGAATCTGCCCCCCCCCCCCCCCAGCAGGGCGCGTTTGGCTGAATAGCCCAGCGGGGCGCGGGTTAACTTACCAGTCTCAACTATTCCCGTCATGCCAAACATATGCGAAGCGCAATTCTTCACGAAATCCGATTACGTTAGTTGAGGGCGAAAACACATCTGCGGTCATTGAATGACCAAAGGAGGACCTTGCACTACAGGGCTTTCAGGGTCTAAGCCTAAGGGAGTAAGTAACTGTGGCGCCTAAGGGTGTAAGTAACTGTGGCCCATTCCGTTGTAAGCATTCGTCCTGTACTTCTACTGTTCATTACCGTGACGTGCTCCAGTTTCCAGAACCTGCTGTACCATTTTTTTGCACCTCCGGGCTCACCTTTCGACCCTTGGGTATTACAATGTCTGACCTCCTTTGACCCTCTGTGTTTTCAGTGGGCTCCGAGGACCAGTCGGAGGACCCGAAGGACGTGCGGCATCTGCTGGCACTGGCGCTGGAGTGTGGCGACTAACGACACCGTCATCTAGGACTGAATTATTCACTCCAGCGCCGGAGGTGGTGCCGTGTGCACAGACGTCCAATCGCAGTCTCTCTCGCCATACGGACCAAACGCCGGCGAACAGTGAGGCCGTCCCAGCAGTGTCTTGGGTGTCATCTGGCTGCGTCTCGGCCATGGCTCGATTGCGGTTCACAGCAGTCACCGTCCCTCTCATGGCACTTTGCCGGGAGTATATAGAGGAATCGCGCCTCAGTGTTGCGATATTCTCGTTGGACGGTCGGAGTCGGCCCTCGGCGGGTGGTTCAGCCGAGAACGGTCCCCCCGCGGGTGGTTCCATGTGACGATGAGCCCTTCCCGTCGATGGCACTGTGAGGGGCCGCGAGTGGCCCTGTATGTAGCGGGTAGATATGTTCAGACTGGAGCAGCGTCGGCTGCAACCGATTGCCAATGCTCTGCCGTTAATGGGGAGCGAGTCAGCGACAGCCCCACTCGACACTCTTGTGTCGCGGGTCTGCAGTCAAGCACCACAGCGAGTGGTTGCATGAAACGGATTGCGTAGACTTGCTGTTGCTTGTTGGCTGTTTTGTGCCGCCTGGCTCAGTCGTTCCATTTTTTTCCGCCAGAATCGCGGAGGGATTTCCATATGGTGTTTTTCGGTAAATGCTCACTGCATATTCTTCTACACCTGTTTCGTGTCTCGCGTTGTTCGTCGCCTTGTCGCGTTATTTATGAACAGCATTGTCCGTCGCCGGCTCCTGTCGTAAGCCTTTTGTGTGATGTGCCACGCTTACTCCGACCGCGTGACTAGTGTCATTGGTTTCTAAAGCTAGTTTCTGTCGATCTCGATTCTCGACCATAGATCATCGTATTTTTGCACCAGACTCGCGTGAACAGCTCATTGGGAATGACTACTAGACTGGATTCCGACTTGCGGTCGGACATGTGATAAAATCATAATACAGAATATAGTATTTTGTGGATAATGACTTTTTTAGAGCATACAAGGCGGTATATCTTTTCATCGTGTGTCTGCAAAACAGATTCTCGATACATAGCGGCCAGATCAATTTTTATCACGCAAAAAGCATCTTACGAGAAACTCCTAAGCATTAAGCAAGAAGACACTTACGGGAAGTGGTGATCTAATGAAATAACTTTGCGTAGGGGAGAGTGGGGTAAGATGCCCAGGGTGGGAAAGACGCCCCACCCCCTCTAGCGGCAAAACAAAGAATCAAACCTGAAAATTAATGTTCTTAGCGTAAAGCGGAAGCCTGCCTTGTTAACTGCACAAAAATTTGCGAAGCTCAGTTGGGCAACGGCTGGCTGGTGATTGCATGTTTTTTATTTGCTGCTTTCAAAAAATATTTTGGTGTCAAAACATTGCAAATATCAAAGAAGGTAGATAATTTTTGCGTCCCTTGCTATAGTCGTGATACATTAGCATGCGTGTGCTGTGTCCCAAACAGTTTGTTTCAGGGTGTAGTTTTATGGCTAACAAATTGTACTGATTTAATGTTACTTCGGTACCTTGGGGTAAGATGCCCCCTGTCCTGATGGGGAAAGACGCCCCCCTAAATCCGTAGGCTGTCCTTCAAGCAGCCCGTCAAATCATTTTTTACATACTTGTGATGAGAGACAAAAGCCGATCTGGGACTATTGAGAGTCCAGTACGGTCGGGTGCTCCCCATGCCGGTCTCTCGGCCCACACAGCGACTTTTTGGGTGGCATCTGACTCTGAGAGCCCTCACGACGGCCTCTGTGGGCCCCATTATTGGCTCCAAGGCCCCTCACGACATCCTTTGAGGGCTCGCACGTTGGCTCCACGGACCGCGCTGGCATCTGAGGTCCCCACGATGGGCTCGAGGGCCCTCAAGCATCATGAAGATCTATAAAGGCCCCACAGTGGTCTCCGAACGCCACCACGGAGGCTTGTTTGGCCGCGTTGGACTATGATGGCCCTAACGATGACCTCTGAAGCCCCTTACGACTACTTTTGAGGGCCCTTACGATGACATTTGGTGTCTACTGCAGGCTCGAAGGGACTACTGATTCGTTCAGGCGATTCACGTGCCCATTTATGTCACTTATAGTGCAGGGGGCATCTTACCCAACGCCAGGGGGCGTCTTTCCCACCCTGTGGGGTAAGATGCCCCCTTTCACTTCTTCGGGAAAATGCTTAATAGCAAAACAAGTTATCATATTTCAGGCACGAAAGTGTGATATTTTTGGAGAAAAATGATGTCGGCTTCCGTTGAAACTCCAAGTTTTTGCTTTCCGATCGTCATTTTCGAATAATATATGACATAGCAAAACCCTGGGCATCTTTCCCCACTCTCCCCTACTGGAAAAAGATCGACACAACTGCCGGATCAAATACTGCAAAGCAAGCGACGGTTAACAAGTATCAGATCATGAAGCACAGGCATACAGGGGGACTGATGCATTATGCATCAACATTGAGATTTATGGGATAGATACTGAGCTGATGGGTTAATGAAACCAAGAGAGACTAGAGTCGCGCTAAATCTTTTGTCTTAATGGAGTATCTAGAAGCAACACACGATAAAAAGTGCAGTGCTAAAAAGCTAGAGCATTGCATGATGGCGAAAAAAAAAAACATCAAAGCGGTATGAAAGCAAAACCAAAGCGTTAACGCCGAACGATTTAGACGGTACCAGCTTAGTAAGCATTTTTACCAAAGAAGTTAAACGCGCTCAGGCGTGATTGTGCCTAGGGCCTTGGTTGTGTCCAAGTCCTCCGAATGAGAGCGATCCTACAAACGCTTCGACTTGGTGGCAGAGTGTGGGTTCTGGACGTGAGTGAACTTCTATGTATGTGGCAGCTAAGTTCTGGCACAGATCACTGGAGATCACAAATACGTGAGGGTAATGGACGTTCGTACCCGAACACCCGAACAACGCATTGCTATCAACTGTCACACGGCGTACTATCAATGACTTGTAGCTGCAATAGCCAACGCTTACTGACAATGACGAGCATAATATCACGCAACGCATTGGCTTCCTACCCAGACCGTGACTTATGCTTCAAGGCACAAGAAAGAGCGAGCGCTCAACAAATGCTTGCTGACAACTGAGAACGCCATCGTTCGCAAGGACAAACATCTAAAAACCTCCACACCAAAAGACAAGTACGAAACGGACACTCACCAGCGATCACGAAACGTTCCACCAGCACCAATGACGAGTCCAGTCCCCTTTTCTGCAGCTGCACCGCCGCCGACGTGAGCGACCCATGAACCTCCGATCAGCCGTTACCACCAGCATACGGGATCACGATAACCAGGCTGGACTCTACCCCGGACAGGCCCGACCACGGCAACCCAGGCAGTGAAACACGTCCACCGTCCTCCGGGCAGCAAGAGCATTTCATCACGAGATACCGGAAAGCTCTAAGGCTCTAGGACTGCACGTACTACTGATGGCTGACTCACGTTCACCTCGTACCGAGTCGTATCAACTTCGGAGCAGTGACGCCGAATGGTGAATGCTTCCCACCACTCCTTGTCTCACAATCCCACAGCTACCGTGCACCACATTGCGGGGAGTACCGGCATCACTTTGATATGCAATCTACACTTGTGCATCCCTGAGCAACGTTCCTAGATAATACGGACGGAAATAGAGACGGACGGACTGAAAGACAGATTTGTACCTCATGTTTCTGACGGATAGCAGCACTGACGACGTTTGCCCCGGACAAAACAAAACCTATGACTTTCAAACACGAAAAGCGTGACACTGACGCTATTACAATTTACCATTACAGACCGTAAGAGAAGGGACAGGGGACAACAAAAACATTTGGTCGCACTCTTTTACATGAACGGCTATTTCCCATTACTTCAAAACAAAAGTTTTCCACAAAAGGGATAAGAAGGGAAACATGGCACATTCACCCACCCATTACGCAACTTGAGACGACCACCACAAAGCTGCGATTCCTGCTCCCTTGGAACAGAGTCGTAGTTAGTTGCGTGGTGAAACGCCCAGACACAACATGCGCTACTGGCACCATCATCTCTTGGTAAAGGGAACTACGCCGGCTCGCACACATTTATACTCGTATGACCATTCGCTGATACGCCTTCTTTGCGAAAGACCACAGATTGAAACAGCAACCGACCACCTGGGAAAGACGACCACGAATCCAAAGCGTGGCTCCTGCCGTCACAAAATTGACACCAGCTGTTCCTTCTCCCACCAGCAGAACACTCGCATCTAAATCTTCATCAACATTGGACGGACGGCAGCCCCCCCCCCCCCCCGAACTCCATTATTGTTGACTGTTGTGATCTACAACTCCACGAATTAAAACTCCAGCCCCTTTCAACGTCACTCATTCACCCTTTCAAAATCCCTTTCATCTACCTAAAAACCGATTCTCTTTCACAATCCCCTTCACAACCCCCTTCATCTTCCTAAAAAACAATTCTCTTCGCACCAACCCTTTAAAACTTCCTTTGTATCTGTCACACACTTGTCTGATAAGGAATAAAGGCTTTAACACGCCATCCTACGAGAACTCACAACACCCGACTTCGCTTCAAAAAGCGTACGACCCTACTGAAGGACCAGCAACGAGAAGCCCGAATCAATTCCTGAGAAGACTGTGAAGCTATCACCATGTGCGACACCACACCGCTCTCCCCTGACCAAACAACACGGAAGCCATGGTGCCAGTAGCAGCATATTCATACACCATCGAGCCTCCAGCTGAAACGAAACCTCACCACCAGCACAACACACAGCCACACACCAGCCGAACATTTTTATTCCACCAACACGACCCGCGCACCAAAAGCGCGTCTTACGTCTAGCATCTTACACAATACACAGTACACATGTCAACGCTCTTTTCGGCGTAGCACGAATGTCTACAGAGACCACAGTCGGGCACAGAACGTTGGGGTACTTGGGCAGGCAGGGACCTCATCACTGGTTCTGTATAACATACAGTATCCAATAGACAGAAGCATCGAGACAAAGGCGGTAGGGGCACCGGAACCAAAGGGGGACAGCTCAACGCTCGGTAAACGTTACCGCCACATCCGGTCAGCAGCAGATGTGACAGAGGTCACATCAACAGATGTGACCGACACACTGACGGCACCGGGTGGACGCAGGCCGGCAGAAGTTCCCTAAGAATGATGCACAGAGTAATTCACCCATGAGCACACCCTGCGCTCGTTACCAGCACGACCAACCAGTGAGGCACCGCAGTCCACGCCTTCAATCGGGCACAGAAACGATGTCGAGGGACCACCGTTTCCAATGGGACACACGTGCATCGTCACAGCGCGAAACTCAACGGTGGATAACTCCACAGACTGGTCTGTCATCTGGAAACACCACGATACATGGGAATCGACAGACAGACACTGCGTACCGAACAAACAGCTTGGTGCCCATTACAAGACTTGTGTCACTATGTAGGAAGGACAGACTGCATGACACGAACATACAGATACGATCAAAGAAACAGCCAAAATACAAAATAAGACAAGCAACCAGCAGTGCACTGTACTGAGTGATCTAAGTGTGTTTTTTGACAGCAACCGGAAACTATACGTGATTACGTATAAATGACTAAAAATGTTCTAAACAAAACTGTGGCGTGTAGATGTCGATGTCTTGGTGTGAGATTTGCATGTCCTTATCTAATATATGTATGCTACTTACAAAACCCTATTGGAAAATAAGGATGCAGGCGTCCTCGCCTGAATTCATTAAGTGGCGGGAATCATCAGAATGGCAGCGGATCTCCCTAATTTATCTGCACAGGGGCAGCTGGTGGCCAGGGCGGCAAACCCTACAATCGCTGGCCCTAAGCCATAGCCTCGTGCCTCTGCGAGCTTGGGGACACCCTGCGATTTCTCGTGTTACTCACCAGTCGGCTGGCCTGGCAGAACCGCGGCGCTGGCCCCGGTCGCCAGCTTACATCGGCTTGGGGGCCGCGTCCTTACCGGTACGTTTCAGCTGCACTCGCAGCCGCCGGTTGCCCACCAGGAAGTTGTCCATGCCCTGGATGGCCATCTCGGCACCGGATGGGTTGTCGTACGAGACGAAGCCGAAGCACTTCGACTGTCCCGTGTTGCGGTCCACGAACACCTTGGCCGAGAGGACGTTGCCGAATGGCGAGAACATGTTGGAGAGGTCGGTGTCGTTGCACTGCGGCGGCAGGTGGTAGATGAAGAGGTTGCAGCCCTCGGGACCCTCCACCTGGGGCTCCTTCCTGAAGCCCATGCCGAGAGGCTGCGGCGGCCCGCCTCCGCCCATTGGCGGTCCGCCTCCACCCATAGGCGGCCCGCCTCCGCCCATTGGTGGCCCGCCTCCGCCCATTGGTGGCCCGCCTCCGGCCATTGGTGGCCCGCCTCCGGCCATTGGTGGCCCGCCTCCGCCCATTGGCGGCGGACCCGAGAAATTGCCGGGACCAGCCGGACCGAAGTTGTTGCCCTGCTGGTTACCGAAGTTTGCGCCAGGGGGGCCCGAAGTTATTGGGCGGCGGGTTACCGGCGAAGTTGCCCGGCCCACCACCGGGATTGTTTCCAAAGTTGCCGGGCGGCGGGCCCTGGAAGGGCTGAACGCCCTGCGGCGGCGGCTGCTGGACGCCGCCGGGGGCAGTCAGGTTTCCAGCGGCCTGCAGCATCATGGACAGCGCGTTGGCCGGGTTATTCTGGTTCGGCTGGTTGTTGAAGGCGCCTGGCTGGCCGCCGGGCGGGCCCGCGTTGGGCGGCGGCATGCCGAACTGGTTGTTGGGCGGCGGCCCGACGGGCGGCGCCGCCTGACCCGCCAGGGAGGAGAGCGCGGTGGCTGCCTGGCTCAGCTGCTGCAGAAGGCTCATCGCCTGCGGATTGTTGAACAGAGGATTGGCCTGGTTGTTGGGCTGGTTGTTGACCTGAGCGCCCATGAGACTCGGCGGGGGCTGCTGCATGTTCTGCGCCGGCGGCACAGGCGGCGGCCGGTTGCCCCAGTTGCTGGCGTTATTGCTGGCCCAGTTGTTATTGTTGCCGCCCCAGTTGTTGGCATTATTATTCGGACCCCAGTTGTTGCCTGCAGGATTGTTGTTGTTGCCACCCCAGTTACCGCTGTTGGCGCTGTTGTTCGGGTTGTTACCCCACCTGTTGGGGCCCATCGGCTGACGGCTAGCACCGCCGAGCGGCGGCCCGCCAAACCGACCGCCAGCCATATCGCGGGACGCGTCAGCTAGCTTGACCACCAGCGGCGCCGAGCAGCCGTCCATGGTGCGCGAGTGGTGCAGACCGCGGATGGCCGCGATCGCGCTCTGTCGCGACATGAAAGTAACAAACGCGCAGCCCTTGCTGTTCTTCTGCGCGTCTCGCAGCACAGTGCACTCTTCTACAGGGCCAAATTTATGAAACAGCGACCACACCGCCTCGTCGTCGGCCTGCTTACCAATCATGCCGACGAACAATTTGCGCTCACTGCGGTTCTCCACATCTGCTGGCTTCATCTGCATCGGGTGGTGCATGCCGGGAAGTGTGCGAACGTTGTGAAGCTTGTTCTGCGCCTGAAGCGCAGACTTCCGTGTGAAGTAGGTGACGAAGCAGCAGCCGCGGCTGTTGCCCGTGGCGCGGTCCTTGAGGACGCTCAGCTCGTACACCGGCCCGAACTCCTCGAACACCTTGCGCACTTCATCGTCGGCCATGCGGCGTGGAATCTGGCCGGCAAACATTTTGATGGTGTCCGGGTCCGGGTGACCGACGTTGCGGCGCTTGGCAGCCAGGTCGTCGCCTTCGATAGCAGCATCGCCGGCGCCGCGCTTCAGGGACCCGCCGGCCGCCTTGGCCGCTGTCTCCTCAGTGCCGGCCTTGGCCAGGATCCCCGCACCCGCCGGCTTCTGGTCTCCGCTGCTGCCGGCTGCAGCTGTGGGCGTCTTGGAAACCAGGCCAGCCTTGCTCAAGATGCCTCCGCCCGTGGCTGCTGCAGACTCAGAACCGTTCTCAGAATTACCATTATTGCCATTAGCCACTGTGCTGCTCTCACTGTTGGACATATCAGGTAGTATCTGTTCACAATGTTCAGCTAAGGTGAAGAATGTCTGGAACAAAACAAATATTGTTACAAGAGAAGAATTATCAAATGTTATTGCTATTTGCTGTACCAACTGAACCAATTAACAAGGCCACAATCTATAACCATGATATAGCCAGGTATGTGACAGCCAACACAAAGCTTGCATTGCCAATACATTGAATATTACCCGCGGTCCCTCTGGATAGGAATTAGGACGCGTATAAAACCGGCGCAGCCGGATTCAAGGGAAGAGTTTCCTGGGTAGACGCTGAGCTTCTCTTGGCTTTTCGTAATTGATGTATTAGCAGTCAGCACAGGGGCGTCGCCACGGATTTTTGAGTGGGGGGGTCGGGTTTCTAGTCTTCACCCGATGGGTAGGGGTGTTTTTTTTGCCACACTTGCCAGTTTTGTGCGTGCGTATGTGCATGTGTGCGCGTGTAACAAAGCGGCGTGCAGCGCCGCGAAATTTGGTATAACCTATTAGGTAGGTATACCTACCTACATCACTTGCGTAAAAATTATCACTGGTCACTTAAGGTCAGGTCGCTATGTCAAGTTCAGTTATACGGTATACCTCTATCAAACTTTCCCCTCTCGCCATTCTTGTAGCTGTTCTCCCATAACTTCGAAATTTGGTACACTGTACCTATACCTAATGTATGGGGTTATACGTGTCAGCAATTCATGATTCTGAGGATTTACATCTATGATCTGGAGGCAGGTCAAATACGTGACCTCATCATTAGAAAATAATGAGAAATTATAAAAAGCACGAATGCCTCCTGCTTTGAAAAAGTTCGTCAGAAACGCAAAATATCTTTGGAGCCATGACAAATCAGCTCATCGTTGCCAGGGACAGGGTGCAACTTATGGCGAGTGATGACTCGAAAGGTCATTAGTGGAAATGTCCATCGATGGCCACCAGCATTTTTTTTCTACAACTTTTGACGAAGACGCGGTAGAGCGATGACAGCACCTGGCAAGTGGCAGGTGTTCATAGTTCAGCTCAACAACACGGATCCATTCATATGCAGCAGGAGGTCCTTTTTCGATCTGGACATAAGGTTGACCTGAGGTCGTTTTAACGTTAATTCTGAATGGTCAAATTTTAACTCATGTGACGCGTCTCAAAGAGATAAACACAGTGGTGACAAGACAACATATGTAAATACCATACAAACTCACGGAATCTAAAGTTATTGCAAAGCAAATGTTTCGGCAGAATCTGTCCAGTTAGCTGTTTGCCTTCTATGGGCAAAACATAGACCTGAGATGAAATCTGACCCGAAGCTAGCGAAAGAGCGTTGAAAGAGCTATCAAATATGTTTTCTGCTTCACTGTAGCCCTTCTATTGGTGGGCTCCCAGTCGCTAACTTATAACGTATACTAAAGTAACGCTGATGTATGCTTTCGACCCCTGATCGATCTAGAGGTTTGCGGAAAGAAGAGCATGCTGCCCGTGACGAGAGAAAGCCGATGATACCCATTTACAAGGTTTCGGGTCATCTCAGGACTCAGGTCATCGCCAATACGTAGGGAAACTCGGGACCTGCTAGAACTTTGCGAATGTAAGTTGTGATGGTTTTTCGAGGTTCTGATTACGAATGTTATCTTAGTTTTGAACGAAGATGATGACTCCATGCATTTGGGGTAGATCAGGTCAGGTCAGATCGACCAGTACCTAATAGTGGATGACCACCACCGATTGCTTCCTAACATGTTATACATATGTATAAGCAACACAACTACTTCTTAAATGTTCAGATGGGCGCTAAGTTCAAAATCAGCTCCAAAAACTATCCTATACCTAAATTAAAAGCATGTTATGAAAAAGTGAACCAAGGTCATCTTTATTTGAATCAAGGATATCGATTTATTTTTAAGTAGGTGATTAACACGAGCGCACCGGAAGTTTCGTTGCAATCGGCTCCTTTTGCGCGACTTCTTTGCGAAAGCCCGAGACGGTTTCATCTGACTCCCTTTCCCCTACATGTGCACTGTACAGCTAGTTGTGACGATAGCCATGGGGCTGAGGCTAGTTTTAAGTTGTAGTTAGGTACTGATCCGACGAATCGACTGCGACCATTTTTTTTTTTTAACGATCAGACGAACGCTCGGGGCAGTTTTGGCGCGTCCAATCCTTTGAGGGATAAAAAGGTGCTAGAATGGTGGCTACTTAAAAATATTGTTGTGCTGGTGTTCCCCGCCCACAGCTAATTGAACTTTAGGTAATTGGCTAATTGGCTTTAGGGAGCTCTTGAAGCGATTCTGAATCTGATGTATTCGTTGGTGTTGCTGACGCCTGCTTCACTGACATAAAAGCTAAAAAAGCATACTCAGCATCGCAAAAAGTGGGGGGGTCGACACCCCCAGTTTTCAAGAGTGGGGGGGTCACGACCCCCCCGACCCCCCCGTCGGCGACGCCCCTGAGTCAGCAGTGCCCACCGATATAATGACGCCGCTACTTGTCACGTTCGTATAGGTAATTTGTTACATTTCTTTGTTTTTAACTTGATACTCGATCCGTCCACATTGACTGGGCGGGTCAATACACAACCCAGAGGAGGTGAAACTTCATTTCTATTTGAGCCAGCCGGATATCGGTTTGAGATTTCCACATAGTCATCAGGTGATGACCATTGTTTTAGCCACCTGTATTTAACTGATCGCATAGGGGATGTACTGAGTCGGAGTCTGAGCCAGAGCCGGAGCCGCCGGACTCCGGAGCCAGACCATTTTACTCAGAGCCAGAGCCGGAGCCGGGAGCCGCTACGACATTTCACCCGGAGGCCGGAGCCGGAGCAAATTTTTCTCGGGAGGCGGAGCCGGAGCCATCTGAAATTTCTACGGCTCCCAATTTCTGTCGAGTGGGGGTAGCGCTGGCCGCTGGGTGGGAGGAGGGATGCACTCGGCCCGAGCTGCAGCGAGGTTAGGGTATTCACCGCATCAAAACTACATATCGCCTGGCCCTTATCTTGAGACCAATACTACCTACCTAAAAGGCAAATATAGCAATTCATTGTTTCTTTTTGCTTGTGGGGCAAGATGGTTTACCTATATTAATATAAATAGGCCTTGGACAGGATGGTCAGAAAGAAACCATAGGTACGGCCCTCCAGCAAAAGGGTGGTTGGTTAGTCTATGTGCTTTTGGTGTAATAATTTTAAAGGACAGCGACACTCCTGTCAAATGACTCAATAGAAATGAGAAGAGGGTTCGTGCACACATTTCGGCAATGGTTATCAACAGCCATTAGTCGTATTCATCAATGCAGATCGATTATTGTGATGTCGGCAACCAACCACTTAATGCCTGGAGGGCCGTATATTGGCGGCAGAACGGGGAGGGGAGGGCATCGTGCTCCCCTTTGATTTTAGCATTTTAACATTAGCCCTATGGGCGTTGCATGGAAAGAATGGGACCAAAAGTCGGCAGTGCCCCCCCCCCCCTTTAATTGAAGGTGTTCCGCCACTACTGCATAGGTAGCTTGAGGTACCTACTCAAAACTAACATCAATGTATATTGATATTGATGTCACATGTTGATGTTACTAAGGAGCATGTTGCATACTCAAAATATATAGAAAATAAATGAGAGATATACCATGAAATGAGAGATGAAACAAATTATACCGTTCAACCACAATCGTCTTCACTCAGCCACTTACCAATCAAGGATCGGGTTTAAAGGATTTTGTTACGATTGATTGAAAATCTTTTATTTCTCGACATCTTTGCAATTTATTTTAATATTTCAATCAATCAAACTCAAACATAATCTTTATGTTTTTCATAAATTATTTGAACAATTTTTGAAATATTGTGGCTATTTTTTACATACACTGCGCATAGAACAGCGCGCTAACAGTGAAATACGTCATTATTTTGCTATATGCTCGACGGATGCACATGCGGTCTTGATTGGGTCTTGATTGACGCCGGTCTTAGACGCCATCTTTGGGTTGATTGTTGGAACTTGGAACTTAGAGTAGTGTTACTGAAGTGTTTTCTGGTGTTTTTTTATTTAATTTAGATTTTAGTCAAGGCTTCTTCGTTCATTGGGATCCGAGCATTGCTACTGAAGGACTAAAGAGGACCTGCCTGGTAAGCAGTTTGGTAAATGTCAAGATCAGATGAGATGAAGTCCTAAGAAGATTTCAAGCAAATTTCAAGGATAATTTTTCATAATCGTACATTATTTGACATTCATCCTAAAATGATCTCGCAAATAAAAGGAAAAAACAATCAAATCTGAGGGCTGTTCACGGGCACAGCCTCCCGCCCACTGCGTCGACCTACATCAGAGGGGTGTTCACGGGCACCGCACACTGCTGCGTGCGGTGTGTGCGGTGCGTCCAGCAGGCGTGGGGGTAGGGGATGGGTAGGCGGCTCTGATGTCACGGCTGCATGCGGTGGACGAAAAGAAAAAAACATAATCAAACCTGACCTAACCTTACCTACTTACCTATAACCTACCAACCTACAACCTACAAACCTACCCTAACCTAACCTAACCTACAAACCTACCTACCTACAACCTAAAACCTACAAACCTACAACCTAACCTAACCTAAAACCTAAAATTTATGCTGTTTCATATTTGTATCAACAGCGCCGCAATTGTAGTTAGGACCTAAACTTGACATATACCGGGACGCAGTGGGTGGAGCTTGGAGGCTGTGTGCGGTCCGACCGCACACAGGGCCCGTGAACAGCCCTCAGCCTTCTGTCACCGCACAGGGCCTTGGTAACAACTGGATTTCCATTACGTCATGGGTGATGATGTCACACCACGGGTGACGTTTCACTGCTGCTGCTGCTGTCCACGGAGGGCAGCGTTTGTGAGTGGAAAACAGTAGCAACATTGTAAATGAAGGCAGTATTGGCGCTTATGCTACATATGAAATTTATAACAACATAAAAAAAAATTGATATTAGTGAATGTTTATTTTTGTTACTTTTCATAAACCCTCCATTTCAGGGTCTGCATGCAAAATTTCTGTTATTTTAGAGTCAAGCTATTGTACTAAGGGATTTATTTTGGCAATTTAGTCATTTGTTAGGTTATAAGGCTGCAGAAACTTTCAGTTGAGGTTGGTATCCACTATCCAGTTGCAGCTATAATTAATTGTGTCATATTTTGTATCATTTTCTGAACATGTAAACACCTACCTATATGAATTCAAATTTTGTGATTGTAGAAAAGCAGTTACCCTCACATTGCAGCGGGGATTAGAACAATTAACCACACTTGTTATACAAAAAGCCTGTTTGCCATCAATTTTGGGAATCCAAATTGGGTATTGGTCAGGTAGATGTAGCACAAGCTGCCCGATGCACGAGAATGGGTCTTTCTAACCAAACCTTACCTAACCTGACCTACAACCTACAGCCTTAAACCTAAAATTTACAACCTACGACCTAGTCCTACGGTATGGCATATCACAACAGCTTGTGCTACGTCTGCTACCATGACCCAACTTTGTGCCAATTCATACCAACTTGGGATGACAGTCACTGCAGATGTGTGCTGACCATGCAGGTCTTTGTTACAATTGCAATTCTATTGTGTTACAGGTTCGGCGTTCTACAGCTGCGACCCGCCATGGCTGGGCCACCGCGGCGGCATCACCTTCAGGGTGGACCTGCCCGTGGCCACCCGCCGGTCGGACCCGCCTGCAGTCCGCAGGGAAGCTGCCCTGCGAGCCATTGCAGAGCTCCCGCACCCGGACGTCACTATCTGGTCGGACGGCTCGGCTCGCGGCGGACGGAACAGGGCGGCGCAGGCGCTGATCCAGTTCCACCACCTCAACAGAGAAGAGACCGTGCGCGCTCCTGCAGGGGCGGTCTGCTCCAGCCTAAGAGCAGAACTGACCGCCATGCGCGAGGCGTTCGCGGCTGTGGCCGGCCTGGAGGACGGGGAGTTGGCATCGACCAAGTCGGTCCGCCTCCTCACCGACTCAAGGTCTGGGCTCCAACTACTCGGCCGCGGCCCAGCTAACCAGACCATGGCCCTGGCCGCCGAGGTGTGGAGGCTGCTGAGTGCTGAGCACCCTCGCCGAGAACGGCACCGAGACGGTGCTCCAGTGGGTGCCAGGCCATGCCGGGCTGGACGGCAACGAAACCGCCGACCGCCTGGCTGGCGAGGCCACGGCGGGCGACCAAGACAGCGCACCGATCGACCTGTCGAGTGCGCGAGCCGCCGTCACGCGCCATGTCCGGGAGCTGTCGCGACAGAGGGCAACCGCTGCCCACCCGCACCCGGACCCCACGCCTGGCCACGACTCCCTGGCGCGCTGGGGTCGGTGACGCTGTCCCAGCTGAGGACCGGCACATCACCGCTGACCCGTGACACGCTCCACAAGATTGGCCCGGAAGCCGACGACGAATGCCCCGCGTGCGGGGAGCCCGACAGCGCGGCGCACCTACTGACCGATTGTCCGGCCTATGAGGCGGCCCGCCGCCGCCGCTCGGGTGCCGACCCTCGCCTGGTCGACGTCCTCGGCGGCCCGGCGACGAAGGTCGTCACCTTCATCGAGGATGTTGGGCGGACCGAGCCGCCGCTCGACCCGCCTGCGCCGCCGCCCCCCTGAGCGGGTTGGCGATGGGATGCAGAAGAAGAAGAAGAAGCAACTGCCAGCGCGCCACGGCGGCGAAGCCGAGTTCCGCCGCTGGACCGCCCGCGCAATGGCCAGCACAGACAAGAAACAACCGAATCACAACACCTACAATTACGTTATTGTTATGGTATTGACATTGTTACAATTAACCCTGCTCTTTCGAGCGTGGATGCACGCTAAAATTGTCGCATAATTCCATGCAGCTTCCACCCTTCTGCAATACAAAGTTTGAATACAAAGTAGTCTTACAATAGGTTTAGAACTTATGTGCAGATTGTCGATGCTGGTTGACTTGATGATTGGAATTGTGTTTATCTGTTTTATCTGTTTTGACTTAAATATATGGCCATGGACTATGGCCTACCTTGGGAAGTGTCTATGATTTCAACAAAACATTTTTCATCAGGATACGCTGCAGGGTACATAGTACATACGTAGTGAAAATTTTGGGCATGTATGGGTGCGCATGTGGAGATGTAGACTGCGAATGAGACGGACTACGACGGTTTTTGAACCAATTAAATCTGATTGACAACATAATGTAGGACTAAAAACTGACTGTCAGAAGAATATTCACAGAATATTCACTTCACCCGGTACAACGAAAAGGGAAAGTCAGGGAACAGGGGCAGGGTACATCTCGAAGATCAATCAAATTGCAGGTGCCGATTGGTTATGGATCATCGTAGCTCAATGTACTGCCTTGTGCTGCTTTATTGATTGAAATTGCATCCAGCTTGTATTGAAAGAAGTCATTATGGAAGATTTTAAAAAGGTTCTTGAATAATTTAAATACTTTGAATTTATATTTCTGCAGAATTATATACCCGTATCATTCTTTTAATGTCAATATTTGTATATTTTCTAGCATTTAAGGAAATAGTGGCCTCAAGTTTTTAGAAAATATCTGATTTTGCTCTCTGGGCCACTGCAGATCCCTAAAAAGTTAGGAGCCGTCTTCATTATTTAATGTATAAAACCAAATAAATTATCACTGCTCAAAAGTGGAAGAAATGACAAATGAAAAAAAGTTTTCCTACAGCGTTGCAATCCAGATTTCAAGATAGTGATGGGCGCACTAGAAAGCAAGTAAAAGTACTCCACAAGGTAAAAGTAAGGAACAAGAATATCCTTATACTGTTTCAGAATTCGGTAACAAACATTTTTTGTGTGTTTTAAATACCCGGACAAATCGATTCCAGAATCAGTCTTGATGATATTATATGGTTTTTGTATGGTGTTGGTGGTACTCGAATGACCAAAGTCAGTACATGTCCATCACCTTTCGATATTTCCGTGGTGCTCGCTCCCATTTCATAGCTGCTCACGGTGTTTTGTGCGGACGTCATATGGTGCTGCTCCACTAGCGCCACCATACGGCGTCAGCTGGCGAATTATCCAGTTAATACCAGAGCCCACCGCACACCTGGGGTGGAGATCTGTCAAAATGTCAGGGGGGGGGGGGGTCCAGGCCAGGCAGATGGAGGCGGGCTGGATGCAGTACCATTGACTTACATAGCAGTAATTCGTTTTCAGGGGGGTCCTGACCCCCCGACCCCCCGAAGATCTCCAGTCTCCACCTCTGCCGCACACAGCAACCGCTGTGGCCGGCCTAACCTAACCTAACCCATCCCCTACCCCCATACCTGCTGCACACACCACACACACCGCACTCAGCAGTTTGAGGTGCCCGTGAACACCCCTCTGACCTAACCTTACTTACCTACAACCTACCAACCGGCAACCTACAAGTCAACCTATGGCATTACAATTAGTACTAGTGGAGCAGACGTCACAAAGGTTTTCCAACCAAGGAGAGTCACTAAGTTTGTAGGTTGTAGGTTAAAAAAAGCTTGGTCATGCTATTTGTAAAGTTTCATAATTATTAGTGTTTGTCTCATAACGATTATTCCCATTTTTATGCTACATATCAGCAGTGATTTTAAATTTTCATTGATTTTGTGACAAGCTTCAGTGATTATAAACCATTCTCAACGACTTTTGATGTAATTTTTTGTCTCTCTGTATAGCATGTCAATGTTGTCTCATGTCTGAGTTGTGTCGGGTGGCTTTAAATGATGAACTTTGGTACGGTGGTACCTACCAAATAATTTAACAAAAAAACAAAAATCAAAGTAGGATAGTCAAGCCTTGCATGACCTAATTGGGAGTTAATAAGGTTGTGTCTCATGGTGTCTCGACATGCTTTGACCTGTTATTATGTGGCTGAAGGTAGGGCAACAGGCTGTGAGTGTGGGCTTGATATTGATGTGTTTCACTGAATAGGTAGCTATTGGGGTGCCATATTGTATTGCATCACAAAAATGCTATCAGTGCAGTATTTTCTATCCAGACTAGGCTGACTGGCTGAGGGTGATAATTGTGCTTGTTGTTAATTTTTAAGTGGTGAAATAGCTGGTTCAAATTCAAATCCCACTGGGCAAAGCTTGGTCTGCACATGACCAGACCTAACCTAGCCTCAATCAAACATTTAGTTTGTAATTACTAGGTTGGCATAAGTGGCTACTGGTTAAGTATTTCAGTACTAATTATTGGCGAGTCACTGACTCAACTGAGCCTTAACACATCCAACCCCTGAAAAAATGAATTAATCTTAACATAAATTTCTATCACCTTTTTCTTATTGAAAGTTGCAGGATCAGGTAATGCCTAGATTTACTGAATACTGACACTGATATTGTGAAAATCTGACATGGTGAGTATTGATGAATTGGTAGTGACCTTGTCTTATCTTAGGTGATTGGTTTCTCAAGTTTCAGATCTATAGCCCAAATGTTTTGTTGGGTGTCCACTTTTTTAGCATGAATGGACTAACCTTTGGTTCCCAGTGAGCTGTTGAGAGTCAAGATCTAACCTTTGAAACGTCAATAGTGTCACATTTGAGTATATTAGCCTGTGCTAACCTCACATTGTATGGAGCTTAATGCACTGTCTTCTTTCAGACCCTCTTACGCTTGTAGCTCACAAGCTACTATTTCCCTGTGGCCTAAGCATGAGTACCGAAGCAGGAGACACAAAGAGCTGGGATGGCCAGCCACCAGAAGCTGATTCAGAAGCAAAGCCACCTGTGGCCATGACTGGCGTTGTGGCGAGCGGCGACAGTGGCCCCAGTGCCAATGGCGACAGCGCGGCCAAACGAATCAACCTCGGCCATCCAGATCCCGACTCGATGAAAATGTTTGCTGGTCAGATCCCACGCCACATGGAGGAGCCGGAACTGCGCAAGGTGTTCGAGGAGTTCGGGCCGGTGTATGAGCTGAGCATTCTCAAGGATCGCGCCACGGGCGGCAGCCGCGGCTGCTGTTTCGTCACCTTTATGAAGCGCAAGGACGCGCTGGAGGCCCAGAACAAGCTGCATGGCGTTAGGGTTCTGCCGACCATGCACAACCCGGTGCAGATGAAGCCGGCAGACGTAGAGCCGCGCAGCGAGCGGAAACTCTTCGTCGGCATGATAGGAAAGGAGACCGGCGACGAGACGGTGCGATCCATGTTCATGTCGTACGGTCCGATCGAGGAATGCACTGTGCTGCGCGACGCGCAGAAGAACAGCAAGGGCTGCGCGTTTGTCACGTTCATGTCGCGGAAGAACGCGATCGCGGCCATCCGCGGTCTGCACCACTCGCGCACCATGGACGGCTGCTCGGCGCCGCTGGTGGTCAAGTTCGCGGAGGCCCAGCGGGACAAGAATGCTGGCGGCGGGATGAGCCGGTTCGGCACTCAGATCGGCGGCGCCAACCGAACGCCGCTCGGTACCGGTTACAGCGGCGGGTACGGCACCGGCTTCGGCAACGCCGCCGGCGGGTGGGGTAATCAGCAGCAGCAGGTGCAGCAGCAGCAGAGCATGAACCAGCCGCCGCCCAACATGAACAACCCGCTGTTCAACAACCCGCAGGCGGTGAACCTGCTTCAGCAGCTCAGCAACGCGGCCAGCGCGCTCTCGGCTCTCGCTGGTGGAGTCAACCAGTTCGGAATGGCTCCTCAGGGCAACCAGCAGGGCGGCTTCAACAATCAGCAGAATCAGAACAACCCGGCCAACGCTCTGGCCATGATGCTGCAGGCCGCTGGAAACCTGAATCAAGTGGTAGGGAATCAGCAGCAGGGTGGCCAACAGTACCCGCAGGCTCAGCAGCCGACGAACACCGCGGGCAGCTTCAACACCACAAACGCAGCCGTCAACAACACCGCCACCGGCACCGGCTTCGGGCAGCCGCCTCCGATCGGCGGCGCCGGCGCGCAGTCTCTGCCGCTGGCGCAGCCGGCCAACACCAACACACCGTTCGGCCGCCAGGTGGAGGGCCCCGAGGGATGCAACCTGTTCGTCTACCACCTGCCCGAGGAGTTCACTGACAGCGACCTCGCCAACATGTTCTCGCCGTTTGGTAACGTCATCTCGGCCAAGGTGTTTCTCGACAAAGAGACCAACCAGTCGAAGGGCTTTGGCTTTGTCTCCTATGACAACCCATCCAGCGCGGAGACGGCCATCCAGGGCATGAACAGCTTCCTGATTGGCACCAAGCGGCTGAAGGTGCAGCCGAAGCGCTCCACCGTCACCAAGGACCTGGCCAAGCCGTACTAGGTGGCAGGTGCGACCATACGTGCGGGGATCACCAGCAGACTACTCCTGGGGTGGTCGCCTGCTTCCAGGTCCTGTCTCAGGCACTTTGGCAGAGGAATGTACCATTGGCAAACATGTCTGTTCTCGCCAGGAATTGATAGAAATGGGTGCCCGAGCATTGGCTTGGCTGTGCCCAAAGCGGAACGAGCTACCTTGCCGCCTGAGGCTGTGGTGCGGTTGACAGGATCCTCGGGATTTCTGTGTACAAAACACTGCACACTGTGACGTTGGGGGAGAGTGTGTATAGCGGACAGTAACACCGAATGGGGAGCGTTCCACAGAGCGCTGCAATTCTTAGCTGTGGTGGGTCGTGCACTGGACTTTATACTGAATTGTGCTTTTGTATATCTCTTCAGCGATCGATTACGGCACGGACAACACATTTATTCCAGACTACTTTCGTGTCGTGTCTTACACGGTGCATATTTCATACAAAAGTGACCCTACCCTAAATCATTTCGCTTGAGATAAGTCAACCACTTATCTCTTAGCTTAGGGTTTGTTCGAAAGTCGAGATGTAACGATCGCTTTGTGTTCTGTCTGACGCTGTAAGTGCCGCGCTGTCAGCTTTGTCCACCATGGATGTGCGCTATGTCCGACGAAGAATCGCACTCGTTTCGTACGTGTGAAACGCATCGAATGTCCGTTAAACCTTGCCGCGGTCCTGTGCCGGTGCTTCTCATTTCGGTCGTCCTGTCCGGGTTAACGGTGTGATGTTTCATTTGTCTGAACTATTTCGGCGTCTCTGTTAAATATGGTCTTACTCTTCGCCGATCGTGTTCTGAAGCACATGGTATCCTTGGACTCCATATGTATCACCCTTGAGTCTAATATGCACTGTCATGAAGTTATGTGCGTGCGTCTATTAAGGCTACCATGCTACACATAATCCCCATGCATCCATTGTCTGCGCTATCGGTGTCAGTGTTGAAAACCTTCGGTCATATGTACACGAGAAGTGGCTTGATTTTATTTCGCTGTTCCGTGAATGTACGCAAAACTTGCACGTGTCGCTGTCAAAGATGTCACAAAGTCTTGTGTATCTTGTCCAGGAGAACCCAAATCGGTGTGTCCATGTAACTTTGCGAATACATGTAGCGGGCTGATGTGCGCTGTCTGTGAGCTGTGAAGTCCGGAAATGGGTGCAGTCGATTGTGGAAGCCGGGCTGAATGGTCAGTCACATGTCAGTCTGCAGTCACATACAGTCACGTACAGTCACATGTGGAGTCTACATGTTTCTGAGCTCCTCAGTCGAGGTCGTCGTGAGCGACCTGGAAGTCGTGATGTCCACGAGCCGGTCCACGTCTTGGGTCGCGGTGAAAAGTCCTGACGTTTAGAGCAGTGACAACTGAGTGACGATCGTTGACTGGAAGCCTGGGGCGCTCCCTTGGCTGTGCAGTGTGCACGGTTGTCGGTCCACGTCTAGAGATGGGAACTCCCTGAGGTGGCGGTTCTGTCCAAACTCCTAGCGGCTGTCGATAACAAAGCACAGAGCCAGGTGACGACCAGTTCAACAAGTTAATGCCCTGAGGTTTCGCTGTGGTTGGCGTGTTTTCAGGTTGTGAAGGTATGTAAGTCATTATGATTCTGTCCAAAGGTGACCAGCTGAATGTCCACGGGGCAGTGTATGTCCAATGCAAGACGGCAAGTTGATGTAAAGGCAATGAGTCGGACTATGTATGCAAGTAAAGTAAGGTTTTAAATCGCTTTAGATGTGTGTTGTGGCCGGTGAAAGTCCAAGGTCAGTCCATAGTCTAAGATGTCCTACCACATATTCCTTTCGTGAGGTTCACAGAAAGCATGTCGAATGTCCATGAAGTTCGAACTCTACGAGACCTGTGGACGAAGCGCGTAAGTCTACGTATTCTGTCTTTTGTCCGTCCAGATGCACGTTCTTTCAGTCTCGTGGCAGTGAATGTCTGAGGTCAGTCAAATTGTGCACTCGACCGGCAGTCACGATGGCAAGTCCGATCGGCTCCTTGAAGGCCGGTGGCTTTGTGGGCCAGACTCTCGTACCTCTGCTTCTCAGTCTATGTACTGTGTCTCTGTCCAAGTCCAAGAGAGTCACGAGCCAGTGCTGTGGGTCCTGCAGTGAAGTTCAGAGTCGGTGAGGTCGTCCAGTCCAGTCCGAAAGCTCCCAAAGGTACGTGATGTTGAGTGTTTCCAGTTTTTGAGTCCAGGAAACTCTTTTCAGGAGATGTGATTATGCGGGCGCATCCCGTGAGCTCGGCGGTGGTGTGTGCTCTAAAGGAACAGAACAGTCGACGTAAGTATGAAAGTGGTTCCCGACAGGCTTCGCTGTGGAATATCGATTTTGGGAAGCTGGTAAATTATCACCACGAACTTTATTGGCTAATCACCATGAACTGAATTAGTGGATCGGGGAGTGCGGTACTCATCTCTTGTATTGCTGAGATAAATTGGTGCTCATTGATTCATATACCTTCTCCCATATAGGAGAGAAGAGGCGTTTTTGGCCACTTTCCCAGTTTCTTACGTGTATAAAGAAAACCGTGGCGTGCGCGCCGCGAAACTTGTTATAGCCTGTGTCACCAATTTTGCATCATCTCTATGAGGTTTTTAACCGTAGGTCACATGTGATGGTCAGGTCACCAGGTCAAGTTGAGTAACTATGCATCTAAAAAACTTTGCTTTCCTGTCATTGCTACTGCTTATCTCCTAGTTAGAACTTTGAAGCTCGAAGAATTGCATGAGGGTGTTAATGCTGTTTTAAACAAACGTGTAAAAGCCTCGAGATATTTACACAAACATGGCCATTCTGTCCATATGCAATTGATAGAGTGCAGCTGATGGCTAGCGGTCACTCAAAAGGTAAATTCTGAAAGAGCTTATAGCCGGCGGTCTGTTGCTTTTTACCGCGTCCCAGCCTTTTTAGTTTTCGAGATAATAGGGTGTTGCCAAATACGCCCTCCTCCCCCCCCCCCCTCCCCTGCCATAGCGAAGTTGGCTAAGACCCCCATAAGGGCGCGGGTGAATGCATATTGCATACAAATATTCGAGATTGCGTATTGGCTGAATGATCAGTAGCATGTCAGTCTACAGTCATGTGTGGAGTTTTCAGTCACATGCAGTCACATGTGGAGTCTACATGTTTTTCTCAGCCTATCAGTCGAGGTCGCCGTGAGCAACCTGAAAGTCGTGATGTCCACAAGTCGGTCCACGTCTTGGGCCGGTCCACGCTGCCAACTTATATAGACGGTGTTTGGCACCATGTCTAAAAGCATAGGAAGGTTTTATGTCAATGTAAACGTATGCTGTGGCCAGTGAATGTCAAGGGTCGGTCCAGAATCTAGAATGCTCCAGCTCTCTCGCTACTTTCGTGAGGTCCACAGAATGTATGTTCAATGTTCATGAAGTCCGAACTCCTCGAGACCATTGTACGAATCGCGTAAGTCTGCGTGGTCTGTCCGTGTCCGTCCAGATGCACGTTCTTTCAGTCTGGTACCAGTGAATGTCTGAAGCTGGTCAAATGTGGCAATCACGTTGTGGCATGTCCGATCGGCTCCTTGTGGGCCGTTGGCTTTGTGGGCCAGACTCTCGTACCTCTGCTTCTCAGTCTATGTACTGTGTCTCTGTCCAAGTCCAAGAGAGTCACGAGCCAGTGCTGTGGGTCCTGCAGTGAAGTTCAGAGTCGGTGAGGTCGTCCAGTCCAGTCCGAAAGCTCCCAAAGGTACGTGATGTTGAGTGTTTCCAGTTTTTGAGTCCAGTGAACTCTTTTCAGGAGATGTGATAATGCGGGCGCATCCGGTGAGCTCGGCGATGGTGTGTGCTCTAAAGGAACAGAACAATCGACGTAAGTATGAAAGCGGTTCCCGACAGGCTTCGCTGTGGAATATCGATTTTGGGAACCTGGTAAATTATCATCAGGAACTCATAATGTTGCCTAGAAAGTGCGGTAATTTTCTCATATTTTATAATTTGCTCATTGGTTCGTACATTCAATAAATACAGTTGTTCGATATTGCCTTTTGTGGGAGATGCAATTTAGGTTGACACGCCGACGCCTATTTGAAGTACGCAAACGTATGCCAAACTCTCTTTGAGCTTTCGCACCCACAGTATCGGTTACGGTATCACTAATGGAAGATGAAAAAAGACCACGAACTAACCAGTAACGTAGGGTGAAACGATTGAGCATAAACACACTTCGAAATCGTTCCCTTCAACCCTCTGTTTTTTTAACAAGCCAATCGCTGATGCTTAGGCATTTCGGTCATATGGCCTTGGGTTTTTCTTTTCCCGAGGGATCCTAACCTAATCTCAACAACAAACATTTTGCGTTGTAAAAAAAAAAAACGTTATAAAAGGACACGCTTGTACGCTTCTATGAACACGTGTATTGTATTGTGGGTAGGCCAAACATTTACATAAATATTTGTCATCCAGCTCGCATATACATGTAGGCAATGTATTTCAGAGGTGATACAACACCAGACGTATTCAAAGATGCATCCGCAATCTACAACATACACCAATCGGTAGCCTTCCCATTTACATGTCTATATTACAGCACATTTTCGCCTCTTGGCACCTCGTGTACAAGTGTAAAGTGATCCGATTTACATAAATACACTGCTCCCAGCCGCTGGCCCTTGGCGGTCGTCCCACCACCGAGGGGGGCGTTAAACGTACGGCTGGGCCTGACGGGCTGCCTTCTCTGCCTCCTTCTCCGGGGTGGTCAGATACGGGTTCTTGTACGGGTCCAGGTTCACCCTGTGGGCGAGACGGACATGGGTCACGTACGGGCTCTCACATGGAGAGGGACAGTCTGCGGTCAAATGCGGGCTCACCCATGGAGAGGGACAGAAGGCGGGACTTGCCCAATGGGCGCAAAATGACCTTGTAGTCGGCGCGCCCTAAAGCCCCATTAAATAAAGGGGACCCGCCCATTCAATGGTACACCCAACAACCGCCCATCCTTCTCAATGGGTGAACTCGTACAACCGCCCGACCATCTCGATGGGAAAACTGACAAATACCAAAGCTGACCAATACCAGCCCCTCTCAATGGGTAAGCCAGAGTCTGGCCGATGTCAGCCCCTCTCAATGGGTAGGTATCTGACTACTGCCGGTCCCTCTCGGTGGGTGAACCCTCATCCGACCAATGTCAGTTCCTCTCGACAGTTGAGCCCGCATCTGATCAATGTCTGACCCACAGAACGGGTAGCCCCGCATCTGACCAATGTCAGTCCCTCTCCATGAGCGAGCTCGTGTCTGATCAATGTGTTTACTGTATGCCTGGCCTATTCAAATACATTAGCCAGAGGGGTGTGGTAATAACTGGTGTAAGCAAATTGACCACGGTCAAAAACGAATTACCAAGTCAACATTTTGGGATGGCCTCGTTCAAAAAACGGCTAAGAGCTTCGGTCTAGACAATTATTTTATCGTTGGCATACAGTAAAATACATACCAAACTCGGCCGGTGATAAATTTTCAAGACCTCAGTCCTTACTGATTTTTGAACGAGGCCGAAGGCCGAGTTCAAAAATTCAGTAAGGACCTCGGTCTTGAAAATTTATTTACACCGGCCTCGTTCAGTATTATATAACACCGTACGCGGTACTGTGGTTCACCTGATCCTAAGACTGAGAACGGAACGGACCGGTCGAACCCGCTGTATCGTGGCGATAAGTAGTCTGTTCTGGTTTGTCATGCGGCTAAAACGGGGTTGCAACAAGGTGCTGACTGCTGACTTGATCTAGAACAAGCAAGGTGGCGAAAGTGATAGCGATAGATAACGGCCGCGGACCCGTGCTGACATTTTCCTGTTTCGTAGCCGGCCATTTACCATGCATTGTTGCGAGCGTCTCGGGTCACCATACACCAGCGAGTCCGCCTCGAGTCCGCCTCGACCTCAACCTTGACCAGTCGACCTTATTTTATCCATTCGAATCGTGCAGCAGTATTCGTGATTGCGGTCAGATTTCAATGAAATATTTCATTCGATAAAAATCTCATTTTGACGGGCGTAGTCCGTTCATCGGATTTGGCCTCGATAAAACAGGATAATGCTTACATAGCTAATTGTTTGGGCTTGCGTACGCCGTCACTTTTCTGCGCCATCAGGCGTGTCCAGTGGCTGCCACCGGACCGTTTTCCGGCACTGCGCCTGTCGAAAGTGGCCGGGTTCTTGCACCAGCCGTGGCGGACACCTTTCGCTTTCGGTGTCGTGTTTTTAGACCGCGATCACCAGCGCCGCCTGACGAGATTTTGGCGACGAGATTTTGGCGACAACAGCGCCGTCCGCGAGAAGGGGAGCGGGGAGTTGCCTTAGGCCTAGGGTTGAAGTCTGCACTCTGAGGTGTACGGGGAGTCGTTGGGAGGGAAATGAGTCGCCGACACTCACTCGTAGAGGTTGACGGAGTCGGCGCAGTTGACGTTGTACCACCAGTCGCACGTCAGCTCGTACTGGTTGAAGATGGTGCCGTTGGTGCAGAGGAAGTTGGCGCCCGTGTAGCCGTGACGGTTGTCCTCCTCGCAGATGTGGTACGCCTATAGGGGTCGAGACAGAGTCACACAGGTCATGTCGGGTTGAAAAACTGGCTAAAAGCTGCGACATTTCTGAAGGTTGATTGATATGTGGTTGTGAGAAAAACGCTAACTTCGTCATTGCCGGGCGAACCATTTCAGGCACTCAATCAACCTTTGGTGAAACATTCAATCAAGTGAAATTGGCTGTCACGATGCTTCTTAGGTTCAACTTGGCCCGTAAAATCATAATAGACCTTCAACGACCTGCTGCCACTTCTCTATCATAAATTCGTCGAAAGGCCGGACGTCGCAAACTTCGGTAGGTAGAAAGCACTAGTAGGGACTCAGTCCAGGCGAGTGCGAGATTGAGACTAGGGGAGGTACTCGGGCAGTTTTGGGCATTTTGGGCGTAGTATTCGTCCGGGTGCGTTCACCTGACAGCCGGTCTCCACGTCGGCGTAGAGGCCCGGCCGGTGGGGCACCGAGTCGCACGTGAACTTGGTCTCCGGCACCTGTCAAACACCGAGTCACACGTCAGCAGGGGACGGCGTGACGTCACTTGGCTGTTCAGTCGGATCCGCTAGGTGACTGATCTGGTATATTGGAGCGTCGGAGATATCCGAATCTAAAGTCGAGTATCCTTACTTCAAACCTAGTCCCTTCATTTAAATTGGGATGGGAGTCAGCAAATGCACCTCCTGCTATCAGTTACGATCTACAAATCCCTCGTGTTGTTACCTACTTCATGGTTAACTTCGCAGCCCCATCTTAAATACACAGAGTTTTGACCAATATCACTCAGTCACCCTCGACTTCGACTTCTCCGGCGTCGTTCCTTACGTATGCCAGCACGGGATAGTCCTTTCCGGGATAGCCGGGGATCTTGCTCAGGTCCTGGATGTCGATGCCACTGCCGTAGCGGGGCTCGTGGAGTTTGCCCTCGGGTGCGGTGTAGAGCACGGGACCGGCGGGCTGCAGCTTCTGCACCTGTGGATGGAAAGATTGTGACCCGGTCAGGTCAGAGGTCGGGACCGTCAGGTTAGGATCGTGGCAGGACCAGCTCAACATTGATGAGGTCGGCAGGAGGTCAGGTCCACAGTGGGAAGTTGCATGGGTTCAGGACATTGGAGGTCGAGGGAGGTCACTGGTCATGGTGAAAGGTTGGAGCAGGGAATTGTAAATGTCCTTGAGGTGAACCAACGAAACAATTATCAGACATCTCCATATTCGCTCAGATATACAGATAGATACAAAATCCGCTGAAACTACTGTTCATTATCTTGAATGGCTTTTAGCACAGTTTTGAGAGACATTATGAATATAATAAGAGATATTAACCTTACTCTCATATTAGCCAAAAGATATAAAATTTCAAAAAGGCAAAATACAGTTTCGGGAGCTTTCGGCTTTGCGCCTTTATCAACCGTTATAACGGTTGATAAAGGCGCAAAGCCGAAAGCTCCCGAAACTGTATTTTGTCTTTTTGAAATTTTATATCTTTTGGCTAATATGAGAGTAAGGTTAATATCTCTTATTAGAAACTACTGTTCCTTCGAAACTGCGATAATGTAAAACACTTCCACAGACCGCCTACCTTCTGGGTAATACCGCCAACGCTCGTACTGCTTGCCCATAGTGGCACATCTCTCTGAGCGAACAGCCGCTCATATTCCCGATTCGGTATCTCACCTGTTTACGCTCGCGGGGTACGAAGGGTTTGGGCTGGTACGTCCTGACGGGAAGTGGTGGCGGCGGGGGCAGCGCGCCGTGGGCCAGCGGCGGCCCGACGGGAGGCAGGCCGGCCACCAGCGGCAGGGCCACCGGCCCGCCGTCCGGCGACACGTAGTTGTCATAGGCTGAGGGGTCCTCCACCTGCGGCCGTGGCGGCCGGCCGGCCCGCTTCGGGATCTGACCGCGGTACAGGGTGTCCTGGCTGCTCACCTGCGGAAACAGGGACCCGGCGCTGTCAGATGGGTTTCTGGTGCATTTAATAAATTCTCAATAGCGAGCAAAATGTTTTGGGCGTCTTTTATGTTATTTGTTCTGAGTGCGTTCAATTCGGGGTTCCTCATTGATTCATTCTCAACGAGAGGATTTCACAACATCCTCGATATTCGGTAACTTAAAAATGAGTTCTAAAAAAGAAAGAAAATCACTGAGGCATCACCGTGACCGTCACGGAAGTGTGCAATATCATCAGCGTCACAGTCCCATGTAACACCTTGCATAATGTCGAGTTCCGCTGTCCCAGGTCGCCCAACCGTATCATATTAATCGCAGTTCGAAACGCCACGATTCGGGTGTTGGCCTGGCCCCACGATCCGTGCATTTGATATCGAGTGCTAATTTGGTTCCGCTTTCCGCTCTCACGACGTGACCACGCCGCTCACGAAGTAACGAGCTTAGTATGCATGGGACTCATTGTTTTTCTGTGCACATGAAAACTCGTGCTCATGTTTAATGGAACAAGTCGGGCACGTAGCTAGGATTTGGCCAAGGGAGGGGCGGAGTAATCCCGGGGGCCTCCTTTCTACAGAGGGCCTCCTCCCTAAAGGGGCCTCCTTTCTACAGAGGGTCTCATGCCTACATAATTACATATACAATATAATGCAGACTTTTGTTCAGCTTTCATATGGCCAGCGCACTGGTATGTTTCTTTATTCTAACCGCTGCAGCGGTAAGAAACATAGGTACGCATATCACAAGTCTCCGAGTGGCATTGGCAAAAAAAAAAACTTGGGCGCCGCCGCCGGCGGCGGCGGCGGCCGGACCGCAGCAGGAGGGGGAGGATCTGCGAGGAATGGGTGGATACTGGATGACGGCAAGAGTAACACTTGGTGTATTATCATATATCGTTCAAGCGCTTAACCGTATTCTGGGCGGGCTCTGAAAGACTCTGAATCGGGCGGGGGCCTTTTTGGCCCTCGTCAGAACTCGAAAAGCACGAATCGTAGCGACTAGCGACAAACGGCAACGGCGTTTGATAGTTCGTTGAACGACTTACAACTTTTGTAAACAACTTTTTTGGGTCAGGTCAATATTGAGGTCGCCAGAGGTCATAACAAATAATATGGTTTATAACGACCTACATACAGGGTGTTTCATAATTAGTGTTCATTGTAAATGTACCATTGGAGGATCTAAAATAAAGCAATGATCGATAAATTTATACGAGCATTGTTGCAAAAAGATTGGCTTTTTTATCTGTGCAAAAATTATCCCAAAGCATTCAGTCTCATGGCCGCCATCTGCCGCGATGTCAGCAGCACAGATGCGATGCACTGCGCCGTTCACACAAGGAGAGGCAGTTTGGGCAGTCGCAGAATACGGTAGGCTGAGAAACATAACTGCGGTCCGCCGTAGGTATGGGTGCCATTTCAAGGAAAAGCATAACGTACCATTACGGAATTACGGCGCGACCCTCCCACTACACTTCTGGAACTACAAAACACCGTGGATGCATTTGCTCGTGGGCTGAAGCCAGAGGACGTCAGGCAGGCGGTTCGGCATGTCTGCAGGAGGGCCGAAATCTGCCTCCGCAGAAACGGCGCCAGTGCCGAAAACTGAAAGCATGCAAGTGTCTGAAGCCATCACGACAGAAAAAGCCATTCTTTCGCCAATACAATAGTATATCGCTCTATGTGTTATGAATACAATTACTTAGATTTTGAGCATATTTAAAATGAACATTCATTATGGAACACCCGATAGGTCAACTTCAAAATCTGACCTAGGAAGGTCACGCTGGGTACCAATCGGCGCGTCATGACCAGGCGAACGGTTTGGTACACTAACAACTATTTAGCACCATCATGTCGTGATTTATTGGCTAAAAACTGTTGATGACCTCACCTCACCTCAGATGATCCTTCCCGGTGCCCCTGTCAGTAAATGCCACCTGGGTGCTTACAGATCAGCTAATCTGACGTAATTCAGAAAGAATTGGGTGATTTTGACTCGTTTACTCGAAGCAGGACACAGTTCATTATATTTTCCAACAGGCTTGTCACGATTCTGACCTGACTGACGTCTGCAAGATTGAAACTATACGGTTATCAATTCTTTCTGTGTGAATGATGCCACGTTTACTTGCTGTAAGTAAAACATGGTTTCGTTAGTAAATTTTCCTAGGTCCAGGTGGTTTGCTTCATTTACGCCGTAGATGAAACAAACAAATCGATGGATAGGTATATATTAATTTCCCGGTCAAATGAATTATTATGAGTTGTGCGAAGCATGGCTATGGGAATATCACCACGGTCTGATAAATGGTTTGGGTTATTTCATGCATCGTAAAAATACCAACACAGCCACAGGTAACTATATATTACAGAAATGGGCTGTTGTGTTCATGCATTAACCCGCGCCCTGCCGGGGGGGGGGTGTTAAACAGCCCCTACAGTTTACCGTGAATATCTCAAAAACGGCGGCGCGCCACACTTTATCCTACATCATTTCTACATATGTTGTGAAAATTTCAGACCCTGGTCACTTAAAGTCAGGTCACCAGGTCAGGTCAAATGACCTCACTACATAAGTTTCAATGTCTGCCAAAGCTACACGGAGTGACCAACCGCTTTGAAACTTTCAAAGATGCAAATGCACAAGAGCGACAAAATGCAAAAAAATGTATGTCTTGGAATTTTGATATCGATGACATAAGGTCAGGTCAATTTTGCGACCATTGGAAGTCTCCTTTTTAGACGGAAGTCATTATAAACACTCTAACACACTGAATTACTAGCATCTTAGACACACTGAACATGAAAATGGCACCCGTGACCCCTTTTTATAACCCTGAGGTCATCTCAGGTCACCAATGGTATCTGACTTTTTCGCGAATAACTTTTGATAGAGGCATGCTAGAGCGATGAATACACCTTAGTTGTGTTTGGCTCGACGATACGGATGGACTGATATGGAACTTAGCCCTTATCGGTCAGGTCATGACCTTGACCTGAGGCCAGATTTTCAAGTTAACCTTTCAAGGTCAATTGATAGTTCATTCCACACGTCTTGACGAGAGGAACACGATGCTGGTAAAGGGAAGTTCGTGCAAATTTTGAGACGAAAGTTATTGCCGAAAACTGGTTTCCGAAAATATCGGCTATTTTGGCAGTTTTTGCGGCCACTGCAGGTAAAACCGTTGACGGCAAAACCGTTGACGGCACCCGGCATGATTTCTCTGAGCGTATTTATACAAATAATTTGTCTACATAGGATAGGGCCTTCTGTTTACAGAGGACCTCCTCCCCTGTCCCTTCCTACAGTGGGCGGCGACGCGGTTGGGAGTCTATTCTGTACAGTTTCCTGAGTTCTCAGTTATAGTGAGAACTGAGAACTCTCTATAGAGAGTAGCAGGGAACAGAAGCCGGAAGGTAATTTGCTTACAGTGGGCCTCCACTCTATGTACTTAATATACGACGCTGTCTTTGACTACCGGGGGCCTCCTGCCCACAGAGGGCCTCTTATCTACAGAGGGCTTACTCTCTACAGATTGCCTCTTATCTACAGAGGGCCTCCTCTCTGCTGAGGGTGTCTTTCTCTCCAGAGGGCCTCCTTTACAGAGGGCATCCTCTCTACAGAGGGCCTCCTCTCTACAGAGGGCTTCCTATCTATTTAGGGCCTCCTCTCTTCAGAATCTCGTCTCTACACAGGACCTCCTCTATACAGAGGACCTCATCTCTGCAAAGGGCCTCCTCTCTTCAGAGGGCCTTCACTCTACAGACGGCCTCCTACCTACAGAGGACCTGCTTTCTACTGAGGGAGTCCTCCTCTACAGAGGGCCTCCTCTCTTCAGACAATCTCCTCTCTACAGAGGGCCTCCTCTCTTCAAAGGGCCTTCTGATTTCAGACGGTTTCCTCTTTACAGAGGGCCTGCTCTCTACGGACTGGAGGGCCTCCTTTTTACAGAGGGCCTCTTTTTACAGAGGGCCTCCTTTTTGCAGAGGGCCTCCTCTCTACAGGGGGTCTCCTCTCTAAGGGGGCCTCCTCTCTACACAGGGCCTCCTACCCACAGAGGGCCTCCTCTCTACTGAGGAGTCAGAGGGGCCCTAGCGGTCAGACACAGACACTAGTGGTTATTCACAGGAGATGAGAAGGGCCCTAGCTGTCACTTGTCAGGCTGGTCAGAGGGCCCTGATTGTTCTGACGTCATTTTTTAGATTCCTGCGTGAATTTCGTTCGCCTCCGACGTGATTTTGGCCAACGTGGGCCTTCGGCCCACGTTGGCCTGAATCCTTTCGGGGGCCTCCTGAAAACCCCAAGGGAGGGGCGGGCGCCCCCTCCGCCCCCCCCCCCCCTTGGCTACGTCCCTGGAACAAGTCACCGTTCCGAAGTGGACTTTTCGTCTGTGAAGGGCTGCAAAGTGCAAGCCTTTCGCATGGGAATCTGAGCGAATATACCAAGGTGACGGTGTACCACACCCTGTGCTCTTAAAAAACCAAGGTTTTTATCCTATCGATTACCTATCGATACCAGGGTTACCTATCGATAGATACCTATGAGTATTGAGTAGGTAGCATAGGCTGCAGACAGTAACCGGTCGCTCGAGCGAAACAAAACCTCATGCGTATCCTCAGTTGCAGGGTTGATACCTAAAGGATTAATAGCTTTATGATCCTAAAGTTAAAAATGATTGGTACAGCTCGCGCAGCAGTGATGGAAAATTGGCAGTTGCTCTGATCACTGTCCTAAGGATGGTTTTTGTAAGGTCTTCATATGACTGGAAAAGCAAGACAAAGAGATTAGTTAAGATCTGCGATGTGAAGAATACACCTGGCATGACCACAATGCAAGGAGTTTAGGGACAGAAATGTCTGCTGCTGCTCTGGCTGTTCAGAACCGGTACTATTCGTTTTAATTGAGGTCGCACATTGTTCTAATTATGCAACTGCAGTCAAGACGGGCCATTTGCCTGTGCTTTGACAGTATGCACCTGAGGTCGGGTAACGGTTGGCGCTTGTAGCCGGTCCCCCTGTGCCGGCGGCCCGTTCCCCCGTGCCGTATAATGAAGCGGGACGGCGGCCGGTGGCGCGGAGCGGGCCACCTCACGAGTCGGCCCGGTGCCCCTGACCCGAGGCCGCGACCACGCCCTTCGGCCGGCACTAGCGAGCGACTCGGGCCACCGAGACCTTCTGAACGAACAGCCGTGTCCACAGCGCTCACAGCGGGCGGCATATAGCGGCCAGACCAGGCGGCTAGCTCGGATCAGGACAGCGCGTAATTGGGTGCCGAGCCTTCTGATTGCACTGCGGGACACTCGGGTCGCACTGGCGTATTTAGGAGGAGAAATACATGGTGCAGGGGCACGCGAATTCTTCATGCATTTGGATGGGACAGTGCGTACCCACAACAATAGATGCTGACGCAATATTCACGATTTTCATTAGCACATTCAGTAAGTTCCTTGGGACGAGACCATTGAATAGATAAAGCATTGTAAGAGAAAGGAAAACATATATCAATGGACTCTTGCGTATTTTCGAAATCTCACCGAAAAGGGGAACAGTGATTTTACTAACCGTTAGTTTATATTTTGCCATAGCATGCCTCGCAATCTAAATGGGCTTTGACAAAGGCAACGAAAACAACCTACGGCTAAGCTAATAGTCACGAGTCGCGAGGTGGCCTGTTTGAGAATGACCACTTATCACCAGCCTGAATTGCAGCGGGTGTGATTGAGTGCGAGTGTGACGATCTGAGCTGAGTGTCAGTTTCTACCTAAACATACCGATAGGTAGGTATATGAAATAGGGAGGCATCGTTTATTTTACGGGAAATAACTCGGCGTAACTTGGTAATTGGTTGTTCTGCGTGCTACATCCGCCCGTTACGCATAGTTTCTTAGTGAAGGGTCTATTTCCTTCTCTTGTATCGTGGTAAAGAGATTACGCATTAGGGGTCGGCTGTTATCCAGGAGTCTCACTGCCCCACGCGTTATGGCCTCGGCCACCAATATAGCCGACGGTTGGCGGACCGGCCCGGTATCTCGTAACCACCGATTATCTGCTCCCGGGCGTTGATAAACTTTGATAAATCGCAGTCTAATTACAACTCTCGTCCCATTCACTTGTATCCTTCATTCCGAACGCCCCACGACATTAGCTGGCAGCCATCTGTACAGTTGGACACACGCGTAGTGAGCGTCTTACCTGGATGGCGGCAAGGAGAGCCACGGTGCACAGCGCCAGGCGGCTGGTCATGGCAGCGGCTCTGTAACAGGGCAGCACACTGTCAGAATCTTTACCCCAATCCGGCCCGGGACTGTGCTATAAGCTGCCGCTGGAATGACGTAGATCAGAAACGGTTACATGCAGCATGCTGACGATTCTCATGCGTGGCTGCGTGGGGACTGCAACGCATCCTGGGCGTCTAGCACTGGATATAGTTCCGCTGTGATGGCAGACGTGTAAAGAATGCGCCTTTGCACAAGAAACTAACCCTAGCGCGGGCTGAACCTGAATGGTAGGCTGTACCGCAGTGCTAGAGCCGACAACTGAAGACTGCGCTGTAGCACAAAAAGCCATTGGCGCGGGAGCCGGGGGGGGGGGGGGGCAGTGGGGGCAGCTTGCCCCCCCAACTCTGGGGCCGTGGGGGCGGTGCCCCCACAGCTTTGAGACGGAATACCACACTTTTTTGCAAATGTTTTCTTTTTTTGTTGAAAAAGCCGAGGGGTGAAAAATAAGTGGCCTAAAACCGGTGAGAAAATTAGATTTGGGGGTACCCTAGGTTAATCTCTAAATTCTCTATTATGGTGTGCCCCCCCAGTCGGAAAGTAGTTCCCGCGCCCCTGCAAAAAGCTAACACCATCGCGGGCGAAACCTGGGTAGTAGACTGTACCGCAATGCTAGGGCCGACGTATAGAGACTGCGCGATATCACAAGAAACGAGCACCAGCGCGGACCAGCCTGGGTAGTAGGCTGTGCCGCTATACTCGGCGCCCTGCCCGGAGACCGTAGCTGGGCACTAGACACTAACTCAATTGCGTCTGGCCTGTATGGAGCCTGCAGCGTAATTATTTATATACACTGTGCGTAGGGGGATCGGGAGACTGCATTGCTGCACACCAAGGTAGCACAGTAAGCCTCTCCTACGGTCTACGGAGATTGCAGCGTTATGTTATGTTATGTTATTTATGTGGCACCAAGGTAATTTCAAAAGCCTCTTTTATCGGGAACAGGTATAGATATGCGCGATTGACAAGTATGCGTAATTAACCCGAAATACATTCACTAAATTAGCGTAGGCGTAATTATTTCGCTCATGAATTGCGATTTACATATCATTTAGTGCGTGAATCTACTGGAAATTTCGCTTGGATTGAGATTCACAGCGAGAAATACGAGTACAACGATACTAGAGATGCTTAAGAAGATTTTTGAATAAAAAGCGTCACAACCTAACAGATATGGCTCGCTAATATCACCAATATCGAAGAATTATCCATATTAGTAGAGCCCCGCGCTGAGAAGATGACAACATCGAGACAGCAGCAAGACAGCAAGACAGCAAGGCACCACCACCTGCCGACCATCACCAACCACGAGCTGGCCCATCACCAACCGCCAGAAGCGAATCACCAATAACCAGTACCTACCACCACCGACAGGCCGTGGCCAGTGGCCATTGGCCAAGCACTATCACCACCATCCGCGGGTATTCACCAAGTATCAATTACCAACACCACCACCCATGGGTGATCACCAGCACCAACACCACTACCACCGTGGTCCACCACCAATCACCAATCACCAGCACCACCACCAGAATATCGTCACCACTAGTCTTCCACCGGCGGGAGCGCGCGGCGGCCTTACTATGCGGACGGACGCGGTGACGGCAACTGACGGCCGACGACGTGACACCGCCCTGGTGACCGCTCGGCTCCGACCAGGGGGGGGGATGACGTCACGGCGGGCGCGGCCGATGACCTTTGCCTGGGGGCTGACCTGTCAGGTAGGTAGGTAGGGGGAGGGGAGGGGGCACTGGGCAGCCGATGGTCCACTTTCACTTTCGGCCGGGCGGGGCGAAGTGAGGGGCGGGGTGGGGGGGGGGGGGAGGTGACCGTGACGGAGCCAGAACAGACGGTGACCCCGCCCTTAGGAGGAAGGTTGGTCGAGGATGGCGAATCGCTGTGGGGTTGGGTGGAATTGAAGACGCCCCTGGTAACAGGTTACATGTTCATGAAGTGACGTGTCTGACTCGATCACAAGCTGAGGTCTGTCCTTGCCAAGGACTCCTTGGTCTGATCTGACCCGACCGAATTGATGTGATGCCAGGCTGACGACCGAATCATGCCTGACCCAGTCAGACACCTGAGGTCACCAGTCTCAGAGCAATGAACTGGATTACATGAAGGGGTCATATGGGGTAGGTTAATCTGAATGATAGGTATTAGGTACCCAATCCTGAGGGAGCGCGATAGCGGGAGATGACATACGAATTTAATAGTTACTGCCTATATTCCTGGGTCACAAAATACTTACTTATGTAGATAAGGTGGAATTGTAGTGGGTCGAGTAAAACAACTTTCGAAAATTATATTATTTCGAGCACACTGCCGCTACTAAAAAAGTATCAATTCTTTACTCAGGCTAGTTCTGCGTATTTCATCGTTGTTTGCCGAATGAGGCCTAATATGATGCCTTTACCTATGAGACCGCCTGCTGGGTTATTAGGCGGCTATAATTGTGACTTTCTCGGTTATAACCTTGGTAGACTCCCCGTGAAAACGGGCTGATCGTGCCCTCATTGGCCATGGGTGAACGTGAGGGAGCCGACCGGCTGGACTGCTCCAATTCTTCGGTCGATTGAGTCCATGCGAGGAAAGGAATGGCCACGGGCCTGAAGTGAGCGGAGGGTGCGCCAACTGACGTGTTGGTAAAACATGCATGTTATGAACTCGGCTCTGCTACCATAGAAAATAGCATAGATAGCCAAATGCCACGTGAACCTCATGCCTATTGCCTGACATTCAAATGATATTCACATCTTGAGACACAATTTGATAAGTGCCATAGCAATGCACCGTCAATGCAGCATGAAAACCTTCGAAGCTTCCTGTTGACGTTTTGTTTACCGTATTAGCATGGCGACCTTTTCAGCGGCTGATGGTTTTCTTTAGTTGATAACGGTCTCTAATTGAAGCTCGCTGTTAAAGAATTGCTGCACAACCGACGGACATACTGCATTATCTGCTCTCAGTTTTATGGAACGCAACATCGCGGAACTGCCGTCATTCTGCTTGATGTCATCCAGAGCAACAGCTCTCCATAATGTCATTTCGGCCCGCTCAGTAGTTTAGACAGCGGCCAGTCTCCAGGCCACTCGCGGAGACGTGACCTCGCTATCAAGGCGGAGGTGGCCGGTCGGTATACCAAGAATGTCACACCCGAGGACAGGGGCGGGCACGGAGGGGGGGGGGGGCTGAAACGGAGCTGCCGGTGGCCGTGGCAGTGTCGGTGGTGTGTTCCGACCGGGAGCGGCGGTACGATGAATTGGGGCGGCCGGCGCCAGAGGAAATGAGACAGGGTCGCAGAGTGGAGGCGGGCGGCAGCGGGAGGGGCGGACGGCGGGCCCATGTGATGAGACAGCACCGGGCGGGCAATAAACGTGGGGGACTGGTCCGACCACGGAGCGCTATCGAACACTAATGAGCGGGCCCGCTGTGACCATGGAGGGTACAGACAAGGCGGAAATTCTGGCGAACTGGGTGGGACCGCGATTGGGGGGAGGGGTACGACCGTGCCAAGTCACGCACCGCCGCGGACACTGGCCGGTGGTCACGGTGTTTGACTGAGCCGGACCGGAGCGATTAGCTAACTACATGGGTGATGGGGTTCGAACGAAGTGCGTGACTTTCGCTGATGTATAACTGCCAGGGAACATTGTGCGTTGATACAGTTGTGAACTGGTAAAGATGAAGGAGAATTGCAAAGTTGGGTAAACGACAAATTAAGATAAAAATATTGCAAACTTGCGATTTTGATCAATTCATAACTTAGATAGGAAAAAGTAACGAATCCAAAGGAGACAAATATCAGGTTGGTAACTAGGTAGTATCATGATAAGCTACTTGTACAGTTCCTATGGTCAAACTGCAATTAAAATTTTCGTGCTTTAAGCTAAGCAAAGCGTTAGGAAGTATATAACCGGAAACCAGACCCACACGAGTGAATAGACCCATACTGTTTCATGAACGTTCCCTTCATAAGCTTTATCAACACGATAGAGTTCCGACGCGTGTTAGCTAAACGCCAGTGGAAGGTCATTCGATTGGTACATATCGATTGAAGGCCCGTGACGCACACAGGGGCAAGGGGCACACTGCACCGTGTACATTCGTTCAGTTATACAGAATCTCAAATAAATCGCTGGCCCCTCCCAATGGATAAGCAGTACCTAAGCATCTTACCGCGCCATCGTTTGGAGTTTTTGTTTTTATTCTTCCAGCCTGCCTACCTTCCATCTGACGAGTAAATGATAGCTTGATCCTATCTGTATTGGAAAGTCACCGCGTCTGTTCAGTCGATTTACTATCAAGCAGGCTAGATTAGACTAAACGAGCATCTGATCCAGATCAGGCCCTAAATCACGTGTCTCTCCCCAAGATTACTTTTCTCTCCCTACCTACTCAGCTCAATTCGCGTCCGTCTCGGCCCAGCGCCCGCCGGTCGTTAGTCGTTATTGCCGGCTCTGTCCACTGTGTGAGCAGTGTCCAACACATCGGCGGGCCGATCAGCGGGCACATCTGGCGCCAATGTTACAAACACCCCCGGGCCAACCGAAAGTGTCGTCCCCCGTCGGCGGCCGCGTCGGCGACGGCGACAGTCTCGGGGGGACGGTCGACGGTGCCGCGTGCGCGTGACGAGCTTCTTTCTGCACTCTTCGTCGGCTGGTCAGAGCCGCGCCGCGACCGGTGACCGCCGAGGGTCTGCAGCCCGCATCGCAGCCAGGATGGTGAGCTGCTGGGACAGGGCGGGTCGCGAGGCCGCACCTCTGTCACGGTGAGATTGATTAGCGACAGTTTCACGGAATGGTGCACGTTGCGCCAGTCACGGAAGCATGCTCAAGTACCGTGACGGTTTGAATGTGATAATTGCCCGACCCGATCTCTGTAACAGGAAGGTGTGAACTATGGTCTATGAATAATGTTTGTTTATCTCACAAAGTCGTGTTGCTCATAATAACGATAGCCTTTTAGGGAGGTCGACGTATGCTACCTTCAAATTACTAGCCATTGATCGTATCTTAGAGTCGGGTCCGCACATTACGTAACGCTAACCTCTGGCGATAATTTGGCAATTGGTTTCTCAGGGTGGAACTGGAACGCCATTTCTTGCGAATAATAATTTAGTCTGATATTAATAGAATCGTCTGATAATCAACAAGTAATTTTTGATGTAAGCATTGCTTGTTTAGGCAAATCATCCCTTCTTACACAACACGCCCACGAAAAGATTCCATAGAGTCTTTTCTATGAAACTAGATGCACCCGCCACCCTGCCAATAGCATATGCTTTATCCCATGTAAAATTGTCGGAGTGCTGACTGAAGAAACAAGTGTTACCGCAAGAAAATTTAAATATTGCCAATGCAGACAGTTGCTGTTCCATGCTAGCGCTTACGTTAGTTTCAAAACTAGGCATTGCCGTGACATACAATCTTTTCTACACGATGAGACATCCAATCTCTATATCACCAAACCTTCAGATTCGGAGGCTTGTTCCAACATTTTGGCTTTCAACAATTGCTTAAGACAGCATGATACGACCGATGAAGCACTCATTAAATGCATACTCGATCGCGTGACAGGCAACATAAAAACCTTATAGAAACGTCGCTTGGCTTTAAAATTGAGCGTCGTAACAGAACAACATTAAATATGAACTGACAAATTAAGATCTGTGCCTTATCCTCATCCTCCTATAAAGCACTGCATATTGCATGTGCTTTAAATGTAAGATCGTCGGAGCGTCGGCCGAAGAATAAGTGCTACCGTTAGAAAATTTAACTATGTACCTATTGCTAATACGGTTGACTGTTGCCTAATTTCTGCCCTCTAGGGCAACCCCTAAAAGAGCCGGGACGCATTGCATAACACGAACAAGCAGCCCGTCTCCCACCTTTCCCATGTGCGTCGCTGGTCACCCATCGACCCGGGCCGCGTGTCCGCCGTTCGCACGGTCTGGTCCGTCCACTGCCGGCCGGCCGGCAGGGAGGGGCCGATTGTTACATCACCGGTGACACCCGAGAGGCCATCTGCCGTCCGGTACGATGACGCTGCTTGCGATGACTCTGCTGACGTAACTGGAGCTCGACCAGCCGGCCGGAGGCGCCGAACGGCTCCGCACACAGTTCCTGGGAAGCTACATAACAGAGTCGCATACCTGGTGTCCGTTTTCGGGGAGTGATGACTGATGAGACACGGAGGTCGAACATTAGAGTGTCAAGGCGTGGATGCAGGATGCAAGTATTTCTTGTTTTCCATTCGGTCGGCAGCGGAGGTATAAAACGTGACCGTCTTTCGCTTCAGCCTTAGATCCCTTTATATCTATGAGTGGGCTATGCACGGTAGGGTTCGAGTGGTCTATGCTTCGATCTGCTGAACTGTGAGTCAGCTTGTTTTGTTGAATAGCCAAATGAGTCGTAATTGATCCTAACTGTTCTCTAATGGTGAGTGCGGTACTTTTAAAACGGTCCGTCTGATAACTGATTCCAGCGCCGTACGGTGTCGCTCACAACTGCCAGATAGCCGACTTAGGTACGACATACGGCAGTCAGTAGGCCTCGGGGCTCTAACAGTCACCGTTTTTTTTTCAGCCGTCGTTTTAAATAACCCATTAAGCCGTCCAGTTCATTTCACATCACCCGAGCACAGTTCGTTAGCCCAACATTCAGTCACAGCCGACAGACGGCTAGACGGACAATCTAACCACCGATGACCAGTCGGACTAACCACCAATGACCAGTCGGACATTGGCCAACACGCGCAGACTGGCGGCGAGTGTGGCCGCCCGCCGGCTGATCGCGAAATAACCCACTAACAGCGCGGCCGTTTCCGCACGGCCGAGCGCGCGGCGCGTGCTCGCCATGTGCGCGACGCCGGAACAATTACCGACAGTGGTGACGGGAGCGACGCGAGCCGCCTGCCGCAAATACACACCGAGCGGCGCGAAACCCTCTCATCGAGAACGGATCGGAAGGCCGTTACGGTGACGTCAGGACGAGGATTTTATGGCCTAATAGTAGTTTCGTCATACCGACAGTGCCTACCTTTATGATTTGGTGGCCGCATGTCACGCGAAATTACTGCATTCGATAATTGTCTAGTGACGATTGAGCAGGCTCAGGCCGCTCTCTGACAAAGGACCTTGGAATGGCTCTTTTCTTTCCTTAGGTCGTATGGAATGTAACGAAAAATCGAGATTTGTACCAGAGGTGGGTATAAATTATTTTGATATTTAGGCCCTAGTTGCATATCTACAGTTCCAGGTCGCAGCTTTGTGGCTTGGTACTGCCGGGCGCGACACCGCGCGGCAGGCTAGTGCTAGCGCCCAACACAGCAGCGCAGTCTCCGCACCGCCGACGCTATCCCGGGAGACTGCGCTATCGCACAGGAGACTAGCACCAGGCTCTGACGGCACTTGCGAGACGGAGGCCGTTGGACAGGGATGGAGACGGGGCGGGGGCTGGGGGCTGGAGACACTGCGACAGGATGTCGGGTAGTAACGTGGTTTATTTATTGTAGCCCCTGTTTTATTGCATGTTTCCTAAAGCTAGCTTACCCACTGTGTGTAAATCTTAATTGAAATTATCGTACAAAGGGCGATGCGTATAATCACATACCTATCATTAACAGTAGGTAGTCATTTAAATTCATGGATCGTATCAACATCACCAGTACCACTGTGTGTCTTGTTATATATTGGCTACCGAAATACCACCACTCACCTTTCGTGATAGACGGGCGGTGTGGCCTATGCGGCTTCACTACTTGAACGGACCCTCATCAGCACCTCTGTGTTCGGCAGGTGGGGCGGCGCTGGTTCCTCAGTCTCTACCAGTGGGCCATCCTCAGTGCCGTGTGTCTCTCGGCGGCTGGGGACCGACTGACGGCACCAAAGGCTCAGCATGAGCCGCCCCAGGGCGTGCGACAGACGGCTCTGAACGCGCTCTGGGATCCGCAGCACCAGGACAGCAACAGCACGGCGCCTGCCGCCGCTCTCCTCGGTGAGTGTCGATCAGTCGGATAGCGTGATTAAAAAACTGCTTGATAGCTTCTCAGGATGGCCATTGGTACATGCATACCATTTCTTCGTAACGAATATTTTCCTACTGCTTAGGCACTGTGGTGAAACTGAAAGCTGTGACCGGTGACCACGACCTTCCGGAATACATCTCTGTGTCTTGTGAATTGTCTCTTGGCTCTAACTCTGAGGTGTTGTCTTGATCCTGTGACCGTTGATTACTAGTCAGGAGCATAGTCGTTCCAGTGTGACTTGTGTATGACCGTAGACATATGACCCTGTCTTCGACGCCTGTGAGTCTGACCTCGACGCATCTCACCGTTGTTCTGTGTGCTGCAGCTCTTTTGTCGGCTATCTCCGAGGCCCGGGGCGACCCGAACGCCATCTACCGCCTGCGGCTGGCCACCGAAGACCAGTGGCCCATCTCACAAGACGTTCACTTACCGAACCTGTCGAACCATCCCAACCAGAGAGATGCTGCTCAGAGGGACAGCAAGTCCAACCAGTCGTCATTTAAACCTCCGCGGCGCAACCCAAAAACAGATAGAGGTCCAGCTAGGAGGTCTGATGGGGAGAAACTTTCGGAGGAGCGTACGAGCGGAAATAGGAAGTCGCGGACGACAACGGAGCCCGACAAAGGAGGTAGAGTCGTGAGCAAAAGGCGACAAAAACGATACAGTGTGGATGAGGAAGAGCAGTCTCACAGACCAGCCAGATGGCAAAGATCCGACAACCATGACGACGGAGCTAGGGAAGTTAATACAATTCCACCTTCAGATGAGAAAGTGGACCTCAACATCGCAGAAAGCCGCAGCGATTCAGACATCACAGAGACGAACACGCAACAGCCAGCTGAAAGACGTGCCTACGTCACCCATCGGCGCTTCAAAGAACAGCGCCCAGACGTGAATGTTGAGTGGCCTCGAAGGAGCGACGTGGACTGGTCTCGAAAGGACTCGGTCGAGCAGATGGAGATGCGGGAGGACGGTTCGCTGGCAGAACGCCGTGAGGATGCAGGACGAAGTGATGACTGGACGGAGGGCGATTCAAGGTTGACACGAAAGAGCGACACGGGAAGTGAGAAGGGCCGGACGCGCGCTGATGGAAGATGGTTACAAGAGTACAGCAGACACGAGGACTCGCCGATAGAGATGGAGCAGGACCAGGTAGCCGATGAGTCGATCGACAGATCAATCTACTTCCAGCCGGCGGAAGAGGACGAGTACTTCACCGAGGAGGACCAGACGACGGAGGAAAGTCATCCGGGCGAGGACTACCTCACCACAACGGAGGAGTACCACTCCACCACGCAGAGGTATCAACCACCGCCGGCCGAGTACCATCCACCGCCGGCAGAGTACCATCCACCGCCGGCCGAGTACCAGTCACCTCCGGCAGAGTACCATCCACCACCGACCGAGTACGACTCACCGCCGAACCACCCTTCAACGATCGAGCACCATGGCGAACCGAGCGGTTACCACGCTCCAACCGAGCGTCATCACCCTCCAGTCCAGTACCACCCCCCTCCCGTGGAATATCACCCAGTCCCCGAACATGGTCTACCACCACCAGACGACTACCCGACCTATCACCATCCAGAGAATGAGCACTTAGTCCAAGAGGGATACAATGCACCTCCTAAACACCACCTGCCTCCTGAGGAATATCCTCATCCTCCTCAGGAACACCATCCTCCTCGGCACTACCCTCCTCCTCCTGATGCCTACCCCGCTCCAGCCGTCCCTTACCAAGTGGAACCCGAGTACAGTCCCGACTCGCCGTGCCGCCGGACGAGCGACGACCCGGACGGAGACTGTATCCGAGGCGTGGCTGACATCGACTACCCGACCCTTCAGAGCATCCCGGAGACGAGCTTCAGCTGCCTGGGCCGGCCGCCCGGCTTCTACGCCGACATGGAGACCGGGTGTCAGGTGAGAAAAACTAAAGGCCGGGAAGGTAGAAAAGGAAGGAGGTAGTGGGGTGGGAGAGAGGATGACGCTGGTAAAACTGAACGAGAAACGAGACATGGGCATTCAGAGAGCCCTAGGTCAGCAGATCAATCGAACTAGAATGCAAAGTTCAACATTGCCGGATACGTTTCACGCGGTCGATTCCAGTCACTGACTAAACAAGCAGACACCAATTCACACCCTTAGCGCCAACTATGAGCGTGTGACCGACCTCCTCTCCCTGCCCACAGGTGTGGCACTACTGCACCAGTGACGGGCGACCGCAGTCGTTCCTTTGTACCACGGGCACCGTGTTCAGCCAGCTGCACCTCGTCTGTGACTGGTGGTTCAAGGTCGACTGCCCTCACTCAGACGCGTTCGAGCACGTTAACGATCGACTGTATCGGCCGGAGGAGTACTCCGCGTACCCGGGACAGTTCCGCGGCGACGGGCCGGACGGGGCTCCGGTAACCCTCCGTCTCGGCGGCAGGGAGCCAGTCATCCCGCATCACCCCACTGAGGGTCCGCGTCTGTTACCCCATCATCCCACCCAGGGTCCGCGTCTGTTACCCCATCACCCAACCGAGGGTCCGCGTCTGATACACCATCATCCAACTGAGGGTCCGCGCCTCTTACCCCATCACCCAACTGAGGACCCTCATCCTGCACTTCATCACCCAACAGAGGGTCCGCGCCTCTTACCCCATCACCCCACTGAGGGTCCGCGTCTCTTAACCCATCATTCTTCTGAACGTCCAAGTTTTCGTCATCACCCTACCGAGGGTCCTCGCCTTGTCCCTCATCATGAAACCAGTGACTCTGCCCTTCGCTATCCTGAGGATGAAAGGATTCCGCCTCATCGCTTCGCGGAGCAAGAGGATCACGTCCTGCATCGACATCCTTCAGAGGAACACATCGTTCACCGCCATCCAGAGGAAGCCTTTGAGGAATATCGACACCCAGGAGAACGACCCCTCCTTCACCGTCCGCCACAACGGGAGGTTATCCCACAACGTTACAGGGAAGAGTCGACACAGGGGCCGCATCTTCCCTATAGCCATGGAGAAGAGAGACCCGAGCCCTATCATTTGCCCGAAGGAGCACCCGATTCCTATCCTCACCCAGTAAGACAGGTATCGCCCCATGACCAACACCCACCAAGCCACTCGACACATCACCCACGACCAGTATATCGAGCCCCTATCCACCGCCCGCCCAACTACCCAACACGACCCACCCGTCCACCCACCCCCGCCCCGGTACACTGGGAAGAGCACAGCCCCTCTCCAGTGCACTGGGAGAGTCACGGCCCTCCTCCATCCCACCACCACCATCGTCCTGGTCCCGTCCCTGAGCACAGCTCCACTGGGTACATCGCTATCACGCCTGTAGCACCTCTGTACGCCCCTGCCGAGCCGGAGCACACCACGCGACCGTGGCCTACAGCCGTGCCGGCCGTGGTTGGTGCGTACGGTAGGCCGTGGGAGCCGCAGAGAACGCGTCATGGACGGGGCGAGACGGAGGGTGTGGTGGTGGTGACCACTCCACGGCCGGTCATCAGTCATCGAGGCACCCCAGAACCGGCAGCGTACAGGGAGACAGCAGTAGAGGAGGATGCGTACCACCAAGGATATCATACGGCTCCGTCTGAAAGGGAGTACTACCAGCACAGGGAACATCGCCCTCCCAGACTGTCCAGGCAGCCGGAACGACCTCCCCCTCACAGTCTGCGGCCGGTACCTCCTCCCCACGCCCCGCGGCACCGACCCCGCCCCACCCCAGCGCCGTACCCGGCCTCAGACCAGCACCCACCGTCTCTGGAAAGACCCCCCGCGGGAGGAGCGTACCACGGGCGGCATCGTGAGCCACCTCCAGCCCCTGCATCACCCCACCTACGGCAGAGCCGCCGCCTGCGCCGGATGCCCCCACGGTACCGCGGAGACCGACAACCCCGGTACCGCCCTGTTTCGGTCAGCCGACGGCGCACCAGGCAGCTGACACAGAGGTCGCGTCAGGGAACGTCAGAAAGGTCACAGCAGCGGGAATCAACACGAACGCGTCGGAAAACCACACCCAAGGAGCATCACCAGCGCAGGGATCAGCGACCTGGGCAGGTGACATCAAGGTCCCTTCGCCCGCCCAGTCGGCCCCGCTCGAGGTCCGCGACGTCACACGGGTCCCGCTTTCCACCAGTGACGTCACCCCGGTCCCCAGTGACGTCCCCGCGGTCCCCAGTGACGTCCCCGCGGTCCCACTCCCCATCAGTTACCACTCTCCGGTCCCGGTCTCTGGCCCTGCTGAAGGCGAAACAGCCCGAGTTTGGAGCACGGCTATCAAGGCGACACAAAGGATGAGGCTTGAAATATCGCGGAAGCGAGAAGCTGGGTGTGTGGTGTGAACAAGCATTGCATCGCAAGACGCCACATACCCCTCAGAATGAGTAAGCGTGTTATCGTTCTAAGTGATTACAACCCGTGCTTTCACGTTATGTTGATGTATGGCCGCGATCTGTACCTTCTTGTTCATGTTGAACGTCCTTCGTCGGGGCACGCGCTGTACATTTCTCAAGCTGTTACGGTAAATGAATGACATTCCTTTTTTGTCTCGCGAGCATGTGTTCATCGCGCAAAGATGCGCTGGAGAAGAGGTCAGAGGATTTGCTCAGTATCTGTTGTTATTGTTACCTAGCTTAGACATCGCTGGATAAAGTCAATACACGTGATTCACATGACGGTTTATTCAACACTATATTATGTGCACATGAAGGGACAACAAAGGGCGAAAACCACAGCGTGAGGGGCGGCCTGGCGGCCGTGGAGGTGGCGCGCTCATCACGTCCCGTGGTGATGCGCGCCTCTGCATACGGCGGGCTGGCCGGGCGGCCGCCCGGCGGTGCTCGGGGAGGGAGGGAGGGAGGTGATGGGACTCACAGAGACACCGGCTCCGCCTCCGCGGGCGCGCCGGACGGGGTGGGGGCGGGGGCGGAGGGCTCAGGGGTGGTCGACTCGCCGGGACTGGTGTCGCCAGAGCCGGTGACCCCTGAGGTAGAGTCGACGGCGGCGTCCTGGCAGCAGCTTACCGCGGGCGAGTCGGCGGGGGTGGTGTCCGGCCGCTCCTCGGAACTGGAGACCGCCGACTCCGCACAGTCGCCTGTGGGCGCGTCAGACCGGGTCACCATCGGGTGACACGACATATATAACAGCGGCACATATATATGCCGCTATATCAGCGGCACAGAGAGAGGCCATTGAAATATTACGCTCCTACTGATTACTGGAAGACGGACACATGATTACCACAGCAATCGCCACCATGTCAAAGCAATATGCTGCCAGGCTCAGACAGCCCACCCCACCAACCAAAGGACCTTTACCACTCGATACCACTGACCATCAGCTCTCACCTTGCCCGTTGATCGCCCTCTCGGGTACCGCCGCGGCCCCCTCTGCCGCCTCCTCCGCCTCCCCTCCGCCGCCGTCCTCCGCCCCGACACCGGCGGCCGCGCGCGCCTGCAGCGCCCGGCAGAGCCGCTCCAGGGTGTCGATGCGCCGCCGCTGTCCCAGCAGCTGCGCGTCGTCGGCCTGTTTCTGCTCGGCCATCTTGATGAGGGAGCGGTTGCTGCCCTCGCAGCGCTGTCGCCAGGTGGCAGTCTCCTTCTCCAACCGGCGGATGTTCTTCTGCATCTGTGGCGGCGGACAGGCACACAGTTAAGATGAACAGAAACCAAGCTTCATACGTCGGACAGAGCTCAGACAGCGAGTGGTGACACATAATCTGATCGAGCAGAAGCTGTAAGTGCAGCCGCCACAGCAGCAGGGGCTCAAAAGCCACAGGGATATGGCGTAAAACAATATCCGTGTCATCATGGAGTAGAAAAGTACCTACTCCATAGTGTCAGCATGGATTGATGGACTGACACAAAATGACTCCAACCAGACCATATTGATGATTCCAAAACACGACATCGTAAAAGAGACATCTAATCGTATAACGATCGCACTGGGAGGGTCGCGGTAAAAACTCTAAATGAGTTTAAACGGTGCAGCAGGTAAACTAAGCAATGCAAGATAAATGGCGGCCAAAAAAGCACTAAGGAAGAGAAACGTGGCTTTAGACGGACAACGCGCTGCTGAGCGTCATAATATAGTTACTCATGAATACGGAAGACATATCTGGGAGACTTTAAAAAAAGTTAGTGGTCTGGTAATCAGAAAACGTTATTTGGAAGAATCAAACAGTGGTAAAAAGCAGTAGAATGAGTTAAAACCAGTCACAGTTCAAACAAACAGACGCGTTGTTAAAAGGAATGTCGTTTTAATGACAGAACGAAAAAAAAAAACGATCACCAACCAAACGTTATTCCACCGAAAAAAAGACACATTCATTATATTACAACAATCCCCGACATTTGTGATTGTTAAATAGGAAGACGGAAGACAACACAGCACAGAGGCGGGGATCGGGGCGTTAGTGGCCGCGTCCGCACCCGGGGCGGACGAGGTGCTCAGCCGCACACACAAAGGCACACACGCGCGCGCGCATTACCCGACCCTGGTTGAACAGCAGCTGACCAGAGGATCACAAACCTCTGACCCAGTCGGAGAGGGTCAATGACCTCTGACCCGGTCAGCCAGGACACCCTGGGTTAGGTCAGCGCCGGCCTGCAGCCGACAGACCCCAGGTCACTGACCTCAGACCCGGGTGGACGGGTCATCCTGGGACGGGCCCGCGTGAGTGTAGGATCGGCAGCCGTCACCATTGATCAGTACGCAGATGGCTTAAAGCTCTATGTACGTGCTCTATCTATAATTAACCCTCCCGCGCCTGTTCAGCCCCAATCGTCACAGACACCAGAGCCCTACCCTCAGCACCAGAGTCATACACAATAAACACGAATGAAACTCCCATCGAGAACCCTCATCGTGAGGAAACGAGCAATCGCCATATCACCACTCTATTTATAACGCTGTAAATCATCAACTGGTTGAGGATATCAACAATTAGCCATCAAACTAACGCCATATGGGACACTTACCGACGCACGAGTAGGTACGCCATAACTCATTAGCCAACTATGACCAAGGCACAGCCTATGAACCTACCTTCTCCATTTCCGATTTGAAGTTGTTGAAGACCTTGCTGGACTTGGCCAGCGCGCCCTGAAAGTCCTCGTACTTTTCGGTGTAGGTGTTGAGCTGCTCCCGGAGCGAGACTTCCGACATCTGCAGGTCTGTACACCGTTTCTGGTATGTGGACATCTCCTGTGAGACACGACAGCCGGTGGTGAACGGCGGGTGAAACGGTGGATGTTGTGTTTGGATCAAATGCGATAACGTCACACAGTCACTCCGTAGTTCACATTGTCTGCCCTGCCCTCTGACGACTGCCCAAGAAGGGCCCAGGACAGCTAACGAAAGTAGAGATCCACACCATTAAACATAGCGTGCGTTCAGCATCCGGACAATCAGGGATAATTTTTAAGGATCACCGGGATCATTCGGTGTTTTGGGTATTGATTTTGGGCTGACACCGTGCACAACGGACATGGCAACGAGTAAAACAGCCATTCGTGAAGTAAAAACAATCTAAAAATGACTAATTGCATCAATGGTCCCTGCAATACCAAATAATTACCGGTGATCCCGGATAATTATCCCTCATTTTACAGATGCAGAATACGCCTAGATCAACATTGCATAGGTAGCTAAAACGGAGGGTTGGCAATATACAGAAATACTATAATATGTGCCAATAACTGAATGCCAAGAGAAAACTGAAAGCCAACACATCACGACATACCTGGAGAAGTTTTTGTTTTTCAAGCAGAAAGGCCTGCTTCTCCTGGTTCATTTCTAGCTGCAGTTTAGCGAGCCGTGCCTCGGCCAGCTGCGACTCCAGCTCCTTCTGTTTCATCATTTTCTCAACAAGCTGGAATGGGAGTACCTCATGTTAGCCACTTTGCTCCGGGTCGTTCAGCCTATCTTCATCGTAAAAATATTGGAAGGCGTTTTCTGCGATGTCTCAATAAGCAAATCTTCCGAAAAGCTAGACAGAGCCTTGCTTAAAACAGAAATGCACGCAAATGATCACTGCAGCATTCAGCAAAAATTGAACGATCTCCCGTGAACCCTTATAACTCATTATAATCGTCAAATGAACCATTCACGGAGCGGGCCGGGTACCATTGTCATATGACCCAGCAGCGAGAGCAGGACCTTACCTACCGAGTTATTCTGTTCGTACTGTTCACACAAGCTCTTCAGCTTCTTGGACATTTCAATGTTCTCTTCTGTGAGCTTGTTGTTCTTCTGGTTGTTCTCGTTCATCGTTCCTGTGATGTCACTGAGAGTCGTCTGAAACTTGGCCGACACCTCACGCCGTTTTTCCTCCTCCTCCCGAATTTTGGCCACACTCTCCTCCTGTGGGCGGGTCACGGATCAGAGCCAGAGGTCAAACGGTGCATAGAAGTACAGTCGTTACACAGCTAGGTCACAGATCACGGTAAACGACCCGTGAGTAGGAACCGAGGCCACAACCCGAGTCAGATCCGAGATACAAAGAAATTCGAGCAGCAGATTGGCTCAAACGAGTTTGAGATGTTTCGGCCGTTACGTAGCGATCCGCGGCTGTAACCGGCAGACGACTGCCGCGTACCTTGACAAGTTTGTTTTGTTTCTGCAGCTCGCGACAGAGGCCCTCCAATCGACTGCGGGTGAGCAGGGCCTTGCTCTGTTCGCTCTCCATGGATGCCTTCTCCTTCAGAAGCTGCTCCACCCGCTGCTCCAGCTTACGGATTGACGACTGAAACGGGCCGTGTGTGCTCAGGACACAGCCGACACCCAGAACAGCACGCACAGAGCAGCACGAATGCTAGAAGCTCCTTATATCGTCGCATGCTGTTCCTCGATTGGTGAGTGAGCACAACATAATTTAACTACGAGTTGAGTCTGGCTCAGCCAGCTGATACCTGGGCATAAGGTGGTGACATAAAGCTTTGTACAAGACGTAACGCGTCTATCGAAAAACGAATGAAATATATGCCAGCCTATACCAGTTGAGGCTACTTACATTGAGTTTCTTGTTTTCCTCCTGTGACTCAGCATGCTTTCTGCAGACAAACATGAGCCGCTCGGAAGGGTCGGCGATGTCGTTGGCAGCAGACATCACCTGCTCCACCGTCTTCTCTATCCTCTTCTGAGTCTTCCGATCGCGCTTGGCTCCATCCTCAGAAACCTGAGCCTGCATAAAATACCCAGGGTCATCAAAGATAATTTGTGATTAAAGCAATAGCCAATATTTGAACTGTTGCCAGCCCTTGTTGGTATTTGAGTCTATTGGAATAATGATCATTTAGATTATTATCAAACAGATCAAGTGCATGATGTCTGGTGAAAACACTTCCCTAGCAATAACATTTTTTTAACTCTTACCTCCAAGACCTTTGACCCATTGTTGGAATCTGCACTGGATGTCATCTTGATCAGTATAAGCAGGTATCAATAAGGATAACAGATGAATCCTAAAGGGACAAATAATAAATGCCTGTAAAAAAAGAAAAACTGGAAACATGAAACATCACAACACTAGTAACACTCTTATTGAATGTTGTATGATCCAGTTTGGTAGAAATATTGGGCCTGTTCCAGCACCTCCGGTAGAAGTTGCTGACTGGAAGCTCTTCTGGTTTTACTGGAGAAGCAGGAAAGTTATCTGGAAATTTCTGGTGATTGATGTCAGGCATTTGATGTCAGACAAAAGAAAATTCACTCTTGAAAAGCGAGTTTGTTTTCAATTTTAATAAGCCTGGGCCCTGTTTGGTCCCAGTTTTTTTGTCAGCAGGCTGTGAGCATGCTGCTATTTTTTTTGAATCCTCATTGGTCAAATTCACATTCATTTCACCGAGAGCAGTCAAAAAGTGCCAGCAATAACTTCCTTATATGGAAAAAACAGCATGCTGATAAAAAACAGTGACTGAACAGAGATATATTTTCAAAAGAATGATAATGTGACTTTCTTTACAATTGAATTGTAAAATTAGCCTGCAAGAGTCCTTTGTATACATTCATAATTGTCACATGTGCCAATAATTGTAGACCAGAGCCTCCAGTCAAAGGTGGACATCACAACTGGCTGGATGAAAGTTGCTGAAGGTCTCTGGAGATTTGCCAAGAGCTTTCTGGAGCTTACTGGAGGTGCTGGAATGCTGAATAGAGAATTCTGGAGGCATTGGAACAGGCCCATCATCCCAAGACGACAGATAAAGTCAGCAGGAAGTTCCATAGCCTTGGTAAGCAGTCTGTAGGCTGTGTCCTGAAAGTTTTTGTTAGAACAAATATTTGTTGGTTAGGTACTTTTACTGCAAAATTTTAGCATTAGGTCACACCAAGTCCACTATGACGTGTGAGGCTAGGTTATGTTGTGTTTATTTCATTTCTTCTGGTTGAAATAGCCATGAAAATTTGCCCGGACAAAAATTTGCCATGAAACCATCTGTAGTAATCGCCAGATAGGTAGGTATCTAACTGTAACTTTACAAAAACGACTCCAGAGGGGTGTTCACTGGCACTGCAAACTGCTGAGTGCGGTGTGTGCGGTGTGTGCAGCAGGCGTGGGGGTAGGGGATGGGCAGGTGGTTCCGACGTCACGGCTGCGTGCAGTGGACGGTCCGCTGTTGCTGTGGTCAGTCCCGATCGGCCACAACGTCTATAGAGCCTTGGCCACAGCGGTCACTGTGTGCGGTGACGGAAGGCTGACGTAGGGACGCAGTGGGCGGAGCTTGGAGGCTGTGTACAGTCCGACCATACACAGGGCCCTGAACACCCCTCAGTGCGGAGGGGTGTTCACGGGCACCGCACACTGCTGCATGCGGTGTGTGTGGTGCATCCAGCAGGCGTGGGGGTAGGGGATGGGTAGGCGGCTCTGACGTCATGGCTGCGTGCGGTGGACGGTCCGCTGTGGCCAGTCCCGACCGGCCACAGCGGTCGCTGTGTGCGGTGACGGAAGGCTGACGTAGGGACGCGGTGGGCGGAGCTTGGAGGCTGTGTGCGGTCCGACCGCACACAGGGCCCGTGAACAGCCCTCTGGTGCGTAGCGACCACTGAACTCTTATAACAATAATGGTAGCGACACTGACACAAAGCCTTCTTGGGGTGGACTGGTGGGACCAATAAAACGGACTATAAACATGTCATTTTCCCTTGCTGACCCGGAAGCATACCTACAAAGTATTTATACAAAGTAAGATATAAATTCCCGGGCGCGTACCTTACCTTACCTTACCGTTCTGATTACCCAAGGCCGTATAAGAGCATATAGGGCCTTGATAAGAGCATTACCGAAGTAAATCAAGTAGGTAAATAAAAAGACGGTTTGCGTCACAAAAGCCGCAACCAGGTTACTGTTCAGTCACCGCTTTTTACCAGAAGGCTGCAAACTTGCTGGCGTTTTACGGCTTCCCATTGGTGGAATCTACTTGGTCTTTGCGATTCACCAATGAGAGGCCAAAAAACGCCAGCAAGGAACTTTGGTAGCGTACTGGTAAAGAACAGGCAACAAATAGCGCCCGGTACTTGACAGCTAAATTATCACAAATTACCTACATAAGGCCGGATTCGATGTCTCCCAGACGCGTTATTGTTATTCCTGTCACGCAAAAACAAAAACGAAACACGCCTCCCGGACGACGAAGATTCTACGTCGTCCGGCCAATCAACAGCTGTTCACACGAGCGGTTGTCGGCCGCCAGCCAAGCCATCTGGCAATGACGGTAGCAGGTATGTACTTCACAGTCGGTGTCAGTTCCTGGCGCTCGGTACCTAACCGTAGCCCATCCCCGCCGACATCGAACGGCATTGGCTGGACGACGTAGAATCTTCGTCGTCCGGGAGATATCTAATCCCACCTAAGTAGTGACGTCGCTTACCGGATATAGAGAACGTTGCTTGGCGACATTTGCGGATCGGGCGTACCCGCCTCACGGATGTTGGTTTGACCCAATACTCATTAGCCATTATCGTAGTAACAGCAGTCTTGAGCAATATCCGTCGAGCAGTGGCTTATGCTTAGAACAAACAATGCTTAGCCCATTCGTTTATTAGTTCATCGAAGTTTTGAAAGAAAATACAATCCTATAACATGCACAATATTCCGGGGTTATACCCATTCTAACAACCATTCCTTCCTCGCTCCAGCCTCCCACGAATTTCCGTTGTAAATCAGCATATAAAAGAACCATAAAAATCACCTGACAGATTATCCGCGCGCGGACGGTCTCCGGCGCCGATCACGCGAGGAGCCGCGTGTATAATAGTGGTAAGAGTCATGTCGCCAAAGCCGAGCACAGGTGTGCCAACAGAGGTGAAAACTGGCCGGGCCGTTCCGTCCGCCCGGCTCGCCGCTGTCCGTTCAGTGGTCGTTGGCGACAACGTCGGACCGCAGCCGACAGAGGCGGGCGCGGCGGGCCGCGGCGTCCGTCCCGGCCCGACTCCCGACCATCCGACTCCACCCTGATCCCATCGCTCTCCTCTGGAACTGACGTGCCCTGAGATTGTTCTGCCCCGGCGCGGGCCGCCGCGACTGCGGCCCGCCGCCGGCTAAATGCATCTAAAACACCACGGCTACGGGGAGGGTGGGGGACCGGGAGGAGCGGCGGGAGCGCGTCGGCCGGCCGAGGGTGCTATGGAGCCCGAGAGCGCCGGCGTCGCGCGGTGTCACACACCGGCACGCGGGCGCGCGCTTCAGAAGCGGCGGCGGCGGCGCGGCGCGGCGGCCGGTCTGCCGCCGGCGGACGCTAGGCTCCACCGGGCGGCCTGCCGGCGCGCCACCTGCGTCATCCGATGACGACGCCGCGCTGAAAGAAAACGAAAGCCAAACCAGCGTGCGGCCGCCGGACGAGGCGTCCGGCGCATCGTTAACGGAAAGTCGCGAAGCGTGGCTCGCGGTCGGTCAGTAGCTAACAAGGTGCCTACGCCTAGCGTCGTCTCTCCGTGTGTGCGGAGGGGGCCGGCCGGGCGGGCGGCGCGCGCGGCCCGGCCGGCCGGCCCCGCGCGGCAGCGCCGTCCCCTCAGACATGCGCCGCTCTATCGCTCCCTAACCTATCCGGGTAAAGAATCAAAGTTCAACAGTAGTTCCTGAGCTGACCGTTATTAGCGGGCGCGCGGCCCGGCGCGGCGCCACGCCTACATCACTTGCAGTATCTGCGAGGCCTCAAACACCGTGTTGGGCGGCAGGATGATGCCGGTGGACACGTTGCCCGCCTCCACGCAGATCATGTTGGGGAACTCCTCGTCCCCAAAGTCGGCGATCTCCTTGGCTTTGTGCTCCCACGGGTTCCACACCACTGCGAACAAAGTCAACACGCTGGTCACATGTCTGATGTCACATTGCCGAATACTCGTCTCGCTCCAAAAACTTGACCGCAGGCCAACGCCCGTCTCCAAACTAAGACCTCTAAAATAAATGAACCCACCGGTAGCACGGTAATCTTACAACAAACTGCACGATCAAAATGATCGCCCCGGTAAATCACTCTCCCCTCCTCCCTCCCTCCCTCCCGCTCGCTCCACAACAGCTCTCACCAGTGTCGGGCAGGTTGAACTTTTGTATCCGCATCTTCCTGCCGGAGACGACGTTGGTGATGATGTGCTCCTGGGGCGTGTTCTGGTAGATGCGGTCCGTCCACTCGTTGATCATGACCACGTCCCTACCCTCCTGGTAGACGGCGCCGTCACGGGTCTGTCGGCCGGACCGAGGAGCGGGGTCAAAACAGTCCGTATACAGACTGAGCGGGGGTGAGAGGAAATGAAAATGGAGAGCGCACAGTGTGTGCTGATGCGAAACTCACGGGTATATTGCCATTGTGATTTTTTGCCTATTTTTTCCGAGGCTGTTTTTACGATGCGCCCGGTTTTCCTTGAAGTCATGGGAAGGCGTGACGTTTTTGCGGCAATCCGTCGCTTATTTGTCTGAGGCTGTGTGTCTCAAGGTCAACATTCTAAAAACAATGCCCCAAGCCACCTGGAACAGCAAACAGCGAGCAGGCACTGCGGCGGCTGACGAGAGAAAACCTACCAACATCAACCCTCGGCACCAGTCAACAGTGAGAGCAGCAGATAGTGATACTATTACTTATCTCATTATCCGGATAATTTCAAGTCATAAAAAAGGTGCAATGGTTACAGCGTCCAAGATAGACTATGAGAAACGAAGCGGCTGCTCAAGACTCAGTACCATTATGAAGACGGGGAAATTCGCCGGTTATAAAATTACACAGGCTGGGGATGGACAGTCCGCCACTCTGCACCGCGCCGGACAGACGTTCCGGGCCGAGCGGGACGCGATAGCGCCACGGGATGCCTCCGGTCGTGCCACCGGAACTGCGCCCGGAAGCGCGGTATCCGGTCGGCACCGGAACTCGGTCAGCCCGGGAGCACCACTCACAGTACCATCTCTGATCAGCAGTGACCGGCGCAGAGTTGACCACCCCAACCCATCCATAACATGTTAAACTACACGTCAGATCCACTACCCAGACTTACCTCCACATCACAACCCGTACCAGACATCGGTGTCTCACTAAATGAATCAACAGAATCTCTGCCCACGCCCCACAGACCCAACACGAGTTACACACTCCGGCCCGAACATCGGCACCCCACTCCACAGTCCACCCGAGCGCCGGTTACCTTGTCGATGAAAGTGCAGCCGTGCATGCCAGTGACCTGGCACTTCCTGACGTCGGGACACTTGAAGTAGGTGTGCAGCAGCAGTGTGAAGCTGAACGTGTCCTGAGAGCCCAGCGGGTTGTACACGCCGATGTTGAAGTGCAGCTCCTTCTCTCGCAAGATTAGCCGGTATGTCAGCCGGAACCTGGCGGAATTCTTACGTCAGTCGGATGGAGTTCACCAATTGTCGCCAGAATCACGGACATTAGTTACTCTCATAATACGTACCAGAATTCCACGCTCACGGAAACTCCACAATACAATGTGTGCAAGAAAATATAGCAAATAACATGCCTCATGCTTAGCTTGCGCGCCTCGTCGCTACCACTCCGCATCTATTGTTCCTGAATATCTGCATACATGACGCGTCTCCAAATTTACCTACTGCATTAACGTCGTCATCAAACAAATGCCATCGCTGCAGCTACACCCCTATTAGCACACCGCCCCTGATCTGCAGCCCCGGCGCCGGCCGCCAGTCTGCCGAGTCACGGCCCGGCTGGGTGACGCGGCATATCCGCCGCCCCTGCCGCCGGCGACGAGAGGCGACACTCCCCGGCCGGCCGCGCGCGCCGCATTTGGTGCCGGGTGAACGCCCCAGCGGCCGCCGGCGCCGCCCAGCGACCGGCCGTCTCCCCGGACCATCTCATACCGCAGCCACATAACGAGCCGCCCGTCACTCCGGCATACAGTCGGAGTATATCTGCTAAATGCTACAGCTAAGCCCGAGCCAACAACACAGGGGTTTTCAGCCGTCACTGCCACATTAGCCCACCGCCCAGCCGCGGACACTCACGAGTGTTTCCAGAACTGGTGCGTGTACTCGCTGTCCATGAGCACGAAGATGGCCTCGATGTCGCCGGAGGGCAGTCGCTCCGGAGCCTTCTCCAGGTGCCAGCGACTGGTGCGCGCGAACCCATGCTGCGGACCCAGCGACCACGGGCCGAAGTGCGCTGTCGATGGTCGACAGAAGCCCCAGTCAGCGTCCCCGGCCGAGCAGCGCACCCGTTCGGGATTCAGAACATTAGCACAGCGATAATGCACAGGATGCTTCAGAAGTTGCTGCAATGATGAGTGCAAATGATCCGTAGTTAAAATGCTTCGCTGTTCGGACTCGGTGCTGTCTGGATTTCCTTCGTTAGCGAAAAATTGCAAGAAAAGCGCAATCCAAGCAGTCTGACAAAATTGGATAGCAGATAGCCACTTTTAGTCTTTAACTACCTCCTTGTTAGTACTGATCAAACTGGAGCTCAATACCATAAATATTGTAACCCTAAACCCTAAATGTGAATACCTACCTCAATTTCGACCTTTGATTCAACACTGACCCGTCACCGTGAACTTAAAGTTTAAGTTTCAGGAACACCACTCAATTAATGCGTCCCGGTAAAATATTTCCAAGGCATGACTCTATGATGCTCAGTTTCAGGGATAACACGAGGGGCAGGGGGAATAAAGTTCCCAGTTTTCAGTCAATGACGTTTATCGGAGCTGAACCTCAGTTGAGCGTGGTTTAAGCACTTATGTTCTGCTACCTTAGTTCACAAGGGTATAAGCAAGGTTAATGCCAAAATATGGAAAATGTTACTTTCAATGACCAGTACCACTACATAGAAATGAAGGTAGCAATGTAGGTAGAAGGGGAGAGGGGGGGGGGGTGTTTGGACGCCCTTCCCCGTCCTGCGTATTTTTTTTTTTGCAGACATCTAAAAACGGCTGCGCGGCACACTTGTTCATACGAACATGTATGTGGGAATTTCAGAGCAAGGTCGCTCAAGGTCAGGTCACCAGGTCACGCAAGTGACCCTACCTCAGACAAAGTTAGAATGTCCGCCGTAGCTACACCGACTGGACGATCCCTTTGAAACTTTCAACGATTGATAAGAGTAACAGTATGTATAAAACGTATATCTCGGATTTAGATGTCGGTGACCAAAGGTTAGGTCAATTTTGCGCCCTCACCGAACTATAAGTCAATGAGAGAGCGTGTTGCCCGTGACGAGAGGAAGCCGATGATGCCCAATTTTAAGGTCCTAGGCCATTGGTTGACCTTCCAGGTCAGGTCTATGACCCAAAGTCGGGAAAATCGGGACCTGTTAGAAAGTCGTAAAGTGTTGCTGCTAAGGGGTTTTTCGGGGTGCTGATCACGAATATCGTGTTAGTTTTGATCACAGATGATGGCTTTAAGCATCTAGACCAGGTCGGGTCAGGTCAGGTCAGGTCAACCAGTAGGCGTCTGGCGTCGTGACGGGTATTCGTAGTACGTGTCAACCGCCTCTGACAGCTTCGTAACATGTTACTAAGTCACCGAAACTACTTCGTAAATGTTCAAATGGTTGCTAAATTCGAATTCAGCTCCAAAAACTAGCCTAGAAACATGTAAAACTCGAAAAAGTGAACCGAGGTCACCAAAGGTCAATGACCTGACCTGACCTTCAGGTGACCTTGACACCCACCCTAATGCATGGGAGCAACATCAAATCACATGTTTGAACGTTTGAAACTACGAAAAGCTTGCAAACGCGCGGCTAATGCGAGCCGACATACGCGGAATCGCGATTCCGGCCAAACATGGTCTCGGAAAAGAGGCCACAGGTCAAAGGTCATCTGGGTCAGGGTCGTGAAATTTTCAGGGTAGGTGTAAAATTGATCAATGCGAGGGTACTGAAAGTTTCGTCGCGATCGGCCGCTTTTTACGCGAGTTATTTGCGAAAAACCATGGGGGGGGTCCATCCGAACCCCCCTACACATGCGAGTAGTCAAAAGTTAAAGTAGTCAAAATTTGACCTTTGACGTCGACGACCTCTGGTGATCTGAATTTGACCTAACCTAAGAAATAACCGAGTACCTTTGACATGCTTTTTGACGCTCTTTCGAATGCCGCTTACGGTGTGTCACTACGTTGCCCAGGAGCCGAGTTGGAGGTGAGGAGGGGAGGGGGGAAGATGTTCAAACACCCCCGGCCCGGCGCTGTTGGCGCCGAGGCCGAGCACCGGCCCGGCGTGGGTTAGCCTAGAAGACGGGTGCACTGAAGACCCCGATTATATGCACTCCCACACACAAAACTGACATAGCTGTGTACGTGTACAGGTCTCGCGGGTTTTAGCGGTAGGTTTTGCACCTAGAAAATTTAGTGTACTTCAGGCTATATCTTCGTCGTCTTAAGCTTTTAAGTGTTGAAGATGCGATCGACTTGTTGGGTAACAAGCCGGCCATGATCGTGTAAAATGGCTTCATCGTAGATCGATTAGTTTCTGAGATATAACCGGAAAGGTAAAAGTGCAAAACCTACCGCTTAATCTCGCTAGACCTGTACAGTAGGTCTACAAAAAAAGTCCCCCGCTCCAGAGGCGGCCGGCCGGCCGAACCCCCGGATTCCAGCCCCGACTCTATTGCGCAGGCCGCAGCAGTGACACGGGTCAGGTCGCGGCGCCCGGCGAGTGGGTCAGTTGGCGGCGGCCGGCCGTGGAGTGAGGACGCCGTGTGTGGGGCGCAGAGATGCCGCAGTGCAGAGGAGGGGAAGATAGTGACTCTGCACGATGCCGGAAACGATGCCTTTGTGATCTAAATTAAACACCTGCACTGCAGTGCATACCCTCCCTTGCCCCATTCCTATTATATTATAATCCTTCAATAATCCGTAATGACCATTCAACGCAAGCAAGCAAACAAAACAACCCGTTTAGTGGCGACATCATCTCGGATAAAAAAGCGACAGTGATGATTAGAATTGACTTTGCGCGAGGGCAAATCGAGGGGTATATACGTATCATATGCCGAGTATTTTATTCCCATCTAGCAAATTAAGATTGGGGACCTTGTCCAACAAGTCAGCGGCCGTTCTAGACACAGATAAATGCTTTGTTTTCGGTCGCATCATTATCTGCATAATTCGAAGCGAGGTTTAACCCTCGCCGGCCGAGAAGAAGGGGTGGATGCCGCCACCATGTATTTTTTTGCGGTAGCTCAAAGCACACTGATGATAGAAGGCTGACGTTTCATATGCCTTACATTTGATTCAAGCCGGATCATTTGAAATCAACCACGTTTTCATGTCAGGTCACTTAACTATGACGTCTTAAGTAAACCTCTGCAGACTGCACGGTTGTCGGTTATAAAATGATGCAAATCCATAATGCACTTAGTGTCATGATATAAGCATAATGTGAAAATATGGAAACTGTTAATTTGGCGTCAGAAATGAGCTAAAACTGTGCCTCACGCACATGAAATCGTGACTTCATACATTCTTGGCAAGGTTTAATGCTTCACTTTTGCATTGTTCACCTTGCGTGTCGGAGTGCTCGTCAATAGGAGTGCTTCGTCAATAACTCCCGATCAAAATGAGCTAGCCAGTCGGGACAGCCATCAATGGACTCTGCAAGACTTACCGAATCAAATGTTATGCAGCATGTCCTCCTTTCAACAGCTTCGTGACCTGTGTTGCCCTAACATGACATTGACCTAAACATCCTAAATTGTTTCACCTAAGCAAAAAAGCATATAAATCGACGCGTCTGAGAACACTGAACAGAAAACACGATTGTATCGAAATGACGATAATGCGACCTTTTTTGCGAAGTTATTCACCAAAAACCGATCCAATGCCTTGGGGCCCTTGACCTGCCCTAAGAGGTCACTGATATTTTAAAATGGGGTGACAGTCGCTGCGTCACGTAACGACGCAAGCGCTCGTTTTTTTTTCCGCGAGGCTCTACCAATTAGCTCAATTATAGAAGCTAAACATGGGGATGGGGAATCGCTCCCTTCTCACTCACTATTTGGCCGGGATAGTGTTTGCAATTATTGTTAAAATCTAACATTTTAAGATTTCAAATGATCCATTTTTCCCGCCCAAGTCTTTCAATTCAAGGTCATAACACCAGGTCACGTCAAGTGACCTTACCTCAAGGAAAGTTCCTGTGCTCATCATATCTAAATACATCGACTAACCGATCGCTTTAGAACCTTCAGTGATTTCAATGGGTATATGTATTTGAAACGTTTACTTCGCAAGTTTGACATTGCTGACAGAAAGGTCGTGTCAATTTTGAGATCGCTAAAGTCAATGGGAGAAAGTTGAACTGCGCTTTTTTACGGAACGCATAATACACTCTGAAACATGTAATGTAAAATGTAAAATGTAAACACTCTGAAAACATGTGGTGCCTGATGAGATACAATACTGAATGATGAAATTGTTTGTTTGTTGGGAGCCATCTTTTTCGGTCTGAGAAGGCCCTTGCAGAGCTATGACATAACTATGCTCTGGTGTAGTAATTTGGTTGTGCGAGCCAGCGACAGTGATCTGCGGACTCCGGAAGCGTGAATGTTCCCGTGGGACGATTGCCCTGTCGGGCGGTCCAGCCGTCTCCCCAACGGTCACCCGAAGAGGGTTATGTGTCTTGGAATGGAACCGACATCAACTACAGGCTGGCTGGTGGGGTGACCTCCAGTCCAGAGAGGGAAGCATGAAGACTAGGGGCGATGCGGATTGGTTTTTCCTGAGGATAGCGAGGACGGAAGGAATCTAGCACCCTTGACCCTTCCTTATACTGAATGTATCTCAGGCTGTTAAATCTCCTAAGCGTTTTTTTCTCGAGATCGTCAAGGTGCCATTAATAAAAATATGAAATCCGGGAGGATAAATTAAATATAGAAATTGTGGCCAACAGAACATTATCAGTTGCGTTCAACATACTCGTAAGCATGATCACACACCCAGCTTACACATGAGCCATGTAATAAATATTTTTGATAGACATGCTTAAGTTATGAAATCATCTAAAGTGTTTGTAAAGTTTCACGATACGGATATAATATCCTGCTATCCATCATGACCATTTCTGGTCAGGTCATGTCTTTGAACATAGGCCAAATTCTTCAAATGACCTCCCTCGACCCTCGCCGGCACAGGGAGGGAGGGTTGATGCAACCCCCCACCCCCAAGGTTTTTCGCAAATAACTCGCGTAAAAAGTGGTCGAGCGCGACGAAACTTTTAGTGCCCTCGCATTGATCAATCTTACACCTACCCTGAAAATTTCACGACCCTGACCCAAATGACCTTTGACCTGTGACCTCTTTCCGAGACCATGTTTGGCCGGAATCGCGATTCGGCGTATGTCGGCTCGCATTAGCCGCGCGTTTGCAAGCTTTTCGTGGTTTCAAGCGTTCAAATATGTGATTTGATGTTGCTCCGATGCATTAGGGTGGGTGTCAAGATCACCTGAAGTTCAGGTCAGGTCATTGACCTTTGGTGACCTCGGTTCACTTTTTCGAGTTTTACATGTTTCTACGCCAGTTTTTGGAGCTGAATTCGAATTTAGCAACCATTTGAACATTAACGAAGTAGTTTTGGTGCCTTCGTAACATGTTACGAAGCTGTCAGAGGCGGATGACAGGTATTACGAATACCCGTCGTGACCCCTACCGGTTGACCTGACCTGACCTGACTCGACCTGGTCTAAATGCTTTAAGACATCATCTCTGATCAAAACTAGCACGATATTCGTGATCAGCACCCCGGAAAACCCCATAGCAGCCACACTTTACGACTTTCTAACAGGTCCCCATTTTCCCGATTTTCGGGTCATTGACCTGACCTGGAAGGTCACCCGATGACCTAGGACCTTAAAATTGGGTATCATCGGCTTCCTCTCGTGACGGGCAGCACGCTCGTTTTTTTCCGCGAAGCTCTAGCTCAATCAGGGGCTAAGCGCGAGGGGGGGGGTCGGGCCTACCCCCCCCCCCCTCCCTTGTGCCGTCGAAGGATGCAAAATGGCCTGTGCCGGTGAGGCTTAAATATCAACTTTTGATTCATTCGAAGCGTTTTGATAAGAGGAACACGAGGCTGGTAAAATTATGAAATTAATTTCATGCAGGTTTAGCTTAAAACTTTTAGTGTTTGTGGAAAAGCAATTCGTTTTCTCATAATACCGATGGTGGCAGTTGCTGTTATTTACGTGCTAAGCCGTTGACCTTAATTAAATCTGACAATATTATTCAGACATAGCGGTAAACGGGCTGCTTGTTGTGTTAGGTTAGGCTTTTCGGTCGATTTCAGAGTGGGAAGGATGACAGGAATTAGAGGGAGACAGGGGGCCTGGGCGGGAGTCCTGAGCCTCATGCTCCGCTTGGGCCGAGCCCATCACGTGGGTTGGATTGCCCTGATACATGGATAGCCCTGGGCGGTGTTTCACGGCCCCGCGCTGCAGCACGCTGCGCTGCGCTGCCATGCATTGTAGCGGCGGTTGATATGAATTCGGCTCCACGAATTGAATTCGTTACGAGCTTCCGAGTCTGTTGATGTTTCCATGGAAATTGGAAACCCAATGCACCGGTGCGCACAACGCATCCTGTCCAAGCAAAATTTTACCATCGATGACCTCTGGTGACATGACCTTTTGCTCTGAACCGATCTAAAATTGGCTGAAGTATTTTTCTTCTTTTTGCTACTTTCGACGCTACTTCGAATACCACTTAAATACCCAAAGCTGAGTTATAAGAATGATGCTCAATCCCCATTTCCCCTCCAACAGGGCGTGAGAGTCTAGGCATTCCTGTGGGGCACGGGCTAACAATGACTATCTCAGTATCTCATAATCATTGTGGCCATGAACATCTACTGCCATTCTTTAACACCGGTTTCGCTGCGCTGAGCGGTGTCCGTCTCGTTAGTTGGATTCTACAGCTGGCTGGCGGAAAGCGTTACCGGCCGCCCGTCCACCGCCCGCGGGCCGGACCGAGCGGTCCCGCTGACCCTACCTGACCTGAGCCCGGCGCGATATGGGACGGGCAGACGGGGGTTCGGCTCAGCGAAGGCAGCGCCCACTGGTGCTGGGGACTTTTTTAATAGACCTACTGTACATCTGGGGGACACAGTTACTCATACAGAGCTGAATAACTTGACATCACATTGTCCGTGCGAAGGGTACTTACGGAAAACAATGGGAATGCCTCCTCGTATAGCTTTCTTCCCATCAAAGACAGCTTGTTTACTGAAAAACACAACACCAAGGTTAACAAGAGCAAGTACAAGTGTTACCAACCATGGCATGGAAATAGGTAGTTAATATCACCTCATACCTATGTATGATTAAATATAATATGGTACCTACCTATGTAAAAGAATGATCAAATTTGAAAGTAAAACAAATAGGTATGACAGCAAAAAAAGAAAAAGAAAATGTAAATGACCAGCACAACATATAACAATATTGAGCTGCTCCATGCTGAGACACACAATGGTTTCTTATATAGAATTAAGGTTTTAATTTAGGCAATTCTTTACATCAAAAGCTGGTTTATGAAGACAGAGCTGACAGATACTTACCTGACAAACAGTTGTTCTTGGTTGTTAACCCGCCATGATACAACTGTTGCACCTGAAAAAGGAAAAGTTCAGGCATGAAGGCTTACACACACCTTGCTCACTCATACCTTCATCTTGGGAATGATGGAGCACACACAGTCACATTTTCAGCAATATAGTGGTACAATTTTAGTCAATTATACCATGTCAGAAATGTAGACCCTGATCAGCCAAAGGCTCTAACCAAATTACCTTGCCTGCATTAACTGAAAAGGCAGCATTGTGCTGTAGAGATAGCAGAGTCTCTTATGAAAGTGATACCCATCAATAATTGTATAAGCCTACATGTGGCCTAGCCAGTAGCCATAGCACGGTTTTACCCCCTCCCTCATTTTTTCTTCATCTGAAAAAAACATGGAATGGTGAATAAGAAAAATAAAACATCTAAAACAAAGTTAAACTAAAATAAATTAGCAAGGAAATATGCAGGGAAACCTTATAAGCTGCAACAATGACAGGATAGGTCCCATTTTTAGATGCATGAAATATGGATGCTGGATTGATCTGTACATAGACCTGCAGCCTTTAGAGATCTGAGATCGTAATTGGATGGCAGATTGGCTAAAAATAGACCTGCCCCACCATGACCAAGGTGTAAGGAAATATATTACCTCATGGACAAATCTAGATAAGTATGTTGTGTGATGACTGCTTTAAAAACAACAAATATGACTCGTGACGACCCATAATTCAGAAAACGTGATTTCAATTTTACCATAACATGCAAGGTTTAGACTTTGCAGTTTCCACAGAAGAGGCATTCTAATGACTATGGTCTGGATCTATCTGATAGAAGGAACATTGATAAAATCACTCAATTATCATCCTGAAAAATAATAATTTTGATATCAATATCAGGTAGAACATGAATTATTTCTTACATGCCAAATAGGAAATAACTTTAATTCAATTCAACTACACCTGTATAATTAATATAATGAAACCAGTGTAATGATGACAATGGGAAATTCCACCAGTGTGTTTTTTATCCTTAGGTTCACACATCAATAAAAAACACGCCTATCGAGCCTCATTTGAGGCAGCTAGCCACGTCGGCGACAGAAATCGCGCAGGACAGACAATCGACGACGGAGAAAGCGGTTTAACTTTAGACAGAAAACACGGAATATAAGGACATACCATGCAAGTTTACGGTGCAAGTAGTATTATTTCCACGATCAAGCACCACCACAGCAGTAGGGGCCGCCATGGGATCTAACACCCACGGCTCCTACTTCTAAACACGCAAGCTTGGTGCTTCACAAACAAATGCGATTCTCGACCATAGTGGTGGTGAGCTCACAGCTGAGTAGCAAGTCTTTGAGGGTTTTTGACAGAAAACAGCCAAAAGGATGACATACTTAATTGTAAAGAAAGTTGTTTCTTTTTCAATAAATGATACTGCAGTCATTTCAATCAGGAGAAATTTGGTACGGGCAAGGGTATGGGCTTGAAAAACAGTTCCTTTTCATCACAAGCTTCTTGAGACTTTATGAGATTTTTTTTGTATTTTTCTGCTGTTCAAAAATTTTTAAATAAAAAATTATTTTTTTACACATTTACGTCAAACGCTCACTTTTGATGTTATTTTTAAATATGCCTAATATCAATCATGAGGAGAGACCAGAGTGTTTTTTGTTCTGTATTTGACGTTTTTCTAAATGAATATTCGCCCATTGCAACTTTATTTCTTAAATAAATAATGAATATTGATCAAAGTTTTAATATTTTAATCAAAATCTTACTAGCTTTAGGATATATGTTTTGCCAAATTATTCAAAATATTAAAATTGACGTCAGAAGAATAATGCATGATTTGTGTGTAATCGGAAGCTTGAATGCACAAAAGGGTATCCTTGCACAAAAGCATGTGCTTAGAGTGCGCCACAATTGAAGCGCGTCCTTTCTTGTTGTGCCGCCATTTGTGTGTGGACTTCTGAGCTGTTGTCCGGCTTTTATTGTGAATTAACGTCTTTCGATCGTGATTTTAGTTTGGTAAGATTACTTTCGAAAGCATGTCTTGCTTTTCTTCGTAATAGACCATCTTTTGCATGTTGAATTGATGGTTTGATACCTTGATCCGAATTCACCTTTTTCATTTTCGCGCCTTTTTTAATTCATTTTATTGGAATTCAGCGGCCATCAACGTTAAGCAATTTACTTGGATTAGGTTATTTTGGCAATCAATGACAGATTATTGGTAAATCACTATGCATCAGTCAGGGACCAGTCTGCAAAGTATAGCAATTTTGACGAGATCTTGTCGGTGTGAGATTGTTTGGCTGGTGCGGATTTGGTCTGGTGTGGTGCGGATTTGGCCTGGTGAGATGCCGATGATTTAGTAAAGTGCGGTACCTATAAAGTATTACATGGTGCAGTGCGGAATTGGCTTGGTGTTGGACATGACACCGGAAGGTTGTTCATGGACCGTGTGCAGTCGGACTATACACAGCCTCCAAGTTCCGCCCACTGCGTCCCTACGACGGCCTACTGTCCCCGCACACAGCGACCACTGTGGCCGGTCGGGACGGGCCACAGCGGACTGTCCACCGCACGCAGCCATCACGTCAGAACTGCCTACCCATCCCTTACCCCCACGCCTGCTGCACACACTGCACACACCACACTCAGCAGTTTGTGGTGCCCGTGAACACCCCTCAGATGAGATAGATGAGGCCAATCAAAAAACATTGTTAGAGCTTCAACTTCATGTAACTCAGTGTGCTCCCGGGTCTAAATGAGTGTGCTGTGTTCAGAACGGACTACCAGTGCTGGTGGTCCCATCAAGCACGTGGGTCACCCACAAGTTCACACTCTGCACTGTTACAACACAAAACGCATCGCTTGGCTCTGCGAGGTGCTTGTGGTAGAGTGAGAGAGATGAGCACGGCCGATGACTGAGATTCAAGATTGGTACGGCCGATGGGAGGGCCAGAAAATCGCCGTTTCAAGCAGTAGCAGTCCAGCGTGAATAATTTATCGGGCGCCTTCGACCAGCCAACAAGTTGCGTTGAAAGCTGAGTTTATTGCATTCTGCACTTTGCAGCATTCGTGAACGAGATGCGCTCGGTTCATGTGAGGGTTTGGCATTGTCGCTCGGTGGTAGGGCGAGATGCGCAATGGCTGATGGCAGGCCTTGAGGACCACCACTGTGACGCGGCTAAAGGCCTGGATACACTATGCGTTTTCTGCGTGCGTTTTTGCGCGTTTGCGGGTTTTGCGTAATATCGTTCTAGAAAAAGGTTACTATTAATTAAACTTCTTTAATATTCATATAAAAGTTAATAAAACGTTTATGTTAATCAAAAGTTTATATAAAAAACATATAACAAAAACGTAATATCGTTTCTTTCTAGAACGATATTCCGCAAATCACGCAAACTCGCAAAAAACGCACGCAGAAAACGCATAGTGTAGCCAGGCCATAAGTAGTAAATTCCGCTGTAAATGACTTGCCCATCAGATTTGTTGTTCGATACAGCTAATGACCTAACAAGAAATACCAAAAATGCATGCATGCGATGGGTCCACTTTTTGCCATTCATATTTCAATTTTTGTAACTGGGGCCTTCACTAGTTGTCAAGCTGTTTAGCTAAATGGCAGTGTCGACACCATTAGGGCAACCATAGTACATCGGACAATAATCACCCTGGACGAGTCGCCAGGGGCCGGTACCAGATAGGGTTCTTACTTCTTGTATTGGTGTGTCATGCTTTTTGTTCTTGTCTTGGAGTGCGTATTTCCCGCTATCTGTAAGAATATTGTTTCCTGCTCCATTTCCATACTGCTGAGACGGCAGGCTTGTGGCTCATATCAATGGCTCATATCATATCAATGTGGCTCATATCAGTGCGGCTTTCAAGTTTCAACTGGTCACTTGTGCGGGCTCGGTGCGCATTTTTTTTTTTAACCAGCCGGCTTTGGTGCGGATTTTCCGGCTCTGTTTCAAGGATTGGTGTGGATTTTGAACTAGGGCCGGTGCGTCTCGTCGAACTGCGAGCCCTACTTTGCAGACTGGGTCGGGTACACTTCAGGGTAATGATGCATAGTCTGCTTGAGCCGCTCAGTTTGATCCAAGCACCCAAGGACTTCCTCCGTGACATCAGAGGTGGTCAGGGATTTGATTGTGAAGTTGGAGCATCCCATAGACTTAATGGAATAATATATTGAAGAAGTTGACTCGACAGTGCTGCCATCTGCTCTCCTACAATATTTACTAGGTGCTACGTTCAGCATTTAGGTGCCAGATTCCTGATTTAGAGCAGACCACTCCGAAGAATTAGGGATAGAAACAGCTAAATTGGCTCATTTTTCGCCGTAGGTGCTGGTTATCGCCAAATAGGTGCTGCATACCATGTCAAGGCTTGAACAGCTATTTGGTGCCAGAAATAGCTTTTCTAGGACGCAATTAAATGGCGTTCGTTAAAATGTAGCACAAATATGCTTTCAAACAAAGTAGTGTTCCAAAGTTGAGCTTGCACGCCCGGCGCAAGCACAACGAAACCGAGCTTTATTAGCAACCGTAATCCGCGGACATCCGCTACGTTTTGCAGGCTGGGTTTTAAGCCGGTGAAGCTGAGATCCTATGCTAATGATAATATTCCATGTATGAATATTTGGCTGTTATGCTCTTTTTATATAAAATAGTGGTGCACAACACAATGTTGTTTGGAAATGTTTGATGTTTCACAATCACCGAGTAATAACAATGTTCTTTGTTTCAGGAACTCGCGCACCACATCACTCACCAGCAGTAAGTACACTGTGCAGACTTGTTTGCTCTACTCATATGCCAGACGTCTTCGTTGCTTTTATTTTAGTGCAACAGATCTATCTTTATAAAACAAAAACACAAGTTGACTACTTGCTTGGACACTCGTGCTTCATTATGAAGTCAGAATGTCGTCGGTTTTTATGTATTGCTCTTGCAAAGGCATGAAAAGGTGTAAGAGTAGGCTGGGAAGTTGGGCTGAAAGGTGGTTATTTCTGGTGGTCTCACACAATCATGCAAATATTTTGGAAAGCTGAGAATAGAATGCGGTGGGGATGGAAGTAGCACCGTTCTCGTGGGACCGGCGCCTGGTGTCGCTGTCAGCGCTGGGCATCGATCGTAGATGGCGCCCCCGGCGTCTTCTACTCAACCGCTCGGTGGGCTCATTTTGTAGGCAGTTCGGGTTTAGGAGACTGCTTTACCTGAATTCCTGATTTGCTAAAAATTTGCTCTTTTAAATTATTGCGCACCTCCTTCCCAATCGCAGCCAAAAACAGTAACGTTCTTATTTGACCTGACAAGGGAGGGACGATGCTTGACCGAAGGAGGTAAAATAACTGGGGTGTCGTAATCGTTAGACTTCGGACTGTCCTAAAGGATGCATTTAACCGTGAATCTACTTCATTTAGGAGAGAAACGCCAATTTAAGGCCGTGTTTTCAAGCCGGTGGAATAACCTGCTGTGAAGATCAAATGTGATCTCGGGACCAGCTTTTTGGAATGCTTTTCGAAGGAGTTGTACCTAAAGGGTCAGTTTATTGGCAAATTGACTGGAACTTGTTGGTGCGGAGTCTGTTTCTGATGTCCCCGTGGGAAGTTTGTGAGATTCAATTATCGTGGTATTTTGTGGTCTTTTGTTTCACCTGTCATTCTAATTGTCCTGCAGTGCTTAAAAAGAAATATGTTTTTCCTTCTGAAATTTGATTATTAAATCATGAACGTTAGTCGTTGGCGTCTGCATACATCGTTCAGTTTCAAATATTATCTCCTTTCATACAGGGTGAGCCATAAAGATTTACCCATCGAAAATTTCACTTTTGTTTCAAGGCGCGCTGACATAGCTGTGTTATCTTTTACGTTCATATAACAACTTAATCTCATAACTAATAAATGTAGTATATTTTCAGTTTGCGAAGCCCGTGGGGCTGAAGTCTGGGATAAATTGTGCCCAGCATTCTTTAGACCAAGGAGTGTTCAGCAGCCAACACCCAGTGGTGATTCCTGAATTTCAGGAGCGGCGGATGTGCGTTAAGACGACCTCGCATTTCAGGAGCGTAGCAGAGACAGTGGACGAGCATATTCAAAATGAGCTAAACTGTCAGGATTGGAGACAAATTTGCGACATATATGCAAAAGAGATGGGGTAAAAGTATACATTGAGTCCGAGTGTCTGTTAAAAGATAAAGTTTTCACATTCTTACATTATTTCTGAATCCAAAAATGCTACTTATATGTCCTGGAAATAAAAGAAAAAACATAATCAAACCTGACCTAACCTTACCTATTTACCTACAACCTACCAACCTACAACCTACAACCTACAAAGTACAAACCTACAACCTAACAACCTAACAACCTACAAACCTACAAACCTACCAACCTAAAACCTACAAACCTACAACCTAACCTAACCTAAAACCTTATTTTTTTGCTGTTGCATATTTGTATCAACAGCGTCACAATTGTCCACTCGG